TGAACATGTAAATAAGAGGAAAAAAACTCACCATATATACTAGGATTAAAATTATGTACGCCAGGCGCGCGTTTTGTTTACAAAAGACTCATCAGTGACGCTCGAATTAAAAATGGCAAAAAAGGCAAAAAAAATAAAAAAAATACGAAATTGAAGAGCATTGATGACCCTAAATTTCGAAAGTTTTTGCCAAATACAGCTACGGTAATCTATTCCTGGAGTAAAAACTCCCTAGAAACCTCAGGCGATATAACAACGTAAAGTACCATTGTATATCATGACACTGAAACACATCTGATTAGATCAGATTAAGATACCAGGTTGCCAATAAACGATCGATCATAATCAGTTACAACAACATATACAACTGTGACCCATGGCAAATCTACCGAAATTCCACAAAATATTACACCGAAAACAGAAAATTGAGCAACACGATTCACAGGTTTTCAGTATTTCAGGTATTTGCAAATACATGATAATAGAAAATATAATTTTGAGATTTGATTGCACACAGAGAGCCCCGTGAACGAATAATGGTAGCTTATATGTCAAAGCGTTTACAGACACGTGTTTAAATTACCCGTTTCAATAAATAAAAACTGGTAATGGTAAGAAATAAACACGGGAAAATAAACTTCAATACTAAATAAACTCATCATAGATACCAGGATTGAAATTTTGTATTTGCGCCAGACGCGCGTTTCGTCTACAAAAGACTCATCAGTGACACTCGAATCAAAAAAAGTTAAAAAGGCCAAAAATTAAGTACGAAATTGAAGAGCATTGAGGACCAAAAATTCCTAAAAGTTTTGCCAAATACAGCTAAGGTAATCTATTCCTGATGAAGAAAAGCCTTAGTATTTCAAAAATTCAAAGTTTTGTAAACAGTTAATTTATAATTATGACCATATCAATGATAATTCATGTCAACACAGAAGTGCTGACTACTGGGGTGGTGATACCCTCGGGGAATAAAACTAGAGGCTCTAAAGAGCCTGTGTAGCTCACCTTGGTCTATGTGCATATTCAACAAAGGACACTCTCCAACATTGAAGACAAGAATAGAATTCATAAGAAAAATCTCTGTTTTGTTGATCTTGTATTGCTGATCATTTAGTCTGTTTAGTTTCTCTCTATCTTCTTTAGTTTTTGCTCAAAACACAAAAGAAGGTAAAAAAATCCTTATTTAAGGGCTGGGTAACCACTCCTATAAAGAGTGACAGCCTACTACCTTTATCAGCAAAATGTGACTTGTTAGTTGATCGGACGATTTCCTCTATATTGTCTTAATTGTAGATCTTGTCTTGCTGACCATTTTTGCCTATTTAAGTTTCTATCTATCTATTATAATTTTTAAGAAATAAGGCAAAAACGCAAAATATTGTAAAAATCATCATCAAAGGGCAATAACTCTCATAAGGAGTAGACTGACGATTTCGACAATGGAACTTGTTTGTAGAACTTGTCTTGCTGATCATTTTTGCAATTTTATGTTTCTCTGTATCTATTATAATTTTCAAGATGATAGGTAAAAATGAAAAAAATGGTAAAATTTGTCATTTAAGGGCAATAACTTCTATAAGAAGTCGTCTGACAATTTTGACGTAAATAGACAGTTGGTAGAGCTCAACATTCTGAACATTTTTGCTTCGTCACATTTTCTCTATTCATAACGGTTTTCAAAATAATAGACTAAACTTGCATTTTACTTCTATGTTCTATTTTTAGCCATGTCGGCCATGTTGGTTGGCAGGCGGGGTCATTGGATATATTTTTTAAACAAGATACCCTAAGGATGATTGTGGCCAAGTTTGGTTAAATTTGTCTCAGTAGTTTCAGAGGAGAAGATGTTTGTAAAAGATTAAAAAAAATACGAAAAATTGTGAAAAATTTACTTTAAAGGGCAATAACTCCTTATGGGGTCATTTAACTTATTTGTAGATCTTACTTTGCTGAACAATTTTGCTATTTACAGTTTATCTCTATGTATTTCAATATTCAAGATAATAACCAAAAACTGAAAAATTTCCTTAAAATTGCCAATTCAGGGGCAGTAACCCAACAACGGGTTGTTTGATGCGTTTGAAAATTTCAGGGCAGATAGATCTTGACCTGATGAACATTTTTACTTCTCTCAGATTTGCTCTCAATGCTTTAGTTTCAGAGATATAAGCCAAAAACTGCATTTTACCCCCATTTTTAGCCATGGCGGTCATCTCGGTTGATAGGCGGGGTCATCGGATACATTTTTTAAACTAAATACCATAAGAATGATTTAGGTTAAGTTTGGTTTTATTTGGCCCAGTAGTTTCAGAGGAGAAGATTTCTGTAAAAGTTAACGGACGACGGACGCCAAGTGATGAGAAAAGCTCACTTGGCCCCTTTTGGGTCAGGTGAGCTAACCAGGAGTATATTTGGATAAATGTAATAACATAAAAAAACTTGAAACATTATAAGTAGAATTATCCTAGTCTACTGCAATAAGATCATAGCCGTGTCTGGGTCTGCGACGTATAACGAAAAGCTGAGAAAAATCATTCAAACCTGTCAAAAACAGATGTATATCTTCAATTCTTGCGAGACCATTCTACAAATACTGAATGACAATGAAGGAAAACTGTTCTGTTATAGTTACATATGAGAAAACAAGGTACCCTCCATAGCATTTGTTTTTCATATTTTCCAAAAAAGGCATTGAAAATGTACTTTTTTTAAATAAAAATAAAAACTTATTTAATAAAATGGGTATTCGTTCTTAGTTGCAGAAACTACACTTCCTGTATTCAAATGACTTATGTTATTAAAAGCGAAATAATTAGGAAAAAAACGCAAATATCTTATTGGTTTGCTCAGGTTACGAGTTTTGAAATGTTACTGTTTCAGGGGAATCACTGATAATTGTACCCTAAATTATTTGAAATTATAGATGATAATTGCATTGCTGTATCAAGTAAACTAGCTATCAATACCAATTATACCGATATTTATCCTTTTCTGTGAAAAAAATATCTAGTTAATCCTTAAGCATTCATCTTCAAGACAATATTTACAGAATCATTTTGTGCAATGTAGAACAAAAGAAATTGGTCAATTATCAAATCTTGTTGTCGAGCCTTCGACTTTTGTCGAAAAGCGAGACATAGCGATCCTACATTCCGTCGTCGGCGGCGTCCACAAATATTCACTCTGTCGTTAAAGTTTTTGAAATTTCAATAACTTTCTTAAACTATCCTGGATTTCTACCAAACTTGGAAAGAAGCTTGTTTGTGATCATAAGATAGTATCCAGAAGTAAATTTTGTAAAAAAAAATAATCATTTTTTCAGTATTTTACTTATAAATGGACTTAGTTTTTTCTGCCAGTTAACATTACATTCACTCTGTGGTTAAAGTTTTTTAAATTTTAACAACTTTCTTAAACTATCTTGGATTTGTACCAAAATTGGACAGAAGCTTGTTTATGATTAAAAGCTAGTATCTAGAAGGAAATTTTGTTAAAATTTTGTTCTTAGTTTTTCTTCCAGTTAACATTACATACAGTCTGTGGTTTAAGTTTTTAAAACATTTATTAGATTCATAAACTATCCTGGATTTTTACCAAACTTGGACAGAAGCTAACATTAGGTTGTTTGGTCAATATGATTGGCATATAGAGGGTCGAACATTCTAATATACCTTATATCTGATTGTTTGTTAATAATGGCAGTTGTCAGTCATACTGGTATTGTATCAGTACTATTTCCTAATTAAAATGACTAACTTAAAACTAGTCAGCTAACTGACATAAATAAAGATATACATTCCTCAATGAACTGCTCTGAAGATATAACTCAAATAATTCACAGCTCATGTGTGCATGTGTACTCAGAAATGGGACTTATTGAGCACTATATTTCAGTGTATATCGATTTGGTAGCTAAATCCTATTTGGGAGGCCGGTGCCTTAGGAAAGAATTGGAAGAATAGCTCCAATCTTTCCAAAATCTTGGGAGGTACGCGTGACACTAACTATGCATACTCTGTGTCTGAGTAAATTGGTTACAAAATCGGCTCTCGTCGTTGACAATCCAAGTAAAATAAATAATAAATCGAATAAGGAATAAATTAATATTACTGGTAGAGACAATTATCTAAATTGCAAAGGACATCGTAGGTTGTAGGTGTATATTAATTTTGCCCTTCTAGTTGTAAAAATATATGTATAATAAACAAAAAGTAGACATACAAAATCCTAATAGGCTCTTGATCTTGTAGATCGTGTCTAGAGAGGAATAAGTTTCGTCCAGTTGAACTCGTCATTGACATGAATCATATTTATAAACAGAAAAACGACAAAAAACAACCAACAGTATACAAACATAACATAGAAAAGTAAAGACTGAGTATCATGAAAACCACCAAAAACCTAGGATGATCAGGTATTTTTGTAATACTTTCTTACCGAACAGGAACGAAGAGGTTTTCACAGAAGCTAACGTCGATCTTAAATACTTGCCGGTGATGTAATGTATATCCACCGCTTATACTTTGTTGAACTCCTCATTTCCTAATCTTTTTTGTACTAATGTTTATATGTTAGTTAAGTAAACATAACTTCAGTGCACGTGTGCACATCTCAATATGGTCATCACATACAGAAAACGTTTATATATAAACTCATCATAGAGACCAGGATTAAAATTGTGTACGCCAAACGCGCGTTTCGTTTACAAATGACTCACCAGTGACGCTCGAATCAAAAAAGGTTAAAAAGGCCAATCTATTCCTGTGACACTCAGAATACTAGCAATTAACAATTTTTACTTCGAGGTCCATTGCATATGTATTGGAATGTAATATCAAGTACTTTAGTAACTCAGAATACCCAAAGACCTCAAAGAAACTGAAAGTACTAATTCTTTCTTTTTTTATATTTATTAAATATCTGCATTGTCTGGATTTCGTTAGTAAAATGTTGAACTGGTGGGTTAGTAGTCTGCTATCACAACAACATCTGCATAAAAAACATAAACTTTTAATCACATGATACATAACTATAATATAAACAAGATTCTTGTTGTGTTAAAAAAAAAGCTAATCTAAAATTAGCCAAAACAAAATAGTCAGTTAAGTAGAATCAGCCAAACATGTAATGAAAAGTTGGAAATGGGTAAACTTTAAACGAAAGAGATCGTAACATTCTGTGTTACGTGTATGCATGCAATAAACGCCATGCGATTATAATGCTGTATTCAGAAATATATTTAATGACTAGTTACAGGACAACTATACCCGTTTCATTGATAAAAAGTGTTAAAAAATAAACAATAATCCCCTTCAAATAAACAGATTATTTCTCTATCTGTTTTATTGAGTTAAAACAATTTCTCTATGTAAAGTTTTCAATAATTTCTCGAGTAATTATTACCCGATTTATATACATAACAACAGATAACTCAATAATCATCAGTAATTTCTATGTAACCTTGAACACAATCGTTAAATTTGATATCTGAATTCAGACTTAAAAACCCTGATCTCTGTAGCGTTGTCTGTATGTAGCATCAAGACGCCTCAACAAGTTTACAAGGTCTCCCTCATCATTGGGCTTCTCCAAATTTGCCAATGTGTCTAGGTAATTGTCTTGAACAATGGGTTGTACCTTTCTTGTCGTAATTTGGTATGACTTTCCACTTTCCGGTTCTGTACTGACGTTTTCAGGGACGTTTTCTGGGTGAATTGCTCCGGCATATCGTGTTGATTTGTCCCAATAAAAAGACGGTGGTCCTCCGGTCCAACAGTTTTGGGCAGTTGTTTTGGTTCCATCGGTGTAGAACATGATGTAAAAATTGCACATTTCATCTTTGCTAGTGGATCTAAATGATAAAGATCAAATGTTAATATAAACCTTAAACATTTCATTATACCTATATATGTGTGTGTTCAAAAGCATGTACATTTGTAATTTGGTTCCTCTGGTAAAAGCTTATTAACTAAAGAGGGTGTTTAGTCAATGAGTTGTTGTAGGTGGACATTAAGTATGTTGTCAATATGACAATGTTTGTATCGATCATTACTACTTTTACAGACCAAATCAGGTGCAATGAAAATTTAGATAAATGTGAGAAATGATAAAACGAATAAAATGAGATGTTTGGTATAATGCATAATCGGTTTTTGTGTAAAAAGCTTACCCTATATATACATCTCTGTCCTCGTCATTCTTCATTGTACAGCGAGCAGCCTACAAGTGAAAACATTACAATTTGGACTTTGAGCAGAATATAACACAAATTGAACAATTTATGCAACACTTATCTTTGAGATTAAGCAAAAAGAAATATTCATGTTATACTCGTGATAGGATTACACATTACACTACATACATTTACAAAAAAATATTTTTATGTTTGATCTCTTATAGCAATTATACCTTGAAAATCGAAAAAATATCTGTTAGTATTGTCCTTTTTTTGGTTCTTGTTCTCTTTGCCTATGGTCATTAATGAGCAAATGGTAACATTATACTAGTTAATGAAGTTTACGGAGTATGTATTTCCCAGTTGATAAGATATTCCACGGCTTTTATTTCCTATCATGATTTCCTTGATAGAGGGTTGCTGCTCACAAGGAAGCTATTAAACCAAGAGTTCCAAGCGGTGAAGTTTAAATCATCGTTCGTAAATTTTACGGACGCCATCACTAGTTGGTTGACCGTTTGTGGAATATCCGTTTCACAGATGATAGCGGATATGTTCCAAATGTCGTAACTACAATCCCGTTCCCTTTTTCCAGAATGTGACCTACCGAATTAGACTTATTACCGGGTTTGTACTAACCTGAGCAACACGACGGGTGCCACATGTGGAGCAGGATCTGCTTATCATACAGGAGCACATGAGATCACCCCCAGGTTTTGGTGGGGTTCGTGTTGCTCAGTCTTTAGTTTTCTATGTTGTGTTTTATGTACTATTGTTTGTCTGTTGATCTTTTTATTTTATAGCCATGGCGTTGTCAGTTTATTTTCGACTTATGAGTTTGAATGTCCCTTTGGTATCTTTCGTTTCTCTTGAAAGTTTTCAAACAATATAAATTTAATATATAAAGTTAGGGTGGGCTAAACATGTTACGACCCAAACATGTAAACAAGACTAAGAACCTTTTTGACTGACTAAGACTGTTGTCCATCACTACAGCTGTGATATATTTCAGTGAGACAGGTGTATTTGTATTTATTCCATAATTTAATCAGAGAAGACAATCACGAAACAAGTAATTTTGATAAAACGTTTATCACATCTGCTTCAAAAGAAAGACATGCCTTGTATAGCTTTATATATACGGTAGGGGTTTTGCTGATTATTGAAGGCCGTAAGATGACCTATAGTTGCTTACATCTAGGCCGTAAGATGACCTATAGTTGCTTACATCTAAGCCATTTGGTCTTTGGTGGATAGTTGATCATGACTTAATTACCACATCTTCCTATTTTTATAAGGAAACTTAATTGTGAAGCTGAAGTAAAATTGACATAACAATTATTAGCTGGTCAGCTTTATTTCAGCCCACCTTCTTACCTTAAAATAAGAATAACGAAAACGTGTTAGAATAGTTTACTATAGAAGGAAAATTCCATAAGAGACCCAAAAATGAAACATTATCAAATATGATTTTATTCAACGCAAATTTCATAAAAATCTATGAATAATCCCTTAATCTTATAATATAAAGTATGGTGAACAAAAAAAAAACTGTGAACAGATGGACGACGACAACGATTAACTCTTTCTATGTATGTCAGTACTATTATTCATGGAAAATAAACGTTCACCTGCAATGAATTATATATTTTACAGGCATTTTCTAAATTTAGACATTTTGTAAAATGACTGAATGTTCAAGCAATTTATAAAATGCCTAACCTTGACAAGCATTATATGAAATACTTGAAGCAAAATTCAGCAAATTGCCTGTTTAGTTTCAGGTAATTTGTAGAAAAAAATCAGTCAAAATATAAAATGCCTGAAACTTGCAGGCATTTTACAAAATACCTAATTTTAGAAAATGCCTGTAGCATATATATAAAGTAAATATAACGTTATTAGTTTACCATATAATCTCCTGGGTTGATAGTGACTCCTGGTGTCGTCACATTGTAAAACATCTGAAACGATCAAATAAATAAATAAAACTTCTGTTTAAAATAAGAAGATATCAAAGATGATACAAGTCCGTTGAAGAAAGGACAGACATGAGACATTTCAAAACGAAAGAAAAGATAACGGTAATCAAAAACTGCACTGAAAACAAGATTGAGCAACATAAACCCAACAATAAACCGATGGTTTAAACTCTTGTCCTCTGGAAAGGTAAGCAGTAAACGTGTTAAAATGTTTGTAGGATAGCAGTGACAATATTATTATGTAACGACTTCAATACCGTTAGTATTAACAACCCTCTCCATTGGTCTATACAAAAACAAATGCCAACAATAACAACTTGTCAGCTTTAAATGTGTTTTTTGAATTTATTTCAATCGTTCATCATTAATTTTTTCGATTGTTGAAACCTTAAAGATTTTCCTCAACACCGTGTTGTTTTTATAAAGGGATGTAACACCACTACTACAACCGTGTATTGAAATAAGCCCCGCATACTAACCCAATATGGAACCCTACTAACCCAATATGGAATATACACGGTCTCCACGCGGTTGCTTTTAACCAATCATATTCCTAGAAATGTATAGGAGGTAAGATAATAAGATATACGCATCTGTTTAAAGGGTCATATCTGTGTATCTCTGTTATCAATCAAAACGGAATATACATTTGAGGATTAAATATTTAAACTGCTATATTTTAACATTCACAGATCATTAAAAAATTTGAAGTTTCTAAAACAACTTGCAATTTAAAGCAATGTTTTTGTTTACCTCTGGTTTCATGGGATCTTTTCTTCCTAATTCTGTCCACACACCATCCTTTATAACATAGCCAGATACAACCTTTCCTGTCAAAGGTAGGAAAAATAACTGTACGTAATGTTGCTAACAATCACGTCATTTGGACTCTGGTGGATAGTTGTCTTATACAACATTTCCTTTTTTTTTAATTTTATGATTACAAAATAAATTATAATGTCATTTTCTATACCTAAATACTATTTTTATATCTACTGATAAAAAGCTTCTATATATGATAAAAAAAAAACATCATTTAATCTATAACTCTGTTGAAGACCTTTTCTGGGTTTGCTGGTTCGTAAATGTGTTTAAGGAGGAAATAACCATATGCACCTAAACTCACTAATGTTAAAATGTCTAAATTCCTATGTCGTTCTGTAAATTACGTTATATTGCCTAATGAATACCACGAGACGACCTCGCCATTTCAGTGCTTAAGTTACGGTGCCTATGTCATTAAATAAACCTATCATAATTGATATAATGATATTTGACCAAACACAGAACATATCATCTAAATATGTAGCTCTTAACTTATTACTAAAAAATGAAAGATGTAACACGAGGAAGTGTTGCAGGTTTAACTATTTCTCCTAAAATGCACTAAATTTACAACAACATCTAAACGATATATATAAACGTACCATGCATGTGAGCATGCGTCCTATAGGCAAATGGATGCACCGTGAAACTCTCACCATACTTACAAGCAGTCTCAAAGTACTCTGAAACGACACAAAATAGGAATTATTTGTCTTATAAGCAAACAATTTTGTTAAGTTAAAGTTATACTAAGAAGAAAAATGCCCGAAAAATCCATCATCAAGGTAAGGAATAGTGTGAGATAAAGTTGCTATCAAGGAGATATCGGGCATGAAACAAACTTATCACAAATATGTATTTTTAACATTGATACACATTTTATAGGTTTGGCTGTTTGATCCGTTTCGGTTATAATTGCTCTGCTGCATTTGTATTTGGTTTTGGTGCAGTAAAATTGGTACAGTTTGATACTATTTTCAGAATAAATCTCACACAAAAATCGTTGTTTTCGTCGTTTTTAATACACATGCCCATTGGAACGGTTGTTAGGCTGGTATTTTATGCATAATGCAAAATTAAAAAGGAATCCAGAGTACCATGGGAAGACTATGATGATGTGATGAAGTATGGACACTTATGAGCTGATGTCCTTATAAGGTGCTCCTCGGGCTTTCTCAAATTAATTGATGTCAGATGAACGCAGAAAACAACGGGAAAGTAAAATGTATAACATTGAATATTAATCTTTATTGTCATTTTCACTTTTCGAGGGATGTCTTCTCATTCAAAACTAAGTGAGATAGAGAACAGTTTTATGTGAATAGATCTCATAAAAATGGATTGGCAAATTAAAGAAACCTTCCTTAAAAAAGTGTTTATGCAGTAGTTGCAGGAAGATGAACGCACACATATCTATTCAAGTTTGTCCAAAAACATATGCTATTGCGAACCCAATGAAAGTTTTCCACAGTGCCATCTCTATCTTGGCCAGGTATTTAAACTTTTGTAAGTTCACCCGTCCTATTGAATGAATACAATAGCTATTTTTCTCTGTGTAATTTATTCACTGGGACCTTTAAATTTCTTCTAAGAGAAATCTATCACTCATTGATTAATTTACCTGAGTAAAAAAAAAATCTTATATATAGACAAAAATACTTTTTTTATACTTATAAAGTGCGTGTGATGATGTATTTATTCAATATTAATAATATATTTTGAATAATAATAAAGTTGATTTCTAACAAAAGTTTTATCAATGTTCCTATTGAAATTTGATTTTTTTTGTTTAGTTATAGAATATATTTAAGAAGATCTTAATTTGAACATCATAATTTTCAAGTTTTTATTCATGTCAAACAATTTTTTTTTTAAAAGGAACAATGTTGAAAGTTTTGTCAGAAATCAACTTTTTATGATTGAATCAATGTTTATATTAAACTGAATGAAAATATATTATTAATATATTATTAATATAACAGAAATCAACGCTAACATGTTTAACCCCGCCACATTCTGTATGGATGTGCCTGTCCCAAGTCAGGAGCCGGTAATTCATTGGTTGTCGTTTGTTTATGTGTTACATATTTGTTTTTCGTTCATTTTTTGTACATAAATTAGGCCGTTTGTTTTCTCGTTTGAATTGTTTTACATTGTCATTTCGGGGCCTTTTAACGCTTACTGTGCGGTATGGGCTTTGCTCATTGTTGGAGGCCGTACGGTGACCTATAGTTGTTATTTTAATTTCTGTGTCATTTGGTCTCTTGTGGAGAGTTGTCTCGTTGGCAATCATACCACATCTTCTTTTTTATATTTTATTAATGTTTGCATCACTGTTTACATTCAACCGATTGAAAATATAATATCAATATTGAATAAATGTAACATCACATGCAGTTTTGAGTATAAAACATGTATTTTCCTCTATTTACAAGATTTTTTTTACTCAGGTAAATTAATCAATGAGTGATAGATTTCTCTTAGAAGAAATTTAAAGGTCCCAGTGAATAAACTAAACTACTTTAAATACCTGGTCAAGATAGAGATGGCACTGTGGAAAACTTTCATTGGGTTCGCAATAAATGCCAAGAGCAGACAAGTTTGAAACTGGCAACCCACTGCCTGAATAACAAATAAAATATAACAAACTTTTTGCAAAAGAAAAGGTACATATTGAGTTTATTTCCTCGTCCACACTGCAAGTCATACATACCTACAGAATGTTTGGGTATCATTCCTCCTGTACCTAATAACATTACCCCTGCTCGTTTAGGTTGCCTGAAAATATTTCCATATCAGTGTTATTGGGTGTAACTAAATAGTTTGATAAGAGCGAGATATACGAATAAGTTTACAATTTACGTTTGTTTAATTCTGTTATGGTTCACTCAGTGTCAAGTTTTCAACTAATTTACTTCTGGGAGATTTCTAACAAAATAAATTTTTGAGTTTCAATCAACATTTTCGAGTGAAACAAAGTAAATAAATGCAAGCTTCATTAAACAGAAAATCGTTTGTGCTTTGGCAATTTTACATTTTATCACATTATGTTTCTAGTCGTTTTATAGAAAAAGTAAGAAAGTGTTTATCAGCAATATTTTGTTACCAAAATTTTCAATCATCAGTTTGCATACCTTAATTGAATATTGGACTAATTTGAGAATTAAAAAATTCCAATTTTATGAATAAGGACTAAAGCTATTTACTTACGGTACATCTGTTGTTATTAGGGAGACACCAGAACTATCTACTCCATTGTCTGAAATAAACATTTGAATATCAGAAGTGGATGATTTTTTTTTTTAAATTGTTTGAATTAATCTAATAAAAATTTTTAAAAAAGAGATGCGAGTGTTTTAACTTAATTCTTAAATGCAGATTTCTCTGATCAAATTACAGACACACCTTGTTTTTTTTCCATTTCGAAAAGTCTGAATAGTCTTTTGTCGCGACAAAATCTACCCGGATATGGTAGAACTCCCGTAGAAATAAAAAACAAGATAGAAATTAGTATTCCATTTTTTTTTTTCATTTTTACCATTAATACATAAACGTTTTATTCTTTTAGGAAAATTGCCATAAATGTGTTTTTAAGCGATTTTTCAAGGTCGGACTTTTTTCACAACGTCAAGATGATTTTATTTTAAACAATAATCACGTTTCGTAAGTTGGTGATGTAACAATTGTGATGCAACCAATGTAATATTCAGACTAATGTTTTAAAATGGTGCACTGCACTTGGCTTGTTTCATCAAAAAGAGACCCACTAAGTGTTAGGATATAGCTTCTTATAGACGAGGATTACGTTTTAAACCCTTTTCTGTTTGTGTTGTCTTTAAGTAATAGTTTGAAGCTGAGATTTACATCATATTCTTTCAGCGAAGAAACCCAAATGTAAAGTTGTATTATTCAATTCTTTTTTAAGTATCTTTCGATTTCAAAAACAACAATTGGGAAATATAAGTCTAGAAACATGACAATTTTTTTTATTAATTATGGTAATAAGACTATTCTTAATTTCAATCTGTGCTAAAAGAATGACAGGAAAGGGGTTGAAAATGCCTAGTTCTAAATAGTGTGGCTGAATAGGTCAACATGGAAGGTACATTTATAAGGACACCATGTGGAATAAAAGTTTTTCTGTTAAAACAGATCATTGATATTTTTGACAGAACATATGAAAAGCCTGCTTTTTAGAAGAGATGTCAAATGTCGAAGTGTCATTCCATTTCATAAGTCGAAGACAAACTGACAACTCCATGGCAAAAAAAATGAAGAAAGACGACCAAAAGACGACCAAAAGACAAACAACAGCACACAAAACACAACTTAAAAAACTAAAGACTAAGTAACACGAACCCTAACGAAAACCGGGGATGATCTAAGGGGATCTGGAATGGTGAGCAGAACCTGCTCCACATGTGGCAACCGTCGTGTTGCTAATATATATTTACATTTTACTTTCTTTCCTTGTAAAATATATAATGCGATGCTGTAGTGTAACTTTTGTGGCATTGTGTCTCATTCGGGTAAATGAGGATAAGTAAATGGTGTAAGTAAGTAAGAAGTGAAACTTTTCACTTAATTGTACGTTTAAATAAGAATCTGGATTTTCTTTGTTAGGAAAGCATAAAAAAAACAGATATAAACTTACTGGGAGGTAGAAAACTGGAAACATCTTTGTAGTGAACTTGCAGCACTAGATAATTTATACCAGTGTCTCCGCCTACTTTGAATGCAACATCTGAAATAAAAAATACATTTAGCAATATAGGTGTGATTAGACATTATGGTTATTTCTTATAACAATTTTCTAGCTGATATTTGTAATATTTTTTTTCAAATTATCTTTTAATTTATGTATATTATAAAGAGTTATGTGAATTATCATTATCGATGATAACGTAATAGGGTCACTGTCTGCATTTTACAGAGATTCATATTAGATTTGTGAATATACTGATATGATTATCACTATTAGATGAAGAGCAGCAATAAAAGACGTTGCTCTTTTACTTTGGGTTTTGTCAATCACGTGTAGGAATTTTATGTTACACATTAATACACCATATTCCATCTTTCCCACAAGAGTAACACTTCTAAGCATAGAAGGTGTCAGTTTTTGATCAGATATGCGTATGGATACTATAACAAAAAACTATCTAGTGTTTCTCTTATGTCTTTCCATTAATAAAGCCTAATCACTTTTTATTTGGATGTTACAAAATTAAATGTATAGCCAATAGAAATGTATAAGTAAAATAAGTTTAGAAAAATGGTCAAACAAATGACAAAATCAATAAGAATAGTAATACATTACATTAAATGTATATCAACGACCATAACAGGCACATGTTACATCTTAATTATTTCATATCAGTCCAAATCAATAGATTTAAAAGAACATATTTGAAACATTTTGCATTTGATATTCGGATCTTCAAAAGCGCTAATTAATCTAAAACATTTGCATTGAATTTTGATATTCGCACCTTCAAAAGAGCTAATTCATCGTTATTAAATTATTTGTTTAGTTTGCTTTGCATGACTCCGGTGTTATATTCAAGTTATCATGTAGTATTGGATTTATTTTAGTTTTTTATTGGATAATGTTTCAAACAGAGATCAACAGTTCCGATTGATCTGCATTCCTGGAACTCCTAGCGTAGGAGTTGACTGATCAATACTAAAGTTGTAACAAAGTATTGCGTATATAGTTATTGATGTCACATCCTAACAAAGCGTTGGTTACTTAACTCTCTTCACACATAAGGAACAAATCAAGTATCTTAAAATGGAAAAGGTATATTGACCGGTAACGGTTGTTGCTTCGGATGAAATGTTATTTTAAGCCACAAAGCTAGACAACATTTTTACAGTGGAAAATAGCTATTGATTCTTAATAACCGGTGACTTTCATAAGCCTTTCTTATGATTTGATACGTGAAGTTGTAGATTTTTTAAAAAAATAAATAAATATTGGAATGTCTTTTTCCGATATAAATTACCTTCTTTCCTCGGACAATAAAACATACCTTTTGGCAATGTCAAACCAGGTGCGTCATAAGCCCAGGCATATATAATTCCTTTATTTCCCGTCTTGCATGTACCTGCTGATTTGAATGATGGATGTTCCATACCTCCACAGTTCCTAAAAAGGGTCGATAACAACTTTTTAACGATTGAAATTCTGCTTGTTTACATTGATTTTAATTGACAGTGATAATTGGTTAATTTATTTAATTACTTTTCCCGAAAAAAAAATGCATTACCATACAAAATGCACTGGCTTTTCAAATAAAAATCAATTACTTTAAAAATCCCAAAGCTATAACCCATATTGAAATGCTGAATACAGGGACTTTTAAGCTAATGTACAACTTGGACCACTATGTAGTAGTCCAAGTGTACAATGAAAACCAAATAGTTTGGAATAGGAGGTCGGAAGGTCATGCACTAAAAAGTAAAATAACAAAAATACCGAACTCCAAGGAAAATTCAAAACAGAAAGTCCCTTATCAAATGGCAAAATCAAAAGCTCAAACACATCAAACGAATGGAAAACATTTTTTGATTCTGGCCGTCAAAAAATATATGTATTTTTCAATAACTTATCATTTCGATTACTTGCATTTAGAAATATCAAAAAATCTTACTGTGATGTTCAACAACTTCAGCGACATGTGATTGTATGCCCCGCCAACGATAGTAGAGGGGCATTATGTTTTCAGGTCTGAGCCTCCGTCCGTCCGTGCGTCCAGTATTGGATAAAAATTTTGGTTAAAGGTAGTTTTCGGTCATATCAGCTTGAAACTTTTCTACATAAGGAAATGCCTGTACCAAGTCAGGAATATGATAGTTGTTTTCCATTCGTTTTATGTGTTTCAGCTTTTGATTTTGCCATTTGATAAGGGACTTTCCGTTTTAAATTTTCCTTGGAGTTCGGCATTTCTGTTATTTTACTTTTTTGGTACACATCTTCATTGTGAGGAAAACTTTTAAAAATATATGCCAAATTATGATTTTGATCTTGCGTTCACGATTTACTGAACATTGAAAAATGCGACAGTGTGACTGGGGCATGGTGTCCTACGAACACATATTTCTTTTGTTTGTGAATTTTTTAAATACATAAACTGAAAGGTGTTTTTCAACATTAGACAGGGTATTTAATTTTCTTTATTCATTTTCTGGTATCATACTCAAAATACTTTGCAAGCTTTCGACTTACACTCAGTCATATGTTAAACAGTTAAATGCAGTATTGCAAGGACCGAAAAAAAAGACGTAATTCTTATCGAAATTTTCAATCTAACACTTCATATTTTTTTTATATATTAATTTGTATCACCAGTTATGCTATGGTAAATATAAAGGTTATAAATATAATCAGTTTTAAATTACAAAAAAGAGTTACTAGGCAGTGTAACTAAAAGATTTAGTCTGGCTGACTCTTTCCTGAAAAATATGCTTATATAACATAATTGCAGTTCTTGGCAATTAAGTGGACAGTTCCCTGTGTACGTTGTAATTATTTTTGGGTAACCTTTTTTCCTAATTGACTTTAACCTATGAGGGGCGGATTTAGTCAAAGTTATTGTACTTAAAGAGTTCCTGAAATATTTCAGGAAGTCCATAGATAAATCGATTTCAATTTATCATAATTTTTTTCAGGACCATCATTACTCGATTTCAGGATATCCTGAAATATTTCAGGACCTCCACAATTCATGAGGTCCTCAATCATTTATGGATATCCTGATTTCGAATTATGGAGGTCTTGGAAATATTTCAGAAGCTCCTTAAATACTATAATTTTACTAAATCCGGGACTCATTTTATCCACACACCTCCTTATATTCATGCTTATAATATGTGTCGTTTTAAGCTTTTGGCTTCAAGCATTTCTTATAAAAGTTAATTCTGAAAATAACATTCAGTATAGTTGACTTTCACTAGACTGTCAGATGTTAATAAAATCTGCTTTGAACAACATTTACCTTTTATGATTTATATCTTCATTATGTTATGCAATGATAAGTTAGTATGTTTTCCAGCATGACGCAATGTCACAAACATTTACATTTAATGTCAAATGTATCAAATATACATAAGCTGAAATGTATATGAGATCAAAAATTTACCACAGATTTCGTAAATTCATTTTAAAAAATCTTTGTAAGTTTTACTGTGATTTATTTTTCGAAATCAACAATAAAAGCAAGTACTCACCAAACTTTAGCCCCGGGAATTCCAGGTGTATCACAACCATACAACAACATATGGTGGGCTACTTTCTTATTAGCATGGGGTTCAAATCCAACTGAAAATCGATAAATTTGATGTTAGAACTGCTTTAAAAACTCGCATTTGAAAAGATTAAAAACAAATTTCATATTTCATATTAATAAAATAAGAAGTTTTAGCCTTAAAATAAATGGTTGTAATTATCTGAAAAATCTGAACCTATTGAAGGTTGAAGAGTTGTTTACCCAAAATAACAACAAAACGAACAGAAAACCAGTGCATCTGGTAAGCGCTGTTATTTATTAGCTTATTGCCACTATTTGTTTGTCCTTATTGATAACAGCCAAAGACCGTTTTTGTAAAAGAGAAAACATTGATGAACTCTTGAACACAAATAGTGATTGAAAAGGTACATGTTGAACCCTGTTATATACTTGACCGAGACGATGGGCAGAATTTATAAGTGCTATCTCACAAGGTTAAAGTCTGCAAAAACATTACAGACACATCATGCAAACTCTGGTTCGACCAGCTCTAGCTCTCATCCCGCATACTTGGCATAAAAACAGAAAATAACCGTTTAAAAATTATTGGTTTGACAGGCTATGGATCCATCGTACGAGAAGCGACCGCACTACTTTATGGCCATTCATGGAGGCGGTCTAAAAGACGACCATTTAATATTCTAAAGAGGGGAAAGGAAAATTTGGGGAATGAATATTTTAGTCTGGTAGGAACTGAATAAAAATACCCTTGCACAAAAGACATGAAACAAATGTGCATAAAAGGGAAAATAAACGTTCGTGCAGTCTTGAAAATCGCGCCAAAAAATAATTGATAATCGTTAGAAGGTTTAAATGAATATTTTAGACAGAGAAAAATCCTCCTGTCCTAGAATATCTACTAGTCCTCCCCTTAGAAAAGGTTTACTTATATATATATTGTGCATTAAGCTTTAATGTGCTGTGCTCAGATTTATAATTAATAAGCATTTATTGTTTTGTTTTATACATTGATGTAATTAGGTAGTCTAAACATTTTCATATAATCGATTGTTTTCCACATCGAGCTAGTATGACAGAACTCGTCTATAAATGTACAATTATTTTTTTCTTATTAAAGTTACCTATGTAAGTGTTTAAATCTGACATTTTCAGTGGTATACACAAATACGTGTCAGCCTGAAATGAAAAAAAAATATCAATAGAAATACAGTAAATACTGAATTGCCCGAATGAAGTGTATGATGGCAATCAAAAATTTAATAAGTTGCAATGTAAATACTTTATTTACTGTATCATATGTCTGTGATCTTATGAACAATTTTCCCGAACATGAAAATTGATTTGTAATATGCCCAGAAGTTAAATACATGTCATTATTTAGTTTTAAGAAATAGCGATAGTGATGGATGAATTGATGAACATACATTTTACAATTATCTTAAAAATTAAAGACGGATGTCGAAGCTTGTAAAAAAAAACGCACATGAAAAGTGTTTATAGGATTATTTAAGTAACTGTTCAAATGAATGCTCTTAATATAAATTGTACAGTGACAATTATACAATGTGTATACATGTCAGAACATATCAGAGACATAATGTGTATATATGAACATATAAACAAGTCTATTAGTAGTAAATTGAAAACAACGTTCAAACCTATGATTGCGTTGGATAATATATGAACATATATATAGTATGGTTGCTCATTTGTTACATTTTGGGACATAATATATTGTCAGTATACCATTTATTCCCAGGTTACTTTATCAACAGTTCGGTCAGATGTATATAATATAAAGATGAACGTCTCCTGTTTTACATACACCACCCGTCATGGGATTCCAAATTCAAACGCAATAATAAATGTAAAGACGAGGTAATTACTAGACTAGGTATAAAGTCAGAGGAAGTAAAATAAAACATATCTCTTAATTATTTAGACACTCGAGTACTTGTATAGTGAAATATACTGCTTTAACTTTCTAAAACAAAAAATATGTGGTTATATTGCTAATGAAACTACTATCAATATACCGCAGGATAATATGTCATCGTACCCATTATAATTTCAATGGTATTTCCTCACATCATTGCTTGTTTCTTTTTACGACGAGAAACAAAAACAAAAAACTAGTTCAACAGGGTTAAAAGGAACAACCACTGAAATTCTTACTCTGTCTGTAAATTTACCATATGCGAACATTATTTTGGTATATCGTATCATCAATAATGTTTGAACAGTAACGCCGGCTAACTAAATACTTGAGCAACGGGAGCATAATTATCATGTTTTTATAACTCAAAGAGTTTGAAATTAACAATAACACAACTGACACGTTCGTCTTTTTCACGAAACATAGTGTTGAGTCGTCAACCATTGTTAATTCAAAGGGATAAAAAAAAAAGAACTTAATGATTCAAACGTTTCTTAAATAAACCAATGTGTTTTAAGGAATGGCTGTAATATTTTTTCTGTCTATAAAGAAATAACATAAAAAATGTGAGGCACACTGAATAACGCGCGTAGCGGGTTATTTAAAAGTGTGCAACACATTTTTGAGGTTATTTCGAATAGAGAGAAAAAATATTACAGTTGTTCCTCATAATTTAATTCTAAATTCCATTTTTAAGGAGTAAATCCTGAAAAAACGTTGATGATGTCACGGGCACATGACAAAATTATGCCGGTCTATGAGCTAATAGACAAAAAACTTTCAGCCAATCAGAAGACGTGTTACATCAAAAATTAAATTATGATGAAATAAAAATATAATTTACGATTATGTAATGGTTTAATCTTGTTGGAATCGTGTAAACAATAATAATAAAGGGGGTGTAGAGTATACGTCTCATTTACTAAAATCCTAAAAAAAATCATCCAATTCCTCTACAGAAATGTATGATTTATAACGTCCCCAAACTGCAAAACATACCTTATCGGGGGCAACTTCAGGCATAAGAAGATCTAATTTCGATGCATTCACTATAAATACTGCAAGCAGCAACGATATGGCCCTTAACAGGCTCATTTTGACTTCTGAAATATAAAAAAGGCATGTGTTATTAAAATCAAATGTTACAAATTAGAGTCAATTTGGATATGTACATGTATGTTACAGTGAATGTGTAAAATCATGGATTTTATATAATCACTTAAAATTTTGCTAGGAAGTTTGTTAATTCCATAATTGCAAGTATAAACTTTATTTTAGAAATGTATTGTTCTTAATATAGATTGACCATTGCTGGTTTACACTATTTTAAAGCGACTATCATAACAGATATAAAGACTACACTCATTTATTAATGCATCATAAGTTTGGACGACATCTGCTGTTACGTTATTGCTCTGCTTTTTCGACAGGTACACCTATATATAACATTACCACATTTAAGATCTTCATACCTACATAAATGATAATATTAAACAAAAGTTACTTTTCATTTGATTTGGCTCTTAAGAGTATAGAAAACATGGAAAATTATTTACCCATATGTGATAGCATGGATGTATATTAAAGCTCCTGAATATGCATATCAATTTGCCGCTGGACGTTAGCAGTCATTCATCATCTATTAAAGTTTCTTAAATATGACAAAAGCAAGTGAAGCATGAAAAAAAATAGTCAAGACTCAGCATGGTTGGTTATCGATCAATAAGAAGTACTGATTTACATACTATCTGATGTCTCTACTAATTTTTTTAGGACAGACATCACTATTTATATGTATCATATTGCTATGACAACACTTTTTTTGATTTTTATATTTCCTTTTTACTGTTCAAACATGAAAATATTTGGATTTGTTTTCAGCGTTTGAGTCAGAATATAATGTGCCCTTGTATGTTCGCATCCCTCCCTGAGGACATTTATCATGTGAACTAGCACGTTAATACTCCGGCATGTCAGTCTACCCAAAGCAAGGTTCATATTCACGTCACATTTATATATAATATATATTCTCGTCCTTCGTCCTGAACATGCATGAAATATTTGACACTGGACGTTAAGCAACCAACAATCAATCAATATTCTCGTCCTGATATGTCTTTAATACTTGCCATTGTGAAAAAAAATATAACAAAAATACCGAACTCCAAGGCAAATTAAAAAAAGAGGGGAATTAAGTCCATAAAAATTGACAAAATCAAACGCTATCGATCAACGAAACAAGTGAAAAACAACTGCCATATTCCTGACTTGTTACAGGCATTTCCGGAGAAAATAGAGGGTTAAACCTGGTTTTATAGCTAGCTAAACCTCCATGAGAAACATGACCTAAACCAATCAGTTTCTTACTCCTTGCAAGTGTTTTCCACCTCTTACGAAGGAAGGTAATCAATCAATTCGACTGTCTTTATATTTGATTTTAAAAATAAAAGATTTCTTTTATAATTTCCAGCAATAACAGACCGAAGCACTAATCGTTAACTCATTTTCGAACAAGGGAATACTATGATAGAAATAAGAAGATGTGGTATGAGTGCCAATGAGACAACTCTGCATCCAAGTCACAATTTGTAAAAAGTAAACAATCATAGGTCAAAGTACGGCCTTCAACACAGAGCATTGGCTCACATCGAACAGCAAGCTATAAAGGGCCCCAAAATGACTAGTGTAAAACAATTCAAAAAGGAAAACCAACGGTCTAATCTATATAAAAAACGAGAAACGAGAAACACTTATGAACCACATCAACAACCGACAACTACTGAACAACAGGTTCCTGACTTAGGACAGGTGCAAACAAATGCAGCGGGTTTAAACGTTTTAACAGGCGCCAACCTTCACCATAACCTGAGATAGTAGTGTATCATTACAACATAAAAAGACACACTATAATATATTCATTGAAATGGCTAAACTCGATCAAAAAGACATTAAAACAAAAACAAGTAAACATACACTAAACGAATAAGTTCATCGTTACCTAATAAGTTGTTTCGTATTAATTTTAGTGATAATTGCATTCACTGTTCGAGACATGAGAGGGAAAAAGACAAATAACTCCTTAAAAACATTAATAAATGACGGTGTTTCTAATTGTTTTTGTTTTTTTTTGTGAATCGTGTGCTTCTTGTGTGCCGATTCGTTACTCGCCGTTCTAGAGAGGCGGGTCCTGGCTGCACTCCACTTGAAGTGCTTTTCTTCGAGAGAGTCTTTTGATATGTGACCATATGCTTGGCAATTGAAGCATTTTTTGCCAAAAGGTTGATTTTCATATCGGGTTGATATGCACTGTTATGTTAACGACAATACAATTTCATTGTTTGAACCAACAATATTTAACATCAACAGTTTAGGATCACATAATAAAATACATGAAAGATGAAGGGCCACATGAAAATGATAATTATGATGCTGGTGAAATGTCTAAAGAAAAACATCAAAGCGAATAGTTAGACTTTCACATCGAATTATATATAAAAATTGGTAGTAGAATTGTTGCTTATTTGTGATCAGACAAGAAGGGAATATGTTCGATTAGGCTCCTATTGTTAGTTTAATTTTTAATTATAAGTGGGGTACTAATTTACGTGGGTATAGGTGAACCACAAATTCAAAAATTCAACAAAATATTGATACCCACGAATATAAATGAATCCACAGTATTACAGGTGAAAATTTACCAGATATCTAGATCATTGCTACTCTTATATAGAATTAAACAAATTGCGTTCGCTACAGATTTTGAATTTTGAAAGCCTTACGACTAGTGTTGTTGTATGTCATTTTCGATACGAGTGTTCCTTGTTGCAAATGACATTGATTTACATACATGCAAAAACTAGACAAGTTTACAAACACAGAAACACGGAGCATTTGGAAGGTGATCATGTTGATTGATTGATTGTTGGTTGCTTAACCTCCAGTGGTAAATATTTCATGCATGTTCAGGCCGGGAACAAATTAACTATAAATACAATAGGTAGGTCCTGTAATAGAGACCATCCGGGAAGAAGGTCGGGGAAATTTCGACTGCTTCTGGAAAATGATGGTATTTCAGATAGGGACAGACATTTTACTTTGCAACAGGCCATGAGCTTGTTTTTGGATCTTTAGCAATATAATCCACAATTTCCTAATATTTTTTTCCGTTTCTATATATTACATTTTAATTTTCCCTCAGTTATTTGGAAAATGTACGCCTTGTATCAAATAGAACAAACTACCCCAGACTTGTCCAGTGTAACTGCCGTATGCTATTGTCTGTTTTCAATGAATTATTTAAACCAAAGATTGATTAATTTACAAATTCCCTGAATTAAATCAGTGAATCCGTAAAAAAAACCTGAATTATTTCAGGGATTTTGTAAAATCCTTAGACGAAATTATTTATTTTAGACTAATCAGTTCAGTGATTTTACAAAACTCCTGAAATTTCAAGGATTTTACAAAATCCCGAGGCTGATTTTACAAATTCACTGAAACATGTATACCATATAAAAGGCGAGATGTTTCATTTGAAGTCCATAAATATCAATCTTTTGTTAATTTTACAGATAAAAATTGAAATAGTGAAAAATTCTACTTTTTCCGTTAAAACTTACTTTATGGTTGATGTGCTTTGTTATGCATTCCAAATAATATCTTATAATCGGAAGTAATCTGTACAATGTATTTAACGAACTTTTCAATTTACGATTAGCAAAAATGCTGAAGGTATTCTAGACGTGTCACGAAAAATATATGAATAATGACCAAAATTAAGGTGTAAACAGTGTTGGAATTATTAGTGCAAAAAACTATTAGCATAGTTATAATAGTGCACAAAACTATACTAATCGGTTGACATGAGATGTTGTATACAAATAATTTTTGGGTAATTTATAGTTTATTTTCTTATTAGCTCAGCTTGGTATCGTATCGGTGCGAGATTTAAAATCCGGAAGAACGACCACTGTCTTTACAATAGGACGCGCGTAGTATCTGACAGTTAGACTGCAAATGTTTTGTCTTTCTTGTTTTGCCGAGGACTAGGGGAATAGCGGCCCGCAATCAGCCACGAATTGTCAAGAGTCAACCATTTGCTGTAATCTATATTTGCAGTATATTTGCAGTTTAATATCTGTTTGTCAGATAGACATGATTAGATTAACAGTTGATTTTTATTTAACAATCACTATGAATTTAATGGCCGAAATTAACAGTATTCGTGAAAATTGGATGAAAATACTGAGATTTTTCTTCTTTCCGTAGGTATCCTAATACAACATTATATCATATTGGCATCGAACAAGCGAATTTACCAAAGGAAAAAAAAAGAAAGTAAGATTTCATATTGAAGAAAAATTTATTAAAATGCATTAATAAAACGGGACACTTTCTCCTCGCTAAACGCGATAATTCTACAATATATGATCATATATATAAAAAAAATTGTTGTAGTGTATAAAATGTAAAAGATTTTTGAAGTGTCATTTACATGACATTAAGTAGTCATCTCGTGTAAGATTGTAAGCCGAAAGACTGCATAATCTGACATTCTATATGTACCTTGTGTTAACGTGTACAAATAAAATGTACGTTATGACCAAATGTTTAAAATGAGTCGACTAGGACTGGTATATAAGTGTAATAGTCCCAGATAATCAAAACCTTGAATTATCAGAAAACAATTTTAAAATTACATACTTTTAAACCACTGTAAATACCAGTATTACAAATGCAATAAAATATATGCTTGATGTGAGGTCTTTATAAACAGAAAAGAAAAACTGGGTAAAAAAGGGGGGTCGAACCTTGGCATCACACTTTTGACAAATTTTGCGAGTTTAGTGAATTTTTAAATTATAGATTGAATCTCCCCATGTATACAACAGTAAACCACCAAAAACAAAAAATTCCCAATCAATCACACATCTCATTTCTTGTCCATATTGAACGTAAACTAGTAAAATATCATGTCAACTTACCGTAATCTATTTCTACTGTGTGTCCTCTTATGTCAATTTCTGGTGATAAGGAAGTGTAGTACGTGATTGATATCTTGTGTAAAATTCTCTTACACACACACACACAATGTATTTATCTTTTACATTTTAGTCAACATGGAATTGTAGAATTGAATTATTGACGTAAATGGTGGTTTCCAGGACGATGCTTCCTATTATCTACAACAACAACGCCATCTATGATAATGTGGGGGGAAAATCGATGACACTGTAGCTGATGGAATCAGTCGATATTAGATGTATAATTGAATTATACGAGGTTTAAAAATATCCCCCAAAGCGGTCGATAATTGTGTCTTAATTTATTTTGTTACATTGATTATTCGACAAATTATGTTTATTAATTCATATTAAATTTACACAGATAATTGTTAAGATACCAAAAAATACAAAAAAAGAAAGAAAGTGTACGTGTACAGCCTCAGATAAAGTGTACTTGAGACCCTATGTAAGATCAAACAATAAGTTCACTTGAGACCATACGTCATGTCAAATAAGCTTGAAAGCTAAACAAATAATTAGTCCGTTGCATGTATTCGTATGTCTGGTACACTTTTGATTATTTCTCTAATTTTATCCATACAAGTACGCCTTAACAAACTCGAATCTTTCGGTTTCGATCACGTTAAATAAAAAATATACATACGATTTTTGAATTTACAGAGTTCTCGAAAAGTGGTAGTACGAAGGTTTTGGCCACCTAAGTTTTGCAAAGGACCAACACAATTTTGTATTTGCAAATTAAATAATAGTGAGGACCAGAATATTTTCTTCAAGGACCATCAGGGAAAAAAAGATGTGTACTGAGAACTCTGAATTTATATATATCTTTAAAATGTTAGATTCCATTTTTGGCTGATTGATTCAATTTCCCAATTTCCTTCGTGTTCTATCACTACAAACCAGTAAAAGTCTGAAATGGCCTATATCTGTACTCGACTGTACTGATTTTTACTCTACCAGTCTGAATTGGTCTGAATTTTACTCGATATTACTCGACCCCAATCTTAACCATACTCGACTGTACTGATTTATACTTGACCCTTATCTTTGCCATTGAAAATAGTCTGAACTATTACTCGACCAGTCTGAAACAGTCTTAACCCATTCTCGACCAGTTCTCGACCTATTTTTTCAGTCTGAACCATACTCGACCAAAGATCTGAACAATACACGACCAGTCTGAACCATACTTGACCAAATAACCTCTACTTTTTTTTTAATTTGAACTGTTTAAATAACTTTTTTTTTAACTGACATGACAACAGCCACAATAAAGTAAAGATATATAAAAGCAGATTTTTTCACCCTTACATGATTATCAGATTTATCAAATCGAGATAATTAAATTATCTAATTTTAAAGTCTGATAGATATAGGAAGATGTGATATGAGTGCCAATGAGACAACTCTCCATCCAAGTTACAATTTATAAAAGTAAACCATTATAGGTCAAGGTACGGCCTTCAACATGGAGCATTGGCTCACACCGAACAGCAAGCTATAAAGGGCCCCAAAAAATTACTAGTGTAAAACCATTCAAACGGAAAAACCAACGGTCTAATCTATATAAAAACGAGAAACGAGAAACACGTATGAACTACATAAACAGACGACAACTACTGTAATCAGATTCCTGACTTAGGACAGGTGCAAACATTTCGTTTCTAAAAACGCAGCCAAAAACATTTTCCATCAAGCGCCAAATGAAATATGAATATTAAATATGATTGGGGAATATGCAATAAGAAATGTGAATATGGAATATGAAAATGATACGAATTTGGAAAATATAACACTGAAACACAGATAACATACACTGCTGAATACATAGAGCAAAATATAATGAATACATGTTCCTGTTGAAGATACCAAACATTTCTTCCTAGAATACATCACAACCCAAGAATATATCTAGTCAAGTTGATCTTATAAAATATAAACATACATATTAAAGATGGCATATTTTGGTATTAATATTGATTCACTCATAGGGTCTTTGCATCGGAAATAAACACATTTATTCTAAAACCAGTTGTTGGCATGATACAGGTTATGTTCTTCTCATATATTTTATGATGGTATGATACTAAACCCCTAACGGGAGGGATTGTGCTTGATTTTCATATGATGAAGACATAATCTTTCAATCAGTTTAATTGAGGTCTGGAGCTGGCATGTCGGTAACTGCTAGTAGTCCTTTGTTAATTTATATATCATTGTCATTTGCTTAGTTTCTTATGTTACCTATTCTGACATCGGACTCGGACTTCTTTTAAACTGAGTTTTACTGTACGTATTGCTGTGTGTTTGTTTATTCTACATTGGCTAGAGGTATAGGGGGAGGGTTGAGATTTCACAAAACATATTTAACCCCGCCGCATTTTTGCGCCTGTCCCAAGTCAGGAGCCTCTGGCCTTTGTTAGTCTTGTATGTTTTTTTAATTTTAGTTCATTTATATGTTTTGGAGTTAAGTGTGCCGTCCATTTTCATTGAACTAGTACACATTTTTGTTTAGGGGCCAGCTGAAGCCCGCCTCCGGGTGCGGGATTTTCTAGCTGTGTTGAAGACCCATTGGTGGCCTTCAGCTGTTTTCTGCTCTTTGGTCGGGTTGTTGTCTCTTTGACACATTCCCCATTTCCATTCTCAATTTTATATTGTTATTGAAACGATATTGTTTGATAAAGATACATACAATACAAAACTAACTCCTAAATTTTTGAAAAGGTCGGTTTCGCTAAACAATCAAAAAGATTTTATTTAATATTCCATGTCAGCAGTTTTGTCTTGCTTATTTTAGGTTTTTTCGCTTCTTGCTTGGGGTTTTCTTGTCTTTCTAGTTTGGGGTTTTCTTGTCTTGGTTGTTTGGAGATTTTCTTGTCGTTGTTGTTTGTGGTTTTTTCCTGTCTTGATTTTTTTTTAGATTTTCTTGTCTTGCTTGTTTGGGGTGTTCTTTCTTGCTTTTCCGTGGTTTTCTTGTAATGGTTGTTTGGGTTTTTTTCCTGTCTTGCATTTATTTAGTTTTTTTTGTCTTGCTTGTTTGGAGTTTTCTTGTCTTGGTTGATTGGGGGTTTTCTTGTCATGGTTGTTTGGGGTTTTTTCCTGACTTGATTTTATTTAGTTTTTCTTGTCTTGCTTGTTTGGGGTTTCATTGTTATGGTTGTTTGGGTTTTTTCATGTCTTGCTTTTTTTCAGTTTACTTGTCTTGCTTGGTTTTTTTTTAGTTTTCTTGTCTTGCTTGTTTAAGTTTTTCTTGTCTTGCCTGTTTTAAGATTATTTTCTTAAGTTGTACCAATGTGTAACTCCTTCCTTTGCTTTCTATTACAAATGCTTTTTATTCATACGTTTTGCTGTCAGCATAAAATTATATATGTATTGTATATGTAAGGAAAAGGACTTAATGTAAGTTGCAACTGAACCTGTGTCCAATCCTATTGCAATACAATATTATTAAATAACATTTTGGGATGCTTATTTGTATTTGTCTGTGTCTGCGCGAAAATGTGTCTTATAACAAAATATTTTCCACGTTAATTATAGACTAAAGAAATTTTTAACCGCTTATTCGACAAATCACGGACTTGAAAATACGAAAAATGAGCATGTCCTGAAGCATCATTAAAATAATCATCGTGCTGAGTTGTATATCATCGGATATCTTCAAAAAAAGAATTTTAACACATTTCTATTGCAAGCCGTTTTCATATTTATTCCATTTCAAGATATATTTTAAAGGGACAAAATATAAAAAAATAAGATATGCTTTTTTTTGGTTCAATCATTAATGAAAGTGAAATAGAGAAATAATAACTCGCTATTAGCAGCCAGTTTGGTTCAGTTTTGTCAAAAAAGCAAAGAAACATCGCTGATGAATTATTCACTTGCAAGTGAATAATTCGATCTCATTGAATCCGTATCCATGTAACCTTCAATTTAACCCCTTAGCTAGAGATGGGTTACGCATAAACTAGGCGTGTTCAGCTATTAAATGGAAGAGAATGTCAACATTGAAAATGAAACAAGGGTAAACCATTTGGTTGACTGATTCGATCCACAAAAACTCTTTCTTATACAGGTAAAAACGATGATTAACATATTTTAAACCTATAATATGAAATCAAACAAACCTAGAAAAATCCAACTGCACGTGTTCGCGATCTTTTTATATCTATATTTATGTTTATATAGGGTTATATGACCGTCGGCAGTCTTCTGAGGTTAAAACTGGTTAATAAGATGGCGTCGACTAAAATACACACGAAATGCTGATATATATTATCGAGTCCATGCATCGTAAATTGTTTATTATAGACTTTTTATAATTTAGATATACGTTTTAATATGTTATAAACCAAATTTGAGAATTTGAGTCAAATCGGCGAACACGAATTTGACAGCTACTGCCCCTTTTAAGTTAATAAGATATCTTAAACAATCTGAAATCTGTAGCCAGCTATATATCTAATAATACAATAGACAAAGAAAAATTACACACGTTCATTAATTATATATGATAATAACTAACCGTAAAGGAGAGAACAGTCACGATATAATATGGTCTGCATTTTATGTATTCTTTAATTTGTATTAGGTAGTCCATTGCTAAGCGGTGCACTCGATTATGTTATAATGTTATATTAATTAGTATTACTATCTAGAAAGCTGTGTTTTTCATTTGTTGTCATATAAAAGAATATTCATTGTTATCATTATACTATTTTTTTCATATCATAAAATACTGAATTTGTTTTATTTTAAAGAACACAGTGGACTTTTTCCTAACCTCCTGCTTCCCGGGCAGTTGGTTTAATTGTAAATGGGGATCCTTAGTCTGCACCCTGGGCAACTGAGGAAATTGTAAACAGGAAAAAGTATCTATCTAAAAAAAAGATATCTTTAAAAAGTGATTTTTGATGATCTAACCTTTAAAACTATTGCATAGTTGAGGAACGTACATACACATATATAAAAGTATTATAACTTTTCAATCATCTGACTGCAAGCAGGTTTTAAATCATGTTTTCATCCTGTATATGCATTAAATTTGCCACTTGGCGTTAAACAGCCATCCATCCACCCAGGAAGAAGGCAATCGAAATATTTATCGAATACACTTTTCCCTTATTGAATAACTGTTTACAGAAAAATACCAGGTGCCGAAGTGTCTGGTTACCACGACTGAGGGGGAGAGAGCGATATGATATCCATGAATATGAGAGGTGCTAAAGCTGATACAACTGCTTACCAAATATTATTTACTTATCATAAGTGGTTTGTCTTAAACTGACCCAATAACACACTTTTAGCATGTAAACTATCAGTATGCAAACGTTCCAAAGTTAATGAAGCATGATTAAGGGGAGGGGGAGACAACATCTCCATGGAAATGAGATGTGCAAATGCTTTTACGACTGAATATCAAATATCATTGACTAACCATCAATGATTCATCTTAAACTGACTTAATCTATAACTTTAACATGTAAACTATGCAAACCATTCAAAGTCAATATAAAATGACTGGGGTGGTCTCTGGCCAGTGGAACCAAATAATCTCTATGGATATAGAATGTGCTAATGCTGGACAGCTGTTTAATTTCAAAATGACAAAGAAAGACCGATGATACCAAAGGGATATTCAAACTCAAGTCAAAGACCAACTGGCAAACAGTCTACAAAACACAACAATTTTTGAAAGAAAACTTAAGACTGAGCAACAAGACCGCCCCCCCCCACACACACACCAAAAACCAGGGGTGATCTCAGGTGCAGAAGGGTAAGCAAAAAATTCAGTGCTGTCACATTGGAGGAAGAGGACAGGACTGTGGTAATGACAATTGGAACATAACAGTCATCATCTGTGAAATGGATATTCCATAACAGTCATCCAACTTGTGATGGTGTCCATAATTTTTGAAAGGGATGACTTCCAACTTCACTACTTGGAACACTTGGTTTAATAGCTTCCTTGTAAGCAGCAACCCTCTATCAAGGAAATCCGTGGCCTCGGTGGCTGAGTGGTCTAAGACGTCAAACTACTGTATCACTAGCCTGTCAACTCTGAGGTTGTGAGTTCGAATCCCGCAAGTGGCAGGTGCTCTAGACTCCAGTCTTAATTGACTAGGATTGTAATTTTTCCGACCGAAGTTCGGTGGTTCTCTCCGGGCACTTCAGCTTCCTCCATCAACAAAAACTGACCACCACAAAATAGCACAATAGTGCTGAAAGTGGTGTTAAACATCAAACAATCAGTCAATCAAGGAAATTCTGATAGGAAATGCAAGCTCTTTAATATTGTAACAACAGAGAGATGTATACTCTATATACTGGAATGTTAATACATAGAAATGGAAAGTTAAAAATTGGAAGGATGAAATTATCTAGATGCAACTCAATATATGAGGCAGACTGACACTGTATCGGTTGTATCCTTTATTTTAAATTTGATGGGATAGATGCATTCAACATAGTCACCAAACTTTGAATTATTAGGTGAAGGGACATCATCTAAATAGAGGAACATGAAGTAAAAAGAAAATGCTAGCTTCTTTTCATTCTTCAGAAGAAGCTCCTGTATAAAGTCAGTCTCATATGAATAAAGGAACAAGTTGACAAGAAGAGGAGTACAGTTGGTTCCCATGGGAAAAACATCCTCCATACGAAACAAATTCATAATTTCCTGTCGATATTTTACATTTTTTCATAGTATGTCCTAACTATCTACAAAGTTTCATGAAATTCTGTTGTGTGGTTTCAGAGGAGTTGCGATGACAAACCCTTGCAGTAGTATATTTAGGCCAAAATTCTAAGTTCAAAAGGGCATTTCTCCTAGAACAAAAACTGAATCATAATTTCCTGTCGATATGCACATCTACATATAATATCCTAATTATCTACAAAGTTTCATGAAATTCTGTTGTTTGGTTTCAGAGGAGTTGAGATGACAAGAACAGGACTGACGGACGGATGGACGGGTCAAAAACATACCCTACGAAACATTGTTCCGTGGGGTATAATAACGTTGCTTGTAAGGACTCTTATATGTAATTCAGTTATCCAATACAATGAAGGAAGATCCAGTTCTTCATCTTTGGTTTAAATTCCAAAGGAACATAGAAAATACCTTTGATTATTTAGAATTTCAAAATGATTGAAAAGATGGACAAGAAAGAGGTGGCAACAAAGAACCTGGCTTGCAGGTCACACAAAGAAGACAATAAAAGTAACAAAAGTATAGTTTATTAATTGATTTAGAGCATCTAGAATAACTAGAACACATTTTATATATTTGAAAGCACTCATTTTTACATGTTACTGTACATGCAGTTACACAACAACTTTACTACTTTACATCTGAATTTTAAAAAAGCAGAAAATACAATCAAAATATATATGATTAGCATGTACTTTGCCTAATATCAATACAGATATAAATACAAATGGTGCATAATCTAAAATTCTAAGGTAAATAAATATACATTTTTACAAAAAATGCATTAATGAAACCATATGGATTTCAATGTTTAAATTAAAGCTTTATAATATGTTTTTGAAACAGCTATATTTTTTCTAGCTAAAATAATACAAATTGAAATTAAAAACACTTAATCTAGATACCTATTATATCATAAAATGTATATCAACAAAAACTGTATCACACCATGAAACTGTTATCTTATTGTCTGACCAAACTTTAATGGTCAATATGTATGGCAATCTTGAGTAAAAACAGCATTAATAAAGGCATACAAAGTTGCATTTGTTTGTATTATATTACACAATATTTAACAGGTCTTTGTTCTTTTTGTTCGCATGGAGGGATACTAGTTAAAAACACTTTTATTTCGATAAACTTTCATTAAGTATATTTTCACTATTTTCGACCTGAAATGCCAAATTGTTTTATATTCAAATGCTGCATTTTTAATGGTTTACTTTTATCAATTGATGAGGGATGACCTAAGACATGTTCTAAACCTCATACCAAACACACTGAAAACAATGAGTGAAACATACATATAAATGCAAATCATGTGATTTTATACACAATTATCAAATGCTGTGTCTTTACTTTTCTAAAATAAGCGCTCTCTCTTTTTTTAGGATAAAAGAAATATCAAAAGTTGCTGGTCTTATAAGAGCTGGTAGAAAATGGAATTTTGATAGGTTTAATTTTCAGATAAATATATTTCAATGATTTTCAGATTATTTTATTTCCCTTAGAAATTTTTTGGAATATTCAGTTTTGAGCAGTTATTTTTTTCTCATTATCATTGGCAAAAAATCTGTCATAATGTTGGTCACACAAAAATCTATAAAACATTTCTTTAACACTTACTGGCACTTATCCTTAAAATCCTGAGAGATTTCCAAATATATCTATAGCTATCTACTTTTTACATACATATCTATCTTTTAAAATTCTTAATTTGAAAATTAAACATTTTCTAATTACTGAGAATTAGTCAGTGGTACCTGAAAGTTGAACTATCTTTACAGCTATCTGAACAGCATATAACATTTTAAAATTTTTGTTGCATAGAAGACAATACACTTCTCAATAAGACCTGAATTTGAACATTTCAACCCAAACAAACCTTGTTTTAAAGGCACTTTTATCCAATGTATGGACTGGACTTATGGCAGTGAATTGCTAAATATACAAGTAACAATCCTCATAATACAGATACAATTAATCGAATATCAACTTTCTTCAGATGCACAAGTTTGCCTGCGATTTTTTCTCTTTTAATTCTTGGACGACCTACAATGTCAAGGTTAAATGTCCTTGGCTTTCGTACTTTTCTCCTAAACTGTAAAGAACTGACTCCTTTCCTGGTATGCATTAAGAATACTCTGTTCCCACTTCCTTTAGCTAATTTGTATCTGACATTATCTTTGAGAGCTACAAGGGCTGGTAAAACTTTCAATATTGTCATTTTTGGTTTGATCTGTGTCCTTGGAAGTGTTATTACTAAAGGTTTTGATGGATCTAAGGGTTCCTCAATTGTAGAGTTCATAGTTGTGTTGTTATCCTGTAAAATAAAAAGACAGAAGACTTCATAATTCCTAATATAAAACTGTTAAACGAAAATCTTTTGAACAGGTGAAAAGAAATATGCAAAAAATCCTCTTAGCCTCCCCTTTCTCCCTGCAAAATAATACGCTGCTAGACTATCACTAGAATAAGTCAGCAGTGTTAATAGTACAGGTTCCAAAAATGGAAAAAAGACAAAGAAATTGAAACTTAACAAAATCTGGCTAATGTTTCTGACAGTTATAAATAACTGGATTCATAGTACAATGTCATGATACTGATTTTAATTACAAATAATTCACCATTGCATAAAATGATAGTTATTGTCTTAAAGATTATCATAATCTATTCATCTATTTTTAGTTAATTTTTACAGAAGTTGAAAAATATTTAAGACTTATTCAAAGAATGGGAGATTACTCTGGTCTATTACTTGAAAATTGGATATCAGGTTATTTCCCATGGACAGATTTTTAAAGTCTTTTAAAAATGGATATAACAGCTGAATGTTTTTGGTTTTAATTATAACAGAGCAAATTTATTAGTAAAGCAAAAGCATATTAAGAAAGGAATTATCCAAAAAATGACAAATAACAATATAATTGGAAATAAGTTATAAATCTCACCATTCATCTAACTTCACAAATAGTTTCTATAGAAGCACAAAATGAGTCACATAGTCCTAAATTTATTGATTTGTCGTATGTTTAAATTCAAGCTCATTTCTCAGACAGTATGACCTGTATTTAGTCCTTTTCACACTTAAAGTTTAATTTTGCTTTGGTAAATGTTTTTATTATCATAAAAAGTTTATCAAGCTAGTGTTGGACAAGGGGAACTTCATAATTATAGATTACCAATGTTTTTTTACCCCATTCAACAAACTTGTGTAGGGACTAATGTTTTTGATCTGTCTATCATCACATCATCACACTGTTGTCACCATTATATCACTTTAATAATTTGTTGTCAGATGAATCTATCAAATTATCAAATCTGTGAATGAGTTTGATAAAATCTGAAAGTGGGACTATTGTATATATTTTTTTCAGGAGTGAAATTGGTCAAAATACCCCATATTAATTCTCGTTGATAGCACCTTCATTTTTCATCAGATGGTTTTTAAACTTGTATCAATTAGTTTGATAATAAGAAAAATCTGAATTGGAGAACATTTTTCTTTTGAGATGGTGTCTTGTAAATTACCTTATCATATACCTCTTCAAATTAGGATGAAGGTTTCCACTTATCAAATCCTCTCACGAGTTTAATATTAAAAGAATTGAAATAGGTGACCAATATTTAGGATAGAGGCTTATAAAATATATCCTCGCCGCGATATAGCCTTTTTGTGCTGATGCGGCTAAAACCAATCACATCAATCAATATAAAATATATATCTTTACAACTTTGATTCTTAGCCTTTGTGTTGCTAGAACTACTGATTTAATTGCACAACCGAGCAAAAATCATTTTCTGATTTAAAACACACAATTATTTCTGCATTTTGTTTAGCAGAATATTCAGTTTTCATCCTGTCTTGGGCTAAATTATTTTCAGTTCTTACCAGGGTAGTATATTCCCCTAACCAAAGAAAATCATATAGCTGTGCCTTTAGATCTTACAAGCAGTAATTCGGTAAATTTTAAATGTCACTGCAAAGAAAACACAACAAAAAACTTAAGGCTAGTGAAAAATATATGTCAGATAACTTTATTTTATGGGATGCTTTTATAATCCCAATGATGGGTCCTAACACCACATTTTATAACTCTACCTCATTCAGTCTCAGAGATCTGACCTAGACTCTGAAACTTTGTATTAGTGAATAATTTTAAAAGCTCAACCAATGCCACTGAGACATGAAATGTTTGTTATGTGACATTTATCTAATGATACATAATTACTGGTATTATTGCAATTTCTTAAATTTTGCTCTGATCTTTTTGTGTGAAAATTTTTCATGTCTAGCGACTCCAAACGGTTTTTCTCAGTTGAGTAGAGAAAGAACACAATGACATCATAAGCCTATTTCATTGAAGTTGACTTGAAAAATAGAAATAAACAGATTATCTATAGTCTCTCAACTCAAGGAAGTTTCTCAGCAACATCTCATCTCAGGGCTATCTCCCTTTGATGAGATTAAGGCCGAGAAACTCCCTCTCATTTTCAATTCCATAGATAATCTGTAAGTACAATGTACAGTTAACTCTCGTTGTCTCGAACTCCGGTTGACTTGAAATTTCGGATGAGTCGAAGTTTTCTCGTGGTCCTGAACTTTGTTCCATATAAATATATGTATTTCGACTCCTGATGAGTCGAAATTGGATGAGTCAAAATTTCGGTTGAGTCGAATTAAATTTACGGTCCCAAGGTTAACAAAAGCATTCAAAATTCATTATTTATCTCGAACTAATACACATATGTCAAAACATGACCTCCAGGATTTAAATGGATTGAAGAGTTAATCTGACAATACACTTGTAATTAAATTTCCGGTCACTGACTAAGGTATTGATTTATGACATTCTATTTCCAGGAGTGTTTAAGATTATCTTTTATCACCATGATAAATAATTAGTGATACATTGTTAAAGTTTATGAAAAATTATTTAAAATGTTTACAAAAAAATTAATTAAATTAATTGTGATTTACACTGATGAGCTTGGATGTGTATAAAGTGGGGATTAAGACTTCCGTTGGTGATCACATAAAAACTACTCAATCAGCGTCTTTTATCTTTTTGTATTTTTTCTTTAAAAGAAAGATTGAGATAAAAGAAAATAAAAATAAAAATAAATTTCTAAAATCTCTTGTATCCCAAAATAAACAATTTTGTCAAATTTAAATGACTTAAATAACACTAAGATCGATTGGAAATTACTCTCTCGGATAAAAGCCACAGGAAAAAGTTGTAACTGTTCAAAGAAATAATTAAATAAGTGAAAACAATGTTATTATAATAATGAAAGACCATAACATACAAATCCATCGATATGAGACCAGAATATCAATCCCCTTCCCATATTCATCCGGATTTATTTTAGCTTTACCAAGTTAAGAAAGAGTTGTGTCCCTTGGTCTGTCAAACTTCCAGTTTTCGTTTGAGTCAAACTACGGGTATCTCGAGATATTTCTCTGGTCCGGTTGACTTCGAGATAATGAGAGTCGACTGCATATCAAACATACAACTGCTCACCAAATGATATGGCTGTGTGACTTTTAGTTTCTAAGATCTTGTCAAACTTCAACATGGTATTAAAAAAAAAAACCTGCTTCAACTGTGTTGAGGTTGATTAAATGTGTACAAAACATGGGTTTTTATTGTTTATAGCAATTACCTGTATACTTCTTTTTGCTCTTTTTGATAGAGGTAAATCTTTATTCTCTATATCACATTGATAACAGCCTTCTCCTGGGGGGACACCTGGTCCACCTGTTGGGGCTGCTACATGAGGTATGTTCTGACCAGGTTGTAACGTTGGTTCTACAGCCAGTACACAATGCCTAAAAAATGTGTAATCATACAAAATGATTATTGGTCCTTACTAAAATATTTACATGTATGAGTGTTGTCAATGGTGAACTGATTGACTGTCAGAAGGACCGAATATTGAATATAAAATAATGTTAACAGGAAATAATGGAAAAGGGTGGTGGATCAAGTTTTCCAGAGAAAGTACAGCAAGGATTTGATAATCCATTTTTCCTTTGATGATATTCATAAATGGAGCATCAAAATAAGTATTGATAAAAATGAAAATACTTTTTTTTTAATATCAAAAGTTACATCTCACTCAGATATTTTAAATAATTAAAATTTCTTAGTGCCTTATATTTACCTACAGGTTTTATAGAAATGGTTCAAGTTCATCATTTATATTGTCCTTTGCAATGGAATATATTTTATTCAAAGATGTGGAAATAAACAAGAATATGTGTCCACACGACACCATGCTCCCCTCCTACTATCACATTTCCATGTTCAGTGAGTTGCGAAATCAGGGTTAAAGCTGTAATTTGGCATATAATTTAAAAAGTACATATGATAATGAATATAATTACTAAGTATTAATTAAATGTGACAACAAACTCATGGTAAACTTGCTTAACCTAAAGTGAAAATGTACTGATTTCAAACTCACATTTCCAATTTCAATGAATTGTAAAACCACACATGCACACAGAACAAAAACATAATGCCCCACTACTTCAGAAGCTGGGCATAAAAACAAGGATGTAATCTAAAAATTCTTACTATACCTACCCTTGCCCTAAGCTATGATATCCACTAGGACATCCGCACGTAAAGGAAGAAACTGTAGGAGCACATCCAAAGAGACATGGATCAGTACCACAAGCATTTAAAGCTGAAATTCACAAAATAATATACATGTGTATATGAGTAGGTGAAAAAGATATAATATAAAACAAGGGCTGACATAATAGAATTTTTAAGATACATGTTTGCAATCTCTATTATACCTTACCATGTGGGTTCATAATATTACAGCCTCTTCCACAAGTTCCTATTTGGCTCCTTTAGCTCTCACTACTTTTAGAAATTAGCTTTTTTATTTTGATTTAAAAATTCATACATGTTTCCTTAGCCTAAGGCTATCTATTGTTGTGCTCATCAGGTATAAGGTGTTATTTGATCCAAAATTCAATCTTTGAAAAATTGAAATTGGAGAAAAATAGAAAATCTAGAGGGTTGGGGTTCCCTTCTGTGTCTGGTCCAGCAGCAAAGAAGTCTGGAACTTAAAAAAAAATCAGTGTAAACCTATGGAAATAAAACTACTGACCATGTTTATAATTATAATATGCTTCTGTAATGGCTACTTCTCGTTGCAGGTACAAATAAAGCCAAAAATCTGGAAAAATTGTGGAAGTCTTATTGATTGAAATGGCCATGTTTAGACCAGTTTCTCTCAGACCTAAGCACTTTTAAGATTCATGTGTTCGATTATGCACAATGCAGTAAGCTGCACCTTTCAGCATCTCTAGGTCATGCAGGTCAAGACATAGGATGAAAAATTGTCAAAATTAACTGATGTAGCATAAAGCCCATTCACCATGCCCAGTGTGGTCACCTATTTCAGCTTTAAATTCAACAATAAGCATCAGCAGCAAGGTATAACTTATTTGCATATTTATGCAAACAAACGAAATTTAAATATTCTCTGAAAACAATTCAGCATGGTTAAGAGTTATTATACAAAAATGTTGAAATTGAAAGATATTCATTAATTTGTTCAAGAAAACTATGTGGTGTTGAGAGAGTTACAAGTTATTATCAAACTTTTTGGGGATGACATGATGTTTCCTTAACCCATCACTGCATTTCACTGACAGTTATTATAATATATTACTTACAGATATTGGATATTTGATGCATTAGGATCAACATCGATCCCTGTATTAAACTTACTGATACAGGACAATGAATTGGGATCAAAGTCCATCCCTGTATTAAACTTGCTGATACAGGACAATGAATTGGGATCAAAGTCCATCCCTGTATTAAACTTACTGATACAGGACAATGAATTGGGATCAAAGTCCATCTCTGTATTAAACTTACTGATACAGGACAATGAATTGGGATCAAAGTCCATCCCTGTATTAAACTTACTGATACAGGACAATGAATTAGGATCAAAGTCAATCCCTGTATTATACTTACTGATACAGGACAATGAATTAGGATCAAAGTCCATCCCTGTATTAAACTTACTGATACAGGACAATGAATTGGGATCAAAGTCCATCCCTGTATTAAACTTACTGATAAAAGACAATGAATTGGGATCAAAGTCCATCCCTGTATTAAACTTACTGATACAGGACAATGAATTGGGATCAAAGTCCATCCCTGTATTAAACTTACTGATAAAAGACAATGAATTGGGATCAAAGTCCATCCCTGTATTAAACTTACTGATACAGGACAATGAATTGGGATCAAAGTCCATCCCTGTATTAAACTTACTGATAAAAGACAATGAATTGGGATCAAAGTCCATCCCTGTATTAAACTTACTGATACAGGACAATGAATTAGGATCAAAGTGAATCCCTGTAATAAACTTACTGATACAGGACAATGAATTAGGGTCAAAGTCCATTCCTGTATTACACTGACAACTGTAACTACCAGGCATATTAATACACTGTGATACTCCACAGATAGAACCATCAGTACATTCATCTGTGTCTGTAATATACAATATACAATGTTTACAAAAAAATAAACTGTTGACACAGAGATAATCTCTTGCCTGTATGCAATTGTGATAGTATAATGCAAAATATTGAAATCAAAATGCCAACTGTTAATGCAACTGATACAACTGCATAGTAAATATCATCTGGTTGTCTGCATATTCATATTGTAAAATATTATTAATTTGTATATTTTGACTAATTTGATTGGTTCAGGAATAGTCACATGTTAAACTATATTTAACAGATTGAAAACAGTGGATAGAAAAGTGATAAATATGGATATTTTTAGAATACCTAAAAACCGATATACATTGTGTGACGTCATCTAATGAATTTCATAATATTGTTAAAAGTTTTTAAAAAGTACATATTTATGATCGGTTATTTTACCAAATTATCTTCAAATACATAAGATATACACAAAAAATCATTGAAATAACAACTAATATGTTGTTCTTAACAGAGACATCTATAAAATTCTAACAAAATTAAATGATGGAAAAAATGGAAAAATATAATGCACTGACAATTTTGATACAAATATGGTAGGAAATTAATAATAGAACAATATAACAATACAAGATATATCAACCTCATCAAAAGTCAATAATTGTATAATATCAAGGGACAAACTTGCAAAACTTTAAAACATCTGTGGTGCCTACAATTGAGGAATGGATGGATGGTCAAAAGCCAAACAATGAAATTACTATATTTCACCTATGCAACTTTCAAATGTCAGAGTGAAAAACTCTTGAAAATAGATGTTTCCACAACCAATATAAAAAAATTGCAGATTAAAGGCTGCTTGAACTGAAATTTGAAAGCACACAAACCTTCACATTGTCCCCAAGCATAAGTCTGTATGTACCCCGGAGGACATGAACACTTCCATGAGCCAACAAGGTTCTGACAGCCCTCTTTACATCTTCCATCTGCACATTCATCTACATCTGAAAAAAAAAAACACTTTTAATGTTCAATCTGTTAGTAGAAATATTGAACGTATATGGTCTTTAACTTTGCTTTTTATCTTATTGACAGTTCTAACCACTTTCACCATTCATCCACACTTTTTTCCCTTTGCTAAACTGTAAAAAATAAAATAAACAGCTGCGCCAAGAGCGCATGATTCACCCTTATTGTGCATATAAAAACTGTTACAAGAATAAAATGGGATATTTCGAAGGCAAAATAAATTTGCTCAGAAGAAAAACATGCATGAGGATACCATATTTAAATAAAAAAAAATGTTATTATGTTCACCAATTCCAACAATTATGTAAACTTTCTACTAAATCAATCCAAGCAAACACATGTTGTGGTACAATATGTGAAAAATGTACTAAAATATGACAGTAAAAGTGCCGTAACTCTGGAGCAACAAACCAGAAAATTTATAAAATCAAAAGGGAGCTTCCTTTCATCAATCCCCACAAAAATGTCATATAAAAATCCTGGTATTGTTGGACTTTTCTGATGGAATTACCTGCTTATACTAATTACTTATCAACACATTTTTCACTGGTTATGTCCACTTCATATCCCCTTAACTTACCAACACATTTTCTCCCATCATATCCACTTAGTATCTCTTTAACTTATCAACACTTTTTTTCACCTGTAATATCAACTTTGTATCACCTTAACTTATTAACACATCTTTCACCTGTGATATCAACTTTGCATCCCCTTAACTTACCAACACATCTTTCTCCTGTTATATCCACTTTGTATCCATCAGGACATGTACATCTGTAACTTCCTCTAGTATTATGACATGTTCCCCCTGGTCCACACAATCTAGGATTTTCGTTACATTCATTTATATCTGTAACAGACGAAAATTTACATAGAAATTGTTGAAAAATTAATGCATCTTTTTACATATGAACAGAAATGCATTTAAACAAATGTTGCAATTGATCAATAACCTTATCTCCACATATGATCAAACAAACTGCTAAACATCTCATGTTTACATAAAACGTAAAAGAAAATGTGTCCATGGGACACAGATCCATGGACACAGATGCCCCCGCTTGTAAATATGTAAGATTCAATGCACTAATTCACTAATGTTTTGATTTCTTTGAAACTTAATAGAAGGGCATAAACAAGAACATACTTGAATGTGCAGTCACCCACATTGGAACTGGATCTGAGTTTGGTGGCATAAATAAGCATTGTGTATAAGTTTCAGAACATTAGAATGAGGCAAAGTACAATTAGAGTGCAGAAACAGCAAATTCACCAATTTTTCAATTAATAAAGGGACATAACTCAAGAACAGTGAAAGTGATGTCATCATGATTCTAAATTGATCTGTGTTTGGTGATAATAAGCATTGTGTATAAGATTCACAACATATGGTAAACTTAAGTTAAAGAACCAATTTCTAGATGGACAGACGGACAAGGGTTAACCTTAATACCTCTTTTGCCTGGTGACAGGGGCATAAGAAAGAAACTGTGTAGTATTACTGTTGCACATACCAATACACTGTTGTCCTGGACCACGTCTAAATCCTGTCATGCATCCACACTGGAAACTTCCAACTGTATTGACGCATTCATGTTGACAATTATGCTGCATTGTTGTACATTCATCCAAATCTGCAAAGTAACATAATAAAATAAGTACAAGAATCATGCAAATTAAAAGAAGAAAAAAGGGTTTTTAGCTCCTCATCATTACACCATAAGTAAAAGGAAGAGATATGACACTATTTCAAGAGAAAAAAAATGCAACCCCTAAAAATGTTGTCACACAATAAAATCCCCATAAATATTTTCAAAAGTTGGCAGGTATGCATTACATCTTCCATCTGAAATATAACCATTAAAATTGCCAGACTATGCCAAAGTAAGTCAAATTTATTATAACACAATTGTTTAAACAAAAAGGTTTGGTTTTCAGTGTAACAATCTTTATTGTAAACTTACCTCTACAAGATTTTCCATCCATATTCAGCACATAACCACGAGGACATGCACACTTGTAACTGCCTGGGATATTCTGACATACAAATTCACAAGGCTTCTGGCGATCTTCACATTCATTTACATCTGAAATCAATGAATTATCTTAGATGAAAAATTTATAGAGTTTATCTGCCTTTTTCTCCTGTTCTAAAAGGATCAATATGTGACCATAGAACACTATGACCTCTCCCACTATCACATTTCTATGATCTATGAACTGTGTTTAAAGGTCAAAAGTGTAATTCTAATTACATATAATTTAATAGACAGCTGCACCTAGAGTGCATGATACACCCTTACTGTGCTATTGAAATTGTTGCAAGAATAAAATCGGAAATTTCCAATTGCACGACTTGTAAAAAATTGCCTTAAATCTAATGGTCAAAGTTCTGTAACTCGGGAATGAAAAAGCCAAAAATTCAAAAAATCAAAAGGCAGCTTTCTTTTGTTAATTCTAATGTTGTGTTAAATCTATAAGGGACGGACAAACAAACATTGGTATACCATAATACTTCCAATCTTTTGACGGGTGTATAAAAAAAAATAACATCATAATGAACATGTGTAGTAGGTTTTAAGTTAATCTGAGTGAAAACTTTAACCTTAGAATGTACCTATTTTAAACTATCACATAAAATGATTGGTGGGTTAAAGACATTATACCTTCAGCATATTTTTTATTCATTGGGCATAACAACACTACTTTTTGGCATGTACTGTATTACCCAATGTACATGCATTAATTGCTAAGTGAAATGTAAATAGCATACCTATACACTTAGTTCCTGTGATATCTGTTTTGTATCCTTTGTCACACATACATCTGTAAGAACCAACTTGGTTCACACACTTTCCATGGAGACACACATTTGGAAACAACAAACATTCATTCAAATCTTCAAAATAGTAAACATCAAATATAAATATAGACTGTACAAGTAAATTTCACGTATTTTTGGGGTTAAAAGTAGACCTACAATTTACTAAAAATCTACATCAGTGCATAAAAAAATTATCAGTTGTTTGAATAATAACTAGTAAGAGTTAAATTATATCATCTGCAGCAGCTTTTCAATAATTCATATCTTACTATTATTTTGCTACATCTCTTTATCAAAAAAAGAATAAAAATAACTGGTTGTAGTAATTAAACCATTTTTTAAGACAAAAAAATGTGCTCCGCCTGGAGCAGCTGGATACGACCGCAGAGGTCGAACTCTGAACACAATATTCAAGCTTGATACAGCTCTGAATTTGGTTAGTGATTAAATATTTGACACATTATAGATTTCTGACACAGAACAAATGCGGTCAGATAACTTAAAAATTTGAAATGGGACATTTAATCTACTTGATGGTCCAATATCCAAAATCTAATTCCATGGGTAGATTCAGCACGTAAAAAACAAGAATGTGTCCATAGTACACAGATGCCCCACTCGCACTATCATTTTCTATGTTCAGTGGATCATACAATTGGGGTCAAAACACTAATTTGGCATTAAAATTAGAAAGATCATATCATAGGGAACATGTGTACTAAGTTTCAAGTTGATTGGACTTCAACTTCATCAAAAACTACCGTGACCAAAAACTTTAACCTGAAGCGGGACAGACGGACGGACAGACAAATGGACAGATGCACAGACCAGAAAACATAATGCCATGAATTCATACAAAGTTTAATTTTGGACCCTTTGGACCTTAATATGGACTAATTTGAAAACAGGGCCCAAAATTAATAAAATGCTCTGCTGGGCACAGCTTGATATGACCGCAGAGGTCGAACCCTGAACAGTTGGGGCAAGTATGGACACAACATTCAAGCTTGATACAGCTCTGAATTTGGATTGTGATTAAATATTTGACACAGCATAGGTTTCTGACACAGAATGAATGTGGTCTAAGAACTTAAAATTTTTTAATTTACCTATTATGGTCCAATATCCAAAATCTAAATACATACACGGTTAGATTCAGCATATCAAAGAACCCCAAGAATTCAATTTTTGTTAAAATCAAACTAAGTTTAATTTTGGACCCTTTGGACCTTAATGTAGACCAATTTGAAAACGGGACCAAAAATTAAGAATCTAAATACACGGTTAGATTCAGCATATCAAAGAACCCCAATATTTCAATTTTTGATGAAATCAAACCATATCATTATTATTTGCTTTTATATATAAATCAAAAATAACCAACTTAAAATGGAAAATTTTAAAGAAAAAAAAAAGGAAAAAAAAATCCTCCCCCCTAATTTTTTGAACCCCCTTATGATTCATCACCCCCAAACTCAATCCCAGCCTTCCCTTTGTGGTATGGTACCTTGCAGTACAATTTCAGAGAGATCCATACACTTGAACGCAAGTTATTGTCTGGAAACTGTAAAAATGCTTGTTTTTTGGCCCCTTTTTGGCCCCAAATTCCTAAACGTTTAGGGCAATTACCCCCAAACTCAAACCCAGTTTTCCCTTTGTGTTATGGAACCTTGTAGTACAATTTCATAAAGATCCATACACTTAAACACAAGTTATTGTCCTGAAACTAGAAAAATGCTTGTTTTTTGCCCCTTTTTGGCCCGTAATTCCCAAAATTTTGTAGCAATTACCCCCAAAATCAATCCCAGCATTCCCTTTGTGATATGGAACCTTGTGGTACAATGTCAGAGAGATCCATACACTAACACACAAGTTATTGTCTGGAAGTTACAAAAATGCTTATTTTTGGCCCCTTATTCCTAAACGTTTTGGGCAATTACCCCCAAACTCAATTCCAGCTTTCCCTTTGTGATATGGAACCTTGTAGTACAATTTCAGAAAGATCCATACACTTACACACAAGTTATTGTCATGAAACTAGAAAAATGCTTGTTTTTTGCCCCTTTTTTTGCCCCTAATTCCTAAAATTTTGAGGCAATTACCCCCAAAATCAATCCCAGCATTCCCTTTGTGATATGGAACCTTGTGGTACAATGTCAGAGAGATCCATACACTAACACACAAATCATTGTCTGGAAGTTACAAAAATGCTTATTTTTGGCCCCTTTTTGGCCACTAATTCCTTAACTGTTGGTACCATAACCCCCAAAATCAATCCTAACCTTCCTTTTGTGGTATTGAACCTTATGGTAAAATTTCATAGAGATCCATTCACTTAAACTAAAAATATTGTGCGAAAACCAATGTGTCTTCGACAATGACGACGACGACAACAACGACGCCAACGTCATACCAATATACGACCGCAAAATTTTTTGGCAGTCGTAAAAAATCTGAATGCACAGTTAGATTCAGCATATCATAGAACCACCAGAATTCAGTTTTTGATGAAATCAAACAAAGTCTCATTCTGGACCCTTTGGACCTCAATGTAGACCCATTTAAAAATGTCCAAAGATCCAATATAGTAATACATGGTAAAAACCTCAAACAATTCAAGACTTTAAATTAACCCTCATTGAAATTGGTTAAAAGATTTGTATTTATTTTCAATTGAAGATTTCTTGCTGTTGTGCAATACTTTGCTGTTGCACAATACTTACTAAATCTGTTTACAAACTAAATATAATAATTTACACACCCTGTTTGGTGTGTATCTCCTGCCATTTCAGTATCTGCTGTTTCTTTATATAGATAAGAAATAATTTATGTTAGAACCAGCTTAGCAAGTTATGAAAAGTCTTGTTGGCCCCTATTCTGCCTCTAGTTTCTTAACGATTCAAGCCACAACCCACAAAATCGACTCCAACCTTCTGTGTGTGGTATGGAACCTTGTGGTACAATTTCATAGAGATCCATTGATTAATACTTAAGTATTTGTCCGGAAACCAGAAAAACCTTGTTCCTCCCCCCTTTTTGACCCAACGGTTTGAGCCATAACCCCCAAAGTCAAATCCAACCTTCCCTTTGTGGTATGGAACCTTGCGTTTCAATTTCATAGAGATCCATAGACTAATACATAAGTAATTGTCCATTAACCAGAAAAACCTTTTCCCCCCTCTTTATTGCCCCTAATTCTTAAACGGTTTGAGTCATAACCCCCAAAGTCAATTCAAACCTTCCCTTTGTGGTATGGAACCTTTTAGTACAATTTCATAGAAATCTATACACTTATACACAAGTTATTGTCCGGAAACTAGAAAAATGCCTTTTTTGGCCCCTTTTTGACCCCTAATTCCTAAACAGTTGGGACCATAACCCCCAAAATCATTCCCAACATTCCTTTTGTGCTATTGAACCTTGTGGTTGAGATCCATTCACTTAAACTTAAGTTATTGTCCAGAAACCAAATGTCTTCGGACGACGACGAAGACATGATAGCATTATACGAACACAAATTTTTTGCTGTCGTATAAAAATGGTTTAATTACTACAATAATGTAAGATGTTTTCCTAATGAAATTTCTAAACAAGAATAAAATATCTGTTAAATTGTTTATCTACAGCAATTATATTGTTATGAGAGACAATATTTCTGCCAGCAAGAGCATTAACACTAACCTCCGCCTCTTGTATCTTTCCCAGGACCATGAGGACATAACCTCTTAAATTCTCCTACAATACAGAAACAAAATATCAATAGAAAAAACTCCTAAATTCAGTAGCTCCTGGGAAAAATGTCACAAAAGTATGTTTATATTCAATACATTGAAAAATTCTAAATATCTGCACACAGTAAAAAGTTGTCTGACAGATCTGAAAGGTTCCCACAGATTAAAACTGTCAAGCTTTTTAAAAGTTTCTATCCATCTTTAATTCTTTTCAAGATAATTGGCAAAATTGCAAAAAAAATTGGAAAATGGTAGTTTAAGGGCATTTACTCCTATGAGAAGTCGTCTGACAGTTTTAGTGTCAATAAACATTGACACGATATCATTATTCTGAACATTTTTGCCTGATTCAGATTTTCTCTAACTTTAATGGTTTTCAAGATAATAGACACACATTATATAAATAACACACAGCTGAGAGGGTGATAGAGCAGATTGTTACCTCGAGAAAACATTGTCAACCAAACCTTCTGTGTTATTTGATTTATTATGCTGAATGCTCTGTTATTACTTTCTATTAAATTTCAAATTCAAAGTAATAAACTATAATGTCATAGAGTATTTTGCCATGGGATAGTATATAATAACACATAGCTGAGAGGGTGATAGAGCAGATTGTTACCCCGAGAAAACATTGTCAACTGAGGCAAAGCCAAGGTTGACAATGTCTTTTCGAGGGGTAACAATCTGCTCTATCACCCTCTCAGATATGTGTTATTTAATTTATTATACTGAATGTTCTGTTATTACTGTCTATCAAATTTCAAATTCAAAGTAATAAACTATGACGTCTTGTACATAACAACCATCCCTATTTAATAAAGTGCACACCTGATCAAGCGTCTCCGTGAAGGGTAATAGAAAATTCAGCATAGGATAGAGTAAATTGTCTCCCTTGTACATGTATTAACCAATCAAAATCTGGCATTTTGACATGAAGTATAAGAAATTTTTAAAGTAAATTATCTCCCTTGTATTAACCAATCAAAATCTAGCATTTTGACATGAAGTATAATACATTTTACCCCTATATTCTATTTTTAGCCATGTGGGTAATGTTGGTTGGGTCAGGTAGGGTCTTGGGACAAATTTTTTAAACTTGACACCCCAAAGATGATTGAGGCTTGTAGTTTCATCAGAGAAGATTTTTGTAAAAGTTCACCGACACCGACGGATGATGGACACTGGATGCCAAGTGATGAGAAAAGCTCACTTGGCCCTTTGGTGCCAGGTGAGCTAAAAATGATATGTGAAATCTCAGTAAGTCTGCTAAAAATGCCAGGACTCTTTCTGAAATGTTTTAATGGATTTGTTTAGATGAACTTGAATGTATGGTCATCAACTGACAATAGAAGAGGTATCTAGGAGCTTGAATTACATGCCTACTTAATTTAGCTTGATATAGTTATACCATCAACATCAAATTCTGCCCAAAAACCAAAAACAAAACACAATTTAGGCATATATTTCAGTCATAAATGCAATGGTTTATATAGATTATCAGATGTTCTGCATTTCAATATCGTAAAATATCAGCTGTGAGTCACAATAATAACCACTTTTGGTGAGTTTCTCAATGTATTTAGCGGCTCATATTTTACCATACATACATGCAGAAAATCCAATAAACTGTTTATTATATATGTTTCTGGTCATTTTTAGGGCCATTTAAATATCACCTAATCACAATCAAAAATTGTCTCTGGCATCTCTGGCAACCTGTAATAAATGACATTCAAAAGATTATTCCAACAAAATTGGTTTCAATCAAATTTGTTTGATCATATATAATATTACTTGAATTTCTTGAAGGACATCTTTCGCATGCTGGTCCCCAGGCATCAGCTAAGGAACAACAACAATCTGTTTTAGACAAGGATACAGTGGAAGATTCAGGCCGACATCTTCCTCCTGTTAGTTGTAGGTAACAGTAACCATTTCTTGAATCTGAAAAATAAAAGGTATAATGGACAATAATAACAATTATAATTTCAGCAACAGTGTTCATGTTTGCTGATGGGCCAAATCCATGGATAAATTTACTGACTAGATGCCCTAAGGAACAGTATGATAATAATCGATTTAGCAGTTTAAAATTAGATTTTTTAAAAGTTTTACAATGACAAAAGACACAGAGTGATAACAATAACTCAATAGGGTCAGTTGAGCTAAAAAGGTGAAAAGTCAACAAAGGAACAAAAATGGATGTCATATGATGGACACGGCTCAAACTTTGGACCAGGTAATCTTAAACTGACTGCTTCCAATAAATAAAATAAATATGACAAAAATTCTGAAAAATCTAGCAAACAAAAATGCTAACAAATAAGGGAAATGATAAATTAACCATTCCAATAATAACACTGATTTTTGGGTTCATTGTTTTTCTTCCTGTTGTTGTCTGTTAGATTACTTTTATTATTTTTAATCTCTTGGGTCTGGATTTGTTTAATCTAAATTGAAATGGTAACCCAACATCCACATATATTCCAACATTAGTCATCTTTATGCAATTCATATCAACCCTTATTTCAATGAGTTGTTGAATAAAAATGCTCCATCTAAGAGTCTGAGAAGGTTAAAAAATTCTGGTAAAAAAATAAAACTGATAGGCTATATTTATCTAATTTTTTAAATCCATCCTTCAACTAATCTAGTGTTTCAACTACATTTAAAAAAAAATTTGAATGGGTTTTGCATATAGGTATCGTCAGGGATTGTCCCATATTTAAAATTGAGAATGGAAATGGGGAATATTTCAAAGAGACAACAACCCGACCAAAGAGCAGACAACAGCCGAAGGCCACCAATGGGTCTTCAACGCAGCGAGAAAATCCCGCACATGGAGGTGGTCCTCAGCTGGCCCCTAAATAAAATTGTGTACTAGTTCAGTGAAAATGGACATCATACTAAACTCCAAAACATATAAATGAACTAAAATTAAAAAACATACAAGACTAACAAAGGCCAGAGGCTCCTGACTTGGGACAGGCGCAAAAATGTGGCGGGGTTAAACATGTTTTGTGAGATCTCAACCCTCCCCTATACCTCTAGCCAATGTATAAAAAAGAAACACATAGCAATACGCACAGTAAAACTCAGTTTAAAAGAAGTCCGAGTCCGATGTCAGAATAGGTAACAAAAGAAACTAAGCAAAATGACAATGATACATAAATGAACAAAGGACTAGTAGCAGTTACTGACATGCCAGCTCCAGACCTCAATTAAACTGATTGAAAGATTATGTCTTCATCATATGAAAATCAAGTACAATCCCTCCCGTTCCAGGTTTGATTTCATACCATCATAAAATATATGAGAAGAACCCGTATCATGCCAACTACTGGTTTTAGAATAAATGTGTTTATTTCCGATGCAAAGACCCTATGAGTGAATCAATATTAATACCAAAATATGCAATCCTTAATGACTTGACAACAGTATCGTAACTATATCCTTTCCGAATAAGTCTGTTTAAAGGTTTGGTTAGCTTTTGAGGTGAATGCCGACATTTTTGTGCTTTGTAAAGAATATTACCATAAAATATTGGATGTGAAATACCTGAACGTATAAGATGTCTGCATATTGATTTATATTTACGAATGATGTCCTTGTACCGATGATAAAATTTAGTAAATGTTTTGACTAGTTTGTAATAATTTTTCAGTAATACAGAGATTTCTTTCGTTGAAATCAAATTCCTTATTTCTTAAATTAGTTAATGTTAGCCTTTTATATTTTATAGTTGGTTTCTCTGTGAATATATTATTGCAAATCACATCTTTCTTTTAGATTTGCTTATGGTTAATGATGTACTTTCTAAGTTTTCTTACACTGGTATTTAGTTAGCTGATGGAATTTCCCTTCATTGGGGCGGGGTAATACGATCCATCAGGTACACAAATAATTAGATGATTAACAAAGAATTCCATCACAGTTCAGATTAAACTAGATGAAAAAAGGGTATACGGAGATAGAGATAAATACCTGTATAAATGACCCAACAACAAGAGATAGAAAGTTATTACTGAGAAAAATCATGAAAGACATGTCTAATGTATCAACTGTTCCAAAAGAGGAATAAAAATGAGTTAATGGGCTTGAAATGTATTTTCCTGTCCAAAACACATATATGTCGTCATTGAGATATCTTCTGCCTTTGAATAAATGAACATTTAAATATGGTTTTTTAGCAATTAAAATTTTAAATAAATTGTTACATTGTTATAATGATTTCACTGCCCATAGAAACATAAATTTAAAATAAAAGTCTATCAGACTTCTAATGTAATATTATGGATGGTCCTCTAACAACATTTAAAAGTTCCATGCAGATCTCAGACAGACATTTTCAACACCTGCCCTATAAAAAATTGATAGTCACTGGCATTTTGCATATGAAAATTTTTTTTTCTATTCAAATACATTTTGCATATGAAAATTTTTTTTTCTATTCAAATACATTTTGCATATGAAAATTTTTTTTTCTATTCAAATAAATTTTGCATATGAAAATTTTTTTTTCTATTCAAATACATTTTGCATATAAAAACTCATTTCTATTCAAATTAATTTTGCCAATGAAAGCGTTTTTCTTTTCAAATGCATTTTGCCAATGAAAACTCTTTTTTTTTCGATTATATTTGTATTCAACTTTTAATTACTTCAGACTTGCAGCTACCTGCCCTAATCTTGTCGATAAAAAATGATTGTCCTCAATATTTTCATTTACAGGAAATAAAGAATATAAATACAATTATAACGCAGTATGTCCAGGAAGTTAATGCTTGTAGCTCATACATAAACATTAAGAATTTCAAAACTTATTAATTCAAACAATTATTCATGGACCAGGATGAATAGTATGCAATATATATTTACAATTTTTCTGATTTGTGCTGCTGCAAGTTTTTCTACAACTAATGGTAAGAAAATTTTCATTGTTAATTAGAAGTAAAAGAACAAAGTGGAACTGTGAGCTATTGCTCACTACTGATGCTTTTTAAAAGTATTTGGTTAACAGGAAGATGACGAAAGAAGGATGTGAAAAGGCATCACACAGTAAAGCATGGTCACATAAAAGTAGATTCCAAATTTCAGAAAGCCTTGATTTGTAATTCTTCAGAAAAAAATTGATGCACATTTCATAAATGTCCATTACATGTAAGAATATATATTTATTCACTAAACAGATAGCGGATGAAAGATGAACTCACACAGTTTAGCATGCTCACATGAATATTGATATAAAATATCAAGAAGCTCTGAATTGTAGTTCCTGAGAAAAGTTTAAGCAAATTTTGATTGGACAGACGGATGTATAATTTCTCAGTGTCAATGGCTTCTATAATCAGTATCCTGGCAGGCAATGAGATAGTAAATTTTTTGGGGAAAAACTGTCCAACCCTGGCATTATAGAAAGTTGACTCGTTATACTTTTTTAATTCAGACATTATAAAATCCAGTACATTATATTATGTTTTAGTCATTTGTGTACTAACTTAAATCTTTTATTATAGGAAAGACAATCTGTGTTGAAGAGGATGTAATTCATGCATTGCTGACTATGAACAGATCACGTGTTGATGGTAATATGTTGTACTGTTTTTTGTTATTCTTATAAAAGTTTTTTGTTTGTTTCAGAATTTATTGGTTCAATCATGAATTAATTGTTGTAAACCATATGTTGACCTCTGGATGTCTTTTTATTTAAGTTGTTGGACTTCTGTCTCATTGGTGTAAACCACCTTCTTTCATTGATATTTATATACAATTTTGGCAAAACAAAACATGATATATTTTTAAAAAATCAATTTTTATCTTCTGATCTCAATGACGGGTCAATAAAATGAGGACTGAGGTAGCAATCAATTTGATGAAATTCTAAATCATTGAAAAATTACAGAAGGAGCATGGGTGTATTAGCCTTGTGGCTATCCTGATGGTGATGAAGCCTGAAAATTAAAAATGCTGATAGTTGTACATAAGTAAAAACCTTTCTACTTTTGATAACAAATATAGATTCAAAGTGGAAGCAGGAATTTAATAAAAAGTGTTATTCACATCCATATTTTTCAGAAATATTGTTTATAAAGCTAACAAGTCTAGGAAATGTCCTTCAAATCTTCATTTTGGCTAAATAAACTTGTTGATAAAGGATAAAATAATAGTTATTGTTGTTCAATCACTGTTACTGGTATTTCTTTGCATAATCAATTCATTAATTTATAGTTTGAAGCAATACTAAAAAAATGTTGTTTTTTTTTTCGGTATAATTTTATTCTGGGGAATAATGATCAAGGTCATGTATTTTGTACTGTTTATGACATTAAAGTATGAATTTACATGCCATCCTACACTCTTAAGCTGGTTAAAAACCGCTGCAATTGTTTGCACCTGTCCTAAGTCAGGAATCTGATGTTCAGTAGTTGTCGTTTGTTGATGTGGTTCATAAGTGTTTCTCGTTTCTTGTTTTTTATATAGATTAGACCGTTGGTTTCCCCGTTTGAATGGTTTAACACTAGTAATTTTTGGGGCCCTTTATAGCTTGCTGTTCGGTGTGAGCCAAGGCTCCGTGTTGAAGACCGTACTTTGACCTATAATGGTTTACTTTTATAAATTTTGACTTGGATAAAGAGTTGTCTCATTGGCACTCATACCACATCTTCTTATATCTAAGAACCTACAGCTGTGAGCACTTTTTTATACAATATAATAAAGTTAAGTCCTTTCTATGAACTGCTTTCTATTGTATGCTCTTTTTGTATGTTAGGTAATGCCACTAATTGAGATTGAAGAGGGGAGGTAATGTTGAAATATAAAATAAACTAATTCAAGTTTAACACAGCCACATGTTCATGTACCTTTCCCAAGTCAATAACCAAGTCAGTGGTTGTCTCATTTCATATCTTAATGTTTTCTTATTATTTGGAGAACTTAGTATTAATATCAGATCTTTGATTGTTTCAATCTAATTTATTCACAACTTTTACAGACTACGGATGCTTTAGAGTTTGACATACATTCTGTTTATTGTTGAAGACATGTCTTTGGTTATTTACTTTCATTGAGTTGCTGGCTCATTGATGTATATTCCATCATTTTCTCATGACATTTTATATGAAATGATGGAAATTTGGCTGAAATCCATGAACAATGTTTGAACAATGTTTATATAATGTATTTAAATGATCTTGTTACAGTATATGGACAACATCCTTACATTTCCTCTAATTACCACCTTTATAATGAAAGGGAAATTATGACCTGGATAAGGAAACTAATCTGGTCTTATTTCTAGTTTCCTTTCCTTGTATAAATGTAGTTGTATACAGAGAATGCTAAATGACTATTTCATTATCACACCCAAATCAATCTGAGACACTTATATAATCTCAAGAGTTCTGCTGATGATTATATTGGTTCAGGTTTGATGCAGTGTGTCATATTGAAAATGCCATATATCATAAACACTTCATGTTTGTTCTTACTATAAAGTATATAAGGGATCATAGATTTATTCTTACGAGGAAGCTCCGAGTATGCTCGGAGGATGCTCAGAGCTTTTTCAGTAGGCTCTTCTCTGCAGTTTATGTGAAAATAATTATCATGATCCATTAAGAGGTCAATCAAATCTACACCACTTCTATAATAAGGAAAGTAGAGCATTATAGAGGAAGCTCAATTAACACCTGTGTAAACATCTAATCTATTCAAATACATTTTGCCTGAAATTTTACAAAACTATAGAATAGATTAGAAATTCTTCAACAGTACTGTGTAATGCTTGGAAAGAAATCTCAAGTCTCCACAAAAAGTGAAAGTCATTTAACAAAAAATATACAATTATTATATTTTTAAAATAATCATTTCTTTTTTTATAATAAAAAAAATTCTCAAATCTTATAATTAGATGATATGATTTAAATAGGGTTTATATTATATAATATGCTACATAAAAGTTATCAAGACACAAACAACAGTCAGGGGGCGATACTAAACGAGTTATTTTTTTTAGTTACTTATATTAATAGGTATTTTTTGTTTTTTTAAATTATTTGATATAATCTCAATTGTTATTTTAAATGTCAAAAGTGGACAAAATGTAGTTTTTAAGAATTTTTTCATCATTTCATTAAGTAAAATTAAGTATTTATCCAACTTGAGATGAGTATAGAGAGATTACTTTCAAAATAATGAAAAAATATTACTTTTATAAATTATTTTATACATCTTCGAAAAACTAAGCATACTTACAATTATTTAAGGAACATATGTAATTGTTTTTGATAAATATTTCAAATTACATGTATAAATAACTTCAAGTCTTAATTAAATCACAAGGTTCCATCCATTTATATTTGTTCATCTCTAAGATTTTGAAGGAAAATTTTATTTTAATAGCCCCAAGAGACCAATCTATGACCAAGAAGTGTGGCATCAGAAAGGCAATTAGTGTTTCAGGAGGATTTAAATAGTTTTATACTGCATGGGGAAAATAACCAGATGTGAAAATTTGTTAAAGCTTGTAAAACCTTTATGAATGGACACCTATAGAAATAATATTAACAGAAGTTACTTATTCATGATATATAAGTAATATTTGTTTTCAATATAACTTGTATAGGTAATTTTGAAAATTACTAGTTTAAATAATGCCCTTAACTAAACAATGGTATTTTTTTTTTATAAAATAGCAAAGTTTTTTATATAAAATATTTTTGCAATTTTAGGGGACATGGCTACTTAAGCTTGTAAACAGAGAAAAAAAAAAGGGGGATAGAATTTGGTTGGTTAATTCTGGTGATGTCTTCTTTCTTATATGCACTGAAAAATTATGTTGTTTTATTACTATAGTACAGGACAAGAAAAAACTTTACTCATGTCAAGTATTTCTTTATTTAAAACATAGATAAATTCTGCACATATTTTTTGAAAAATACCAATTAAACAAAGACTGATAGGGGGAAACAATTTTATATTAGATTTTCATTCAAGTACAGGTCAGGATAAAACTTCACTTATATAATTATGCCAAGTATTTCTTTATTTAAAAAAAACCAAATCCGCACAATTATAAAAAAAATGACAATTAAAGTGAGACGTACTAGAGGGAAAACAATGGTGGTATTACCTCCTCAACTTTTCTTAGAGTAGCCATACTTTTTTTTATAAAAAACTAACTTTGCTATTTTATAAAAAAAAAAAAAATTATCATTGTTTTAATAGTTAGGGGCATTACTTAAACAAGTAATTTTCAAAATTACTTATACAAGTTATATTGAAAACAAGGTTGTTTCAAATATTACTTATATATCATGAATAAGTAACTTCTGTTAATATTATTTCTATAGGTGTCCATTCATACAGGTTTTACAAGCTTTACCAAATTTTCACATCTGGTTATTTTCCCCATGCAGTATAAAACTATTTAAATCCTCCTGAAACACTAATTGCCTTTCTGATGCCACACTTCTTGGTCATAGATTGGTCTCTTGGGGCTATTAAAATAACATTTTCCTTTAAAATCTTAGTGATGAACAAATATAAATGGATGGAACTTTGTGATTTAATTAAGACTTGAAGTTATTTATAATTTGAAATCTTTATCAAAAACAATTACATATGTTCCTTAAATAATTGTAAGTATGCTTAGTTTTTCAAAGATGTATAAAATAATTTATAAAAGTAATATTTTTTCATTATTTTGAAAGTAATCTCTCTATACTCATCTCAAGTTGGATAAATACTTAATTCTACTTAATGAAATGATGAAAAAATTCTTAAATACTACATTTAGTCCACTTTTGACATTTAAAATAACTATTGAGTTTATATCAAATAATTTAAAAAAACAAAAAATACCTATTAGTATATATTAAGTAACTAAAAAAAATAAGTTGTTTAGTATCGCCCCCTGACTGTTGTTTGTGTCTTGATAACTTTTATGTAGCATATTATATAATATAAACCCTATTTAAATCATATCATCTAATTATAAGATTTGAGAATTTTTTTTATTATAAAAAAAGAAATGATTAATAAATATAATAATTGTATATTTTTTGTTAAATGACTTTCACTTTTTTGTGGAGACTTGAGATTTCTTTCCAAGCATTACACAGTACTGTTGAAGAATTTCTTATCTTTTCTATAATTTGTAAAATGTCATGCAAAATGTATTTGAATAGATCAGTTGTTTACACAGGTGTTAATTGAGCTTCCTCTATAATGCTCAACTTTCCTTATTATAGAAGTGGTGTAGATTTGATTGACATCTTAATGGATCATGATAATTATTTTCACATAAACTGCAGAGAAGAGACTACTGAAAAAGCTCTGAGCATCCTCCGAGCATGCTCGGAGCTTCCTCGTAAGAATAAATCTATGATCCCTAATAAATATGTAAACAAAGAAATTTGTTTTGCATGCACACGTATAAAAATTGTGGTTTTTATCCAACGCAATCATAGGTTTGAAAGTTGTTTTCAATTTAGACTTTTTCTCAATAAAGTTTTTGTGCATATTTATATCTTTTCTGTCAATCATTTTTTTCACTGACTGTAAAACTGAAATGCATCTTCCATTATCACTAGCATCAACCTTGATTTCTAAGACAGAATTTTTAAATATGAATTCTTTTTGAATAGCCAAAATACAATGTATAACAAATTTTCAAGAACTATTACCATCATATCCCATTCACATTTTCTGAGAGTCAACTGTATATTTAATTTGTATTGATTTACAGCTGGGAATAAAATCATATCTACTGTGGATTCATTTTTATTCATTGGATACCAATTTTCGTGGGTAAAGGTAAGCCACATATTGAAATGTTCAACAAATAACAAATATTCTATAAGCTTGTATGCAGACTTTGGCAAAACCATGAAATCAAATATCCATGGAAATGCAATTTTTCCTCAATCCACAATAATTGGTACCCATGAAAACAAATGAATCAACAATATTATAAACTTTTCTTTTTTTCTTTTTCAGAGCCGTCAGATCCAGTTTTCTTTGCATTCCTAGCTAATGATGTAACGTCAAATGGATATGAAGTTCTTAAATTTGCCAATGTCAAGATTAACAAGGGTAGTTCTTACAACCCATCTACAGGGTACTTTACGGCACCTAAACCAGGAATTTACCAAATATCTTGTACTATAGTAGGATATGATACAAATATATTCACCTACCAGATTATGTTAAATGGAAATAGCTACACCTTAGGGAACACAAGTAGCGGAGGTTCCTGGAACTCACAAACATCAACTGTTTTAATGAATCTGAAGAAAGGGGATCAAGTTTATGTACAGCACAGAGGGTCAACTCAAAAGGTTCATGCCAACACGAATACCTACTTCTCTGGGTATCTAGTCCAGTAATATATCATATTTGCAAACTATTTAGTTTTCTCATGTTATTAGATAGTACTGTGAGAATTTCTCAAGAGCACAACCATGTTGAGTAGTTACTAAAAATTTTACATTCAAAGAAATTTGTATTTCTCTTTATACAACTGCAAATGTATTACGTTGCTGAGAGGTAAAGGCTTCTCAATAATAAATGCACACATATATTTCTGAATTTACAGTACATTTACTGATTCTTTTAAATGTACACAGTAGACACAGCTAGCATACATTTCTTGACAATATTTCAGCTTTAAGTCAGAGACTTTTTCCTGCATAACAGAATAAAAGTTGATAAATTAAAAAAAAAAAAATCATAATTGAAAGTTAAAGGCTTTGCTCATAAAGACAAATGGACAGACATTTTGACAGTCAGACAGCCATTGGTATACCATAAAACATCACATCTTAAGGGCATTCAACAATCCCTTAGAGTGCTGGTACTCACCAACACAATGTTTTCCATCACTGCTGACACTATATCCAGGCTGGCATTGGCATCTGTAACTACCCTGTAGATTAGTACAGCGTCCATGCTGACATACACCTTGTATAGTCTGACATTCATTTATATCTAAAACAATAATCATTTTAATATTACACTATTTTTTACTTCTTTAATATAAAATGCAACCAAACAACGATTCTAATGGACTCTATACTATTTTTGCCATTTTCAGTGTTTTCAAAAGCAGAAATCCCCCAGGGTCTAGGTGGTTCATGTTTCTTAATATACAATGATGTTTTCTGTGTAATGTTTTATGAACGATTGTTTGTCTGCTTGTCCTTTTCCTTTTGGAAAGGATATTGAAGCTTTAATTTGAAGTTGCTAATAATAACTTTTTTTTTAAACACGCATAAATGTGAAGAACATACATGTATTCAGGAAAACAGGAAGAGGATAAGAAACAGATCTGAAAATGAGGCATTATTAAACCTACCAATATGAAACTTCGTACAAAATATCAAGAAACTCTGATTTAAAGTTACTGAGAAAATGCAACAGAAATATGTTAAGATGCACCGACAGACAAAAGTTAATCAGTATAACTTGGCTCCTTTAGAGAAGCGCTATATTCACAAAAGTATTTAATACAAAGTAGACTATAAGATACACTAACCAACACACTGATTTGGTCCTACTTCTCTGTAACCTTCAGGACAGATACACATAAATGATCCCACTAAATTTTTACAGGCATATCGACATGTGTTAGCTTGGGTCTGACATTCATCCACATCTATAAATAGATTTTAACACATATTTTAAGTATTTTCATATGGAGTCTTACATTACATGCATTAATATAATCAGCTGCACTAGGAATGCATGTTGTGCCTATCCACATATCAATGAGATTGGACACATGTAGACTTAAAAACATGTTACTGAATGAACAAAACAGTGTGTACAAATGTCAAGATGATATATGAATATACATTCAAGTTAACCCAAGCATAAGAACAATTGCTGATTTTTTTAGTTTAAAGTACCATCTAACTCTGTAATGACAAACCTGAAAATTGTCCTAATGAAGAATTTTGCATGTAAGACATCAAAAGTCTCATGGAACTATAATACAGGTGAAAATGGGTCAGATCATCAAATCCTGGGTTGTTGGATGCCCCAGGCTGATCATTTAAAAATCTTTGGTGTGTTGGGAAAATTCCATAATCATATCAATAAAATCAGGTTTGTTGGCAGGTATGATGGCAATGTAAAAAAATTCAAATCCATTTTATATTCAAAATACTGAAAATTGAGAATTAATCATCCTATCAATTTTATTCTGATATTACCTCATGTCTAGTTTTGTGAAATTTTATGCAGATTAAATGAAAATATTCAAGATAAAATTAGGTTTCTCTCTGGGTACTCTGGCTTCCTCCACCAATAAAAACTGGCCACAATGATATAGCCAAGAGTGCTGAAAGCGAAGTTAAACACCACCAATCAATCAAGATTTAATTCTTGAACATGTGGTTAACTAAGATTTCAGTGCATTAAATGAGGTACAGCAACTATCAAAATATAGAAAGCTGGTTATCATTTTCCCCCACCAATTTATTCATTTGTGCAGAAAATGAAAATCTTTCAAAATTTGAACAGGGTGTTTACACTTAACCATAAATTCATGTCAGTATAAGATAGAACAGTTACCTTGACAATGAATACCATCAGAAGCTAAAGAATATCCCATTGGACAGATACAGGCAAATGATCCAGGTATATTGACACACCTGAATGCACAGTTGTTCAATGGACCATTACATTCATTTATATCTGAAATGATAAATAAGAATTGAACTTTCATAGCAGTCATTAAAATCATAAATCCCAATGATTAACAGCTTTTCAAATATTTACAATTATTTGGTACAGTTAATATAGTTAGATATTTTTAATGAAACAATTTGTTCATGTCATGCTCTATGCTCATTTTAACATGGGTATGCATTTCATTTATCAATATCTTTACACTGAGCATTATCCATGTTAAAATGTGCATAGATCATGCCATGAAAAAGTTATTTAAATACTAGTACATGTAGGAAAATTTTTCAACTTTTTTTTATTGAAACTGACCTTTGAGACACATTTGAAAGGCAGCCATTTTTATTAAATGAAGCAAAAGCATTCTTAAAACAACAAATGTTCTATGACTGAAACAGAGCAGATACAGTATAGACTTACTTTTTAGAGGTTACATTGAATTTCATAGCAAGAAACTTCCATAGAAATATCAACTATAACTCAGGCATCATTCAAAATAATCTAATGTTACAAATTCAATTCTGATGTCAAAAATATGTACTCCAGGTTTTATTGGAATTAGAACATAGCTTTATTTATAAAGCAAAGAAGAGCATCATATTAGAATAAAGAATAACACTAAATTTTAAAGAAAATGCATATATATATAAAAATATATTATAAAAAATATATTCTGGCCAACAAAAAATCCCTTCAAATTACTATCACTGGAACAGTTGATAGTAATTTCTGTTATAGTCCTGACTCTGTACAGGCCCTCAGCAAACAGCACCAGGGGCTGAATTAGGTGAATATATCTTTTGAACAATTTTATATTTTTACCTTGACATGTATTGTCTATGCCTTGTTCAAATCCAGCACTACAAGAACACCGGAAGCTACCAATGACATTAGTACAGGTGCCATTTCCACAAATACCGGGTCTGCTTACACACTCATCATCATCTGTAAAATAAACATGTATAACAAATATCAGTTAAAGATTTAAAAATAAATACTGAAAAAGCATTCTGTGAGTATTGCCTGGCAATACATAGTTCCCTACTGGTTAAAAATTCATTGTACTGGAACAAAATGCTTACTTGATCTATAAATTGTCATGGTGTAAACTATATAACAAATATCAAGTCAATATCTTCAAGCATGATGAAAAAAAGTGAGGAAAACTGATTATTTGAGTGAATTTTCTAAGTCCAAGGACCATAACTCAGCACAAAATCATTAGACCAGACCAAAATTCGAGCTTGATCTATAACTTGTCATGATAAAACTATATACCAATCATCTAATCAATATCTTCAAGCATGACAAAAAAAAGTGCGGAAAACTGATTATTTGAGTGAATTTTCTAAGTCCAAGGACCATAACTCTGCACAAAATTGTCAGACCGGAACAAAATTCTAACTTGATCTGTAACTTGTCATGATAAAACAATACACCATATATCAAATCAATATATTCAATCACGAGGAAAAAAGTGTGGAGTGCAAACCTTAAGTCCCCTTCTATTTCGTCGTTAGGGGACTAATAATTAACATTAGTTCATTAACTGCAAATTATACACAGATTAACAAGATTGCTCCATATATGCCAATGTTCCTTGTGGATACACTGGAATATTCCATTTCACTAATTTTAAAGGGCATAACAGCAGCAAAAATAATCCATCTGCACCGATTTTCAAATGACTTTTGCTGATATAAACCTTTGATATAAATTTGATTAAACCCCAATGAGATATGTAGGTGTGAGAACCCTTACAATGTTGACTTCCTATTATTTCCATTTCTAAGGGGCATAACTGTCCAAAATATATGATAAGAGCTGATTTTTCGAAATCAATGTATAATAGATTTTGCTGATTTTAACCTTTGACATAAATTCAATGAGAAATTTTGCCAAGAGAGCACTTGCAATGTAAAATTAATCATTTTTTGGGTTTTTTTTATCAAGTAGCATAACTCTCAAAACAAAAATCTATCAGCACTGAATTTTAATCTTGTTTGACATAAATTTTATCAAAATCTGAAGACAACTGTAGGTGTGACTGTATAACTTCATTGGACAGATAAAGGGACATCAGCATTTCAAGGGCCTTCTATGCTTTGCAGTTACAGACAATAAAATAAGTTGCTATAGACACAGTAAAATAAGCATAATTGTATTGGGCATCTACGGGGGTCATATGGCAACCCATGTCTTTCACTTATGCTTTTTAGGATGGCTGTTTCTTATATTTTATATAAATGAAAGGAGATTGAGTTTAGAGACATGTGTGATTGAATTCATTAGAAGCTATTGAAGAACTGCCTTGAACATCAAAATTCCTATCAGACAAAAATATAGGGAAACGATGACAACCACTGACATAGCTTACTCTTGTTCTGTTGTCAAGATATATATCCTAATAAAACTCACCAATACATGTAGTACCAGATCTGTCCAGTTTATAACCAGGGTCACAATCACACCTGAATGATCCATCAGTGTTAATACATCTACCGTTCCTACAAAGGTCTGGATTATCTACACACTCATTGATATCTGGAGAAATGAAACATAGCCATTAATCTATTTTGAATCATTCAATACAAACAAACAAAAAATCAAATTAGGAATGAACAATTTCGATCAAACAACAAGATGATAGTTTTACCTTTCAGTTTTTTATGAAATCTTCTTTAAAACTTCAAAAAATATATATTGCTAATAAAGATAAATATCAGCTAACCTCTTGTTCCTCCAGATGGATCTGTGATTCTTCCAAAACCATCAGGACATAGTAGGTCAAAACCAGCTGCAAAATACAGTACACTTACTTCATATGTTAAACTCTTTGGATTAATTTACATCAGCAATCAATTTAAAGGTAATTTGTAAGCAACTATGATTGAGAAAATTATCTTATATATAATAAGAATGGCTTTAAAACAAATAAAATGTTCACTTATACAACTAGAAGTCATGATTTACTGATACTGAATATTGCCTTGTTAAAGTGAACCACTTCTCTGGTGTTGTGGTAGCACACTCATCAAGAGTGAAATGTTATAGGTTTGATCAAAAGCCATTTCAAACCAGACTCTAAACTGGTATTTTCTCTCTGTACACACAGCATTTAGGAGTTAGAGCAAAGACAGGCCAGTCATAATTATGCCTGGGTACTGTGACATGTCTTCATCTACACTGCAACCTCTTAAATTAACACACATTTAAAAAATTTGGCTCAGTGTAGTGGTTTAGTAATTTAGCAAGGTTTATATTTATGTTCTGAAAGTACTTACAATATTTGCTGCTTGTTCTTGCTTGTTAAAACTTTTAAGGTATGAGAATGGTTACAGTATGGCACCAGGTACTGCCTTTGTTAAAATCAGAAGTATAATTTACTGACAATATCTGTTGCATTGTTAAAGTAAGGGTAAGATTTACATACACCTGGCTTTGATTTGTTTAAGAAAACGTCAGATTTACTGTCACCATATGTTGGCTTATTTTCTACAATATTTCAATCAATACGCTTTCAGTCTATAAAATTTCCTACTTAAAAAGAGTTACCTTCTCCAGGTTTGGGACAAATCTCACAAAGTTCTGAGCTTCCCCAGGCTTCGCCTCGACTGCAGCAACATTTGGGACGTGTTGTATTTCTGGACCTTGGATCCAAACAACGGCCATTGGTAAATCTGTTGAAACAGTTACCTTCTCTTATATCTGTATATAAAAAGTAGTTGTGCATTGTGTTGTAATTTAAGGAATCTGGCAAAACTAACAATTTCTTGTGGATCAGTTGATTTCCTCAAAATTCATTGATAACTATCAAGATAAAGAACAACAATAAAACTTTCAAAATTTACAATTACTCATGATTTACTTTGTATAGTTGTCTCTTGCACAGTCAGACTATTATTCTTTTTTTTCAATCATTTTTTATGATTTGAGAATTATCAGAAATATTTCTGACACCCAAACAAGGTTTCATTCCTATAGATGAAGGTGACCTCAAGTTTTTCTTTTGTCCTTCAGTTACCAAGCTTTCAACATTTTAATTTTAAGTTCTGTTCAAATAATTTTGAGCTGTAAACATGTTTTCTAAATAATATAACAAGTTAAATTATATGATATACAGTAAAGATGAGAGAAATAAACCATACTGGACAAAATGGTAAACTGCATCAAACACCCAACAATGAACTCAACCAAGAAAAAATATTACTAACAAAGAAAACCAATAAAGAATAAGATATAAAGGCTAAAAGAAACCAAATTTGATGGACTAAACTAGTTTTCTGGGTACTTAAACTTCTCAACAATATATTAAGAACTTATCTATACCATATGTATTTATTAAGCATGAATTCATTTAATTCACAGGATATATTATGACATGTAGATATAGATGGGAAAATCATTTCATAAAATATTACCTAAGCAACTTCTACCATCCAATGTCATTAGTGACCCTGGAGGACAGATACATTTAAATCCACCAACAGTATTAACACATCTACCATTGGCACACAATCCTGCTTCTGTTAAACATTCATTCTTGTCTGAAAACATATATTCATACACATTTTTCAGAGAAAATAAAGAACCTTGTTACTGGTCTAATTTTTATGTAAAATAGCCTTAAAATAGTTAAAGATATCAAATATATATATCAAATAAACTTACATAATCAAAAGTCATCAGATCCCAGTCAAAGAAATAAGAAGATGTGAAGCAAATATCCATTATCAACTTTAAAAAAGCCAGCCAAAACTCATTCAAAGATTCTTTATCTAAGCATATGAACTATCACAATTGCTTTGTTGTGAAACATTTGATGTTCTAGTCTTAAATTCTACATTATAATTCTTGTAGGGTATTTGTAACCAGACTCAGTATGTTCTTTTTTGACCGGGCCCGATTTAGTGGTGTTACATCTCACAAAATCTTTCCAAACAATTTTTGCAAAGAATTCCGCTTGCTGGTGCTAGGGGTCGTCTTAAACTTGCAGTGAGGTGAGAGTTTTTTTGCTCCATATTGAAGGTCTCACTGTGACTTTGAGATGAAGAACAGCAATAAAAAGCTGTTCCTTTACTTTTTGTGTTTTTTGTTGTGCATGTACTGATTTTGTGTCATGGAAGGATACCCCATATCCTTTGTTTTTCTATCAAAATGTCCAATTTGTTGAAGAAAGGTAAAATCAGAAGAAAAAAGAAAAATTGGTAAAAATTCAATTACTATCAATGTGTCTGCATTAACTACAGTGATATATTTTACACCTTTATGCACACCAGAGTACACAAAAGGTGTTGATGGATTTCGTATTGATCATCATTAGTTTTCTGTTAAGTGCTTCATGGACTGTTTTTGTTTTTTAAATGTTTTTGTTTTTGTCACAGTTTTGTCTTTCACTTTACTAGGTTTTTGAGATACCCCTTAGTATTCTCTAACTCTTTTTACATGCGACTCTGTGGCCATTTAGGTACTTACCAACACAAAACTCTCCTGACTGGGACATAATATACCCATCATCACAGAAACATCTATAAAATCCATCTGTGTTCCTACATATTCCATTCCTACATATGTCTCGGTCCTCTTGACACTCATCCACATCTATCAACAAAATTCATAATTTATCTATACAGATATAAAGTTACTTTTTGTCATCGAAAACTCAGTATTCATAATATACTATACAGTGTATACCATCCAGTGATATTTGGAAGTCTTTCGACACTGACAAGACAAAATTACTGCTTCAACATAACTAACTTATGCAGTTTTCATCATCAATTGACTGATTCAAGAGTGCTTGTTACTAAAAATAAACACTTTCCACAGTAGTTATAAATTTTTTAGTCTGTACCATCTAGTGAATGTCTGAAACTAGTTTGGTATTGAGAAATATTTATAAATTACACATACAGTTGGTACAATCTAGTGATATTCTGAAGCCTTTAAAACCTAGCTATATACAGTTGGTACCATCTTACAACAATCTGAAGCTGGCTTGACACTGACAAGTAAACTTTCAATAACAGTGTTTATAAATTACCTATACAGCTTGCATATCTAGAAATATTCTGAAGTCTTTAAAACTAACCTATACAGTTGCTACCATCTGGTGACAATGTGAAGCCAACTTGACACTGACAAGTAAAACTTCCAACTGTGTTTATACATCGTCCATTCTGACACATTCCTACCTGGTTAAGGCACTCATTTACATCTACAAATATATATATTAAGTATTCATTCATACTGAGCAAAAAATACAGAAGCATTATTGGCACATTTGCAGAACTCATGGACTTGTAATATAAGTACTGTTTTTTGTGTTTGGTACTGTTTTGTTTTAGGGGGATGGAGACTGTAAAATCTGCTGAGAATTTATGTCAGATGATGGAAAACCAATCATTTGGCCCAAAATATCAAGTCTATGTGATAACATGAAAAAGAGCAAATTTTGGAGAATTTTCTTTTGAAACATTGACATTAAGGCTTTGGAAAATAAATGTATTTTTAAGTCTTAGTTTTAACTATGACTCATTGTGATAAGTCTATCAATAGATGCTGTGACCTTGACCTATGACCAAGTGACCTAAGAATATAGATCTTCTTCACCCTATGGGGCATTATGAAATGAACTTTAGGGATATCGTGTACTGTTAAAAATTCTATTCTCAGTTATATGAAAATCTCCAGACACTTTTGCCTATTAAACAGTCTTGTCTTCAAAGAATTTCTTTAGAAACCTTGGCATCAAACACTTTGGTCAATAGCATATGTCAACTGGCTTGGTAGACATATTTTTCAAAATAGACTATACAAATGCTAGTCATGTATTATTATTATAGTTATGTCCTCTGTAAAGGCTAATTTTCTTTTTCAATTTACAGCTGTTATCCTAATGCTAGCAATTTAAAGGTTTGGTTGGCTTGCTTGCATTGTTTGTATTAATGTTTGCTCAAGCATTGTAGTTAAGATTGACATCTGAAAACAATATCAAAAGGCGGAGTTAAACTTCTATACATAATATTTAAATTTGATTGGACATTATCAAATAATCAAATTTAGCTATATACAGGTTTAACTCTGCTTACTTATATTGTTTGCAGATGTCAATCTTAATAACAATGCTTGAGCAAACTTTAATACAAACAAAGCAAGCAAGCTAACCAAACCTGTAACTTGCTAGCATTAGGATAACAGCTGTAAAAATCATGATATTCTATATCAATAGATGTATAAAAAAGAAGATGTGGTATGATTGCCAATGAGACAACTCTCCACAAGAGACCAAATGACATAGAAATTAACAACTATAGGTCACGGTACGGCCTTCAACAATGTGTATACATTAAAATGATAGAAAAATATAACATAATGTAAACCAATTTCCTCCCTTATTTCTTCAGTTTATGATATAAGAGAATTAAACACATTAAACAGATTCTATTTATAACTATTCTTAATGTGCCTGTCCCAAGTCAGGAGCCTGTAGTTCAGTGGTTGTTGTTGGTTCATGACTGTCATTTTTGTTTTTCGTAAATTGTTTTGTTATAAATTAGGCAGTTAGTTTTCTCAACTGAATTGTTTTATATTTTTGATGTCTGGCCCTTTTCTAGCAGACTATATGGTATGGGTTTTCTTATTGTTGAAGGCCGTACGGTTGCTTATAATTGCTTACATCAACTTCATTTGAACTTTGATGGAAAGTTGTCTAATTGGCAATCATACCATATCTCCTTATTTTACAATACCTTCACAATCTCTGGATTCTGACAATCTAAAGCCTGGGTTACAATGACAGCTGAAATCTCCTTCCAAGTTTTCACATGTACCATTTCTACAAAATCCTGGTCTGGCCACACATTCATCAATATCTAATAAAATATGAAATCTTCAGTGTAAACTGTCTACAATTCAAGCAACCAGGAATGAAATAGCCATTGTTTACTGTCATACTTGCTAACAATTTTTTTCTCTAGCAGGAGAATATAAGTTTATACATTTATTTGCCATTTCCAAACAAAAATGATCTATTTTTCTTCATAATATAAACTTTTAACGATGAAATTTTTTTATCTTTCTGGAAATTTGCTTTGAACATAATTTTATGTCTGCTACTACACATGTTTAATTGTTCAAACCAATAATGCAGTTAAAGATAAATTAAATTGCTTGTTTAATTTAACTGATTAAATTTACCATAAATAAAAGTAACAGTGCTCCAATGTCAACTCTAATGTGCTTACAATGATATCTTCCATATAATTCTATTTCCAGGGCCTAACTCCTTTTAAAAATAGTTCCAGGTTAGAGTTGTCTTTTTGACACTATTGCTACATCTTTTTTTTATTAATATTGTATTTATTTTGTGTCATAGATCAAACTTATTCATTCAGTGTATGTTAACTAGTTTTTGTTTATATGTCTTTTTGATAGAGTTAAGCCATTTCAATTGATATTTTATGTTGTAATGTTACACTACTATCTCAGGTTAGGATGAAGGTTGGCGCCTGTTTAAATGTTTCAACCCGCTGCATTTGTATGCACCTGTCCTAAGTCAGGAGCCTGTTGTTCAGTTGTTGTCGTTTGTTGGTGTGGTTCATAAGTGTTTCTCGTTTTTTTTTATATAGATTAGAACGTTGGTTTTCCAGTTTGAATTGTTTTACACTAGTCATTTTGGGGCCCTTTAAAGCTTGCTGTTTGGTGTACGCCAAGGCTCCATGTTGAAGGCCGTACTTTGACCTATAATTGTTAACTTTTTATACATTTTGACTTGGATGGAGAGTTGTCTCATTGGCACTCATACCACCTCTTCTTATTTATAATAGAAGACCAAAAGGACAGGTATTTCCATGCCCGCTTTACATCCTTGTAGTGGCGAAAATTACATAAATAATGAAAATTTCTCTGAAATGATTTCCTGAAAGCCTTTTTTAAAACAGATATACATGTATATGTATAGCATACCTATACAAGAGTCCCTGTTTTGGTTAAGCCTATAACCAGGTCTACAGATACACTTGAAGCTGCCATCCAAGTTGGTACATTCACCATTGTTGCAGATTCCAGAAATATCCCTACATTCATCCACGTCTACAAATTAATCATTATATACTTAAAATATCTACAAAGATTTATAGTAGCTAATGTAGATGATTTCAAATGAATGATTTTTCATTGTGAGTGACACAATCAACATAAATTCACATAATTTAAGAAAATATTCACCTAAAAAAATATATTGTATGCTATTTGTATTTAACTTAACACTAGATGTTGTATAATATTGATCAAAGTCTGATAAACATCTAGAATCTTAAGAAATAACAATTGAACAAAATACCATCTCTTGAGTCAACAACACCATAGGCGAACTATCAAACACTTAAAAAACAAGTGTGTTATTTTTCATTTCAAGGATGTAAAGTTTTTTTACATTCTTAATATACCTATAAGTGGATTCACAACACTGTTTCTATGTAAGAACATGAATGCAAAACTTACCTTGACAACTGTGAAGGTCAGGGGTCAGTTTATATCCAGTGGGACACCTACAGAAATAACTTCCTTGAGTGTTCATACATTGTGATATACCAGCACATGGTGACAATTGTCTTCTGCATTCATCCTCGTCTGAAAATATGAAATTGTAAAAAATCTATATGCAATCTTTTGTACAGAATCAATCAAATCAACAAGGTTACAGTTACATATACATGTATACATTTCTATAATTCTTTGGCAATTCAACGCTTTCTGGACCCATTGTATGAAAAAATCTAATTAATGGGTTGTTGCCAATGATCTCAGAAGATGATTGGATGAGTTTAAGGGTCATAACCTCTGTCAGCTCACTGAATGAATCAAAGTGTAAGGTGTTAACGAAGTTGACAACTTTGTGGAATGTGGAAAGCACTCGAAGGGGATTTTCGTTAATTACAAAAAAATTATTTGATCATCAGTAGAGAAACAGATTCTTACATAGTCACTCGTGGATTATGGGATTTATCCAACCTTAATAGTTAAATTATCAATTTTTAAGTCCTTGACAAGGCTCGGACTTTAAAATTTGATAATTTAACTATCTCTGGATAAATCTGATAATCCACTGGTACCAATGTAAGAATCTATATATATATATACATCAAAAGTCTTTGTTATAAATACACAACATGATCTTTTAGTAACTATTGCTAAACTAGGAAAGACTTAGGAATTTAGTGACGTGTTTATGTTTAATGATTGATCGGTGTTTTAAAATATTTTGGCACTACAAGTACTGTATCCTTCACCATCAGCCAGTAATGAAATAAGATGTAAATTTGCATTTCTGTAGATAAATCATTTCCAATTTTCTCTAAATTTTAACAATTCTTAAGAATATAATATTCTTCCTTCACAATTACATGTAGCTAGATTATACAGGTAACCAGTATTATAATTTACCTTCACAGTTAAATGTTGTTGGATTATACAGGTAACCAGTATTACATTGACATCTGAAACTTTCTGCTGTGTCAAAACATTGACCATTCTTACATATGTTGTTTCCAAATATCTCACATTCATTTATACCTGAAAAATATATAGATCTAATCATATTTATTGAGTTCAAGTAAAACAAGACCAAAACTGGGTCTGGACCGACATCACTGTGTATAATGATTGAAATTTTAAACTACGGGAAACAAAACGTAGCTGCAAAGTAGACCTTAAAATTGCTTATATGTCACAAAACATTATCAAGTTGCAGACCAAATATAAAATCATTCCCAGTCATAGAAGCCAAGTTTTCTACTCAAGGTCTTTTGGCCAGACAGATGGGGAGAATGAGGAACGAAGTCGAGCAGTTTCTAGACCGGCCATTGTTGTTGGCAACATAGGTAAAAATATTACATATACAAAATTATGTACTTTACTTCAAACAAAAATAACTGGATGTGTTACAAAGCTGATATAAACTGAATAAATTTTAACTTTATATATCTATAGTTTATATATTTAAGCTTACTAAAACCTGTTCAAGAATTGATTGTAGAGGGTTGGGAGGGGGAGGGGAAATATTTAATTACTATTTTATGCTTGGCAGAATGAAAATTAGAGCTTTCCCACCCTTCCACACATTTATTTCTGGAACAGCCTTGACAAATTTGGTAAAGAAATATTCTAAATGTGCTGCTTTTGAAGAATCTTTTGGAATAGCTGTCACGTAAAAAAATATGATGTTACAAAATGTTATATTCTGCTAGGAAGCTAATTCCACATTTCAGTCATCATTGAAACAATACAATACCAAACCAACTACAAAATTTCTAAGTCTTTATTTTGAATGGACCCATTAAATCTGCAAGAAATTTTCCAAACCTTAAAAAAAGGGTATTTTTCAAAGAAATTGAAATAGAAATGTATTTCTTTTAATTAATCTTTACACATATATCTACTTACGACTAATATCTTTTGGTCCACATAGCTCACTATAGTCTCCTGCAAGTACAATTTACAATGGTCTAAATAAAAAAAATATTACCAAAAGAAACAAAAGATAAATCTAAACACAGCATAAGTGAAACAATTACTTAACTATGAGCAGACACAAATATTTTTTTCACATCTCTGATACAGTTATAGCAATAAAAGCTGGATCTGACCAAAAAGTTAACTAGAAATCATATATACTGTGGATTCATTTATTTTCGTAGGTACCAATTTTCGTGGATTGAGGAAAACTTGCATTTTCGTGGATATTTGATTTAGTGGTTTTACCAATCTCTGCATACAAAACCTATGAAAAATTTGTAATTCGTTGAACATTTGAATTCATGGTTTACTTGTACCTACGAAACCCACGAAAATTGATATCCAACAAATAATAATGAAACCACAGTAAATAACCAATGAAACTATTCTCATAACAGACTTTTTGGATTTTTTATTATTCTATGTTAGTCTGTCTTGTGATCTAATTAGTGTTTATTTAACAAGTTTTTCTTCACATGATTTTATTTAGTCATTTGACTTTTTAACAAGAATATGTTTCCATAAGACACGATGCACTGCTCACACTATCACATCACCATTTCAATGAGTAGTTAAATCAGCATCGAAACTTTAATTTGGCAAATATTTTTAAAATAGTTCACATCATAATGAATATGTGTATGAGAGATTTAAGTTGATGTGACCACATCCCATGGTAAAGTACTAGACTATTAACGAATGAATAGACAAACACACAAGACTAAAAACATAACGTCCCCCTACTAATGTAGTTGTGGCATACAAATCACTGTAAACTTCCAAGCTAATTGATTGATTGTTGAGCATGAATCAGTGATTCAGATCAAAACATGCTAGACAAAAAAAATGGTCGGATTTGCAAATAAAGTTCAATGGTTGTTTGGTATATATGTTTTTTCGAAACATTTTTTTTTTTACTTACTAAATTCTATTTTTAACCTACCAGTTCCAGCTTCTGGGCATACTTCACAGGGAGAATTCCAAGCTTTACCAAGTGAACTACAACAACACATCTTTTTGGTGACATTAGATGACAAAGGACTTTCACAAACCAGCTGGTATGGTCGTCTCAGCTGTGTAAAGTATGATGAATAACAGTTTCCTTTCCTCATATCTAAAACAGAAACATCTCATCATATAAGATCATATGTACTGTGGATTAATTTGTTTTCATGGATACTATTTATTCGTGGATTGATAAAAAGTTGTATTTTCATAGACATCTGATTTTGTGGTTTTGCAAAAGTCTGCATACAAGCATATAGAAAATGTGTACTAAGTTAAACATTTAAATTCATGGTTATCATTTACCAACGAAATCCATGAAAGGAGTAATTTAAGTTCAGTAAGGACCATATTTGGCCCAGATTATATAGTTCAATGTTTCAAGATAAAAAATGTTTTAAGTTGATGAAAAGACATGTAAGAAAGTTAAATAGGACTATTTTTGTCAAATTTATATTTTAAAACGTCGATTTTTACATCCCAAATAAGCCACAAATAGAGACTTCTGCGAAATTTGACAAAATCATCCGGATTTTAACCAAATTCAGGCCTAGGAAACAGAGTGCATACATAGACAAACAAAATATTCAAGTCAGATATGTAAAATGTTATAACAAACATTATTTTGAAAGATCTTTTCTGTCGACACATGCGATCTATGGATCCTGACTAAAAAATCAATGGAAATTTACCCATATTCATGGAAAATCAACATGAGTTCTATTTGTGACGTCATGAATAGAACGCAAGTACGTAAATTTTCAACAAAAAGACATATTTCATATCTAGTCACTGTATCAGCTATAATTCATTGTGATATTGGTCAATAAATCCTAATTTTGAAATTATAACTAAAAAAGGGGCCATCTCGAGCCTTATCGAAACTACTTCTTTGATATCCCACGAATCATAATGACTCTGCAATTTCCAATGAATTTAGTTTGATTTGTTTACTTTGTAATGGTGTAATATGTAAATCAGTTCAACTTATTTTGTTTTGATAATTAGTGTTTATATGACAAAGGATTTTCAGAGTAAATATTTAAACAAGTAATATAAAATAAGGAGATGTGGTATGGTTGCCAATGAGACGACTATCAAACAGGATACAAATGAAGCATATTTAAACAATGTAGGTAACACATTCTATTCTTATTAATATTTTATGATGGGTATGAGAGAATTTAGTATTGGTTAGTGAACTTGTATTCATTAGGTCACACTCATCCTTTGGCTGCCCACTTCGACCAATAATGTAAATGTCTGTAAAAATGGTTGATTTTTTGTTCAAAAACAAACATGTCATGTCTGTGGACAAAAAGTTTTTGTTCAGCAATTCCCATTTGAGTAATACTTCAAAATAAACTTTTGAATTCAAGCAATACATCTAAAATAAGACTTACCCATACAACCTTTCTCACCAATCATTGGTACATATCCATCAGGACACATGCACTTGAAGCTACCTTGTATATTAGCACATGTCCCTTCTCCACATAATGTAGGATTCTCTCTACATTCATCAATATCTATTTAAAAAAAAGCTCAATTAAACACAAAATTTGTTTAATTTCTTTTTATTTTCAGTATAAATATTAAATTCAAGAATTTTAAAACAGTTAATTTCCATCCTTGTTTGTCTTTACATGGGATTCAATCATGCCTTCCAAATGAAATCATTGCAAAGTATTTATGTATTCTAAAACCTATTCATTTTCAACACTGCAATAACATTCTGTGCTAATATGTCTCTTTCTTTAAAAATTTTACATTTACACATAAATTTACTGCCAGATAGATAGTGTGGCAAGCATGTAGATTGCAGCTAACTTTCCAAAACTCCCTGACTGTAACATATTGTAAATTTCATGTCTCTTTCAGATCAGTGGTTATCTTGTGGGTCCTCAAAGCTCTTCAACTTTGTACGTTATTAGGCATTTTAACTTTTTTGATTCGTGCATCACTGATGAATCTTTTGTATATAAAACATCTGGCATACAAGAGGGTGTGGATGGCCCAGTTTACAGAATAGAGAATAATGAGCAAAAAATATAAAGAATAGAGAAAAATGGCCTAAAAAATTAAAGAATACAGAATTGAAGGACCCCTCAATCAGACCCTCATACAAAATTTTAAGCTTGGTATCTTTGATGAGTATCTTGTATAATCCAACATGAAGGAAGCAGGACCTGCTCAATACCAAAACTTCATTTCTTATAGGAAAAAACATAATTTATTGAGCATCATTTATGTGGGAATGATACAACAGGCCCTGTTCACATATATGCCGAAATTTTTTTGTAAATATTTGAAAAATTTTGTGCCTTTGGAAAATCTTTGATGGTGTCTGTTTAATTTATTCACAACTTATTTAGGCTCTGGATGATTAACAGGTTGAAATATTTGATAGAAAGCCATCTTTTGTTGAAGATTGTATGTTGACCACTAGATGTATTTAGGTTATTTGTGTTGTCTCATAATGTATTCACTACAAATACTCTCATTATTCATAACTATTCTGGGTTTTTCCTATAAATAATACAATGCTACTAAAAATAACTATACACCTGTAACCCTGGAGTCTATATCCAGTAGGACGTATACAGATATATCCACCATAAGTATTCTGTGTCTACCAGACATAACATACCTATGCACCTGTGACGCTGGAGTCTATATCCAGTAGGACATATACAGATATATCCACCATAAGTATTCTGACATTCTCCACCTTCACATATACCAGAGATTTCTACACATTCGTCTATGTCTAACAAAATAAGGCAAACAGTTCATATCTATACAGAGCAACAATTATATTATGCGTTGTCATGTGCATTCTCAACACATTTTTTTTTTTACAAAAGAAGAGCTTTTAGATGTTCGATGTTCAATTGACAGTATCACTAATTGATCAACTGTTCTTTTCTAAACATACAGTTGCGAATATTCATGCATATTCAGAACAAAACAAATTATCGTTTTTAATTTTTGATGTAACATGTCTTCTGATTGGCTGAAATTTGTTTGTCTATCAGCTCATAAGACATAATTTTGTAATGTGACCGTGACATCATCAACATTTTTTCATGATTTACTCCTTAAAAATGGAAATTAGAATTAAGTTATAAGGAATGACTGTAATATTTTTTGTGTCTATTTGAAATAACCTCAAAAAATGTGGTGCACACTTTTAAATAAACAACTACTAGGTTTATTCAGTGTGCACCACATTTTTTATGTTATTTCTTCATAGACAGAAAAAAATATTACAGTCATTTCTTAATTATACCGTTATTTAGAGTTCAGTGCTTTTCCTCTACAGATTTTTATTGTATGCCTTTTATGTACATTTTATTATTTCACTTATCAAGATTAAAAGGGGCAGGGTTGAGATCTCAAACAAGTTTAACCTTGCCTATACATGCATGTGCCCGTCCAGAGTCAGAAATCTTGTCAGTGATTGTCCTATGTCATATCTGTTATTTGGAGAATAAAATTGGTCTTGATCACAGATTTTTCTTTGCTTCTGTTTAATTTATTCACAACTCTCATAGACTTGAGACAATTTAAAGTTCAACATGTTGTATAGACACCTGTCTATTGCTGAAGATTGTATATTGGCTCCTGAAAGTCATTTGGTTAACTCTATAGTCAGGTTGTTGTCTCATTGACATATACCCCATATTTTATATTAATACAGAACTACTGCTCATTCTTACCATCTATACCTCCTGTTGTGGTGTTTCCTGGTTTGAATCCTGGACCACCTGGACAGAGGGATCTATACTCAGCTAAAAATAAAAAAATATGATACTGTAAATTCAGAAATTATTGCGTTCATTTATTATTGTGATTTTTTAAGAATGGACAAAAATGTGGAATGAATTATTGCGATTTCAAGAAAATCTGCATAAGGACATATGTATCAGATATCATAATGCGAATTCTTATTATTGCGATCATCACCCAGTCGCAATAATTTCTGAATTTACAGTAATCATTTTGATAACTGTCTGTGATAATAACAGATATGGATAATACGGCTTTTACAAATGGATCATCATCAGAAAAAAACCTTGCATCAAATTTGTCTCTCTTTTTTTATTTATCTAAGGCTATCTTTCTTATTTAATCTGTCCATTTACTTTAAATATCATATAACTTAATTGGCACTGTTTCTGGAATATGAAGAAATTCTAGGAAGAATTTTTTAACTATAAAAACGGAGTTTTACGTAAATTTCTACTTACATGATCCATTTCTGGGACAGTGCTCACACATGCCCCTTGCTTCACCCCATCCTTTACCAACAGAACAACAACATGAAGATCGTAATAAGTTTGTACCAATCTCTCCTCTACATCTACCAACTCCTTGTGATACAGCAGGCCCTTCCAAGTAACAGGTACCAATTCTTAAATCTAAATTACAAAAATGTTTTAGCCAGTGGAATTTCATCAAGATTAGACATTGACAAAAAGAAAACTTTTTATTACTTGTAGCTTATTTTTCAAATATTATACTAACTATTAAGCACTTCTCTCCATAATCAGATTTTGAAATATGTCCTAACCCAAGACAACTAGGTTTTGGTTAGGACTTGCTTCTTTACTGAAAAACATTTCAAGAAATGCTTCAACTATGAACATATTCTTTAAGGTTTTTATTTATACAAATTTGAATATTCATTCAACATTCTAAGTTTTCTGTTCACTCCTACTACTGACTGCACTTAAGTAGCATTTTTGTTGAAATTTATAGGCAATTTCAATTTATCAACACTAAAATTTACAGTGAAAAATGTTTGCTTCAGTCATTAAAGTATGCTATTAATAGCACTTATCTAACATAGAGTCTTACCAATACATGCTGTTCCAGATGGTGTCAACGTAAAGTTTGGTGGACACTGACAGATGTACTTACCAATACAAGCTGTTCCAGATGGTGTCAACGTAAAGTTTGGTGAACTGACAGATGTACTTACCAATACAAGCTGTTCCAGATGGTGTCAACGTAAAGTTTGGTGGACACTGACAGATGTACTTTCCACTGGTGTTTATACACGTCCCATATCTACAGTTATCTGGGTTCAAACACTCATTTATATCTGAAAGTATGACAATATGTGTTGAACTTCTACAGATTCACCATTTTAAAACAATAAATAGAATTTAAATCAACTTTTTTTTATTTTACAAAAACGGCAATGAATCTTAATTAGTTTGTTAAAACCAAAAAGATTGTACTCTAATATAGTATATATGCTTACAAAAAAACCCCAATTTAAATGTGTAAAAATATTAGAAAGTTGAGGTATCAGTAATTATTATCTTATGTTATATTAAAATAAATTGCTACTATGTATGGTACTGAGGAAATGTCTTTAAGTCACCCATTTATCTCATACAGATCAAAAGATATCAAACTTTTTCCATCAGGTAAAATTGTTTTCAGGAACCAGTCTTTAAATAAAACATAATATAAGAAATAATGTACCTGTACAATTTCCACCTGTCTGGTCCAGTGTATAGCCCTGTTCACAGTTACATCTGAAGTGTCCATATGTATTCTCACATTGTCCATTAACACACAAGTGCTTGAATATACACTCATCAATGTCTGAAAATCAAACAAAACATGATGTGAGAACCAGTATAAAAATAGTCCATGTATTATATTAAGATTTTGGATAGGGACAGACATTTTGCCGTGCACCAGGCCACCTACAGATCCATTTTAGAGTTGTTGCAAGGGTTCTTAACGTGCAAAGTATGGCACTCTCTCAACACCAGGCATTGGATTTAACGTCCCCATTCTGACATGGCTGCAGCCTAATGGATGACCCACTTTGGCAAGGGTTTTACTGCTGGTCTGAAGAAGTCCAAAGTGACCATATTTCTGTTCCCCAGTCACCCTTGGGGGTGCTCATATGAACCTTGATATAATTTAAAAAAATGTTTACATGAAAGGTAGGTGAATATGCAATTTTCTACATAATTTACATTTCAAAGGGCATAAATCCTGTAAGAACAGTTGGTTGTAGCTGATTTTCAAAGTTGTCCAGGACAAGGCTGATTTAAATTTAATAAAATTCTGTCAAGAAATGAAGTTGTGAGAGCACTTACAAGACTGTAATCACTTCTTGACAACCCATTCAGTACCTTTTTTCCTTACAAAGTTACAGCTATAATAATAAAATCTTTAAACTTTTAATTAATAATTCAACTATAACTGTTAGAGAGGTGTAATGAGCATCTTGAAATTCCTACGACACACTATGATTTTTGTGAACAAATGGTCCTTGCATTTATTAATTTGTTGGTTTCTTGTTATATTTTTTTTTTATCTTAGCATAATATGACTAGATGGATACCTTGGCAAGCTTTCTCATCTTCTGACGTAGTAAATCCCATCTCACATTCACACCTATAACTGCCTGGAATGTTTATACATTGTCCATTCTGACAAGATAATCTGTCAACAGTACACTCATCCACATCTGCAAACATAAATCTTGATATACATAAATAATACACAATTATGGAGATCAAGATTAACTGAAAATGAGGCAAACACCAGCAAAATGTTCACTGGGTTATCTTGACTACTATATGGCCACAGACCACAATTAAATTCTCTATTAGTTCTTTATAATGTTTTGTTTCATTAAAAAAAATGCTCCGGTTCTTTTTGTCAAATATTTTGTGTGTGTAAAGTACAGTACTAGTCCAAACATATATCAAACATTCAGAAATATCGCTCCCCAGCATCTTACAAATTTAGCCAATACACATCCATACCCCTATGGACAAGTCAAGAGATGTTCCGAAAACTGTAAATATCACCTTTTTGCACCTGGCCTAATTACTCTTTCCATATCAAAATCAGTTAAAATACAACATCCAAAAGTTTATTTCATCTCTCTTCTTTCATTTCCATCCAAAAAAATCTAAGAAATGAGTGAGGAAGGGAAAGAAAAAAAATTAAGAAAAAATACACTCTAATTAAAAGGAACTATATTCGTGGACAACGAAAAGCGGGATCATTAATTGTGGTCCTTGGCCTATTAGGGGTCTAAACCTTGACCAATTCTAATAAAACTTGGTATGATTTAAGCTTAGTGTATTATGAAACAGTTTATAAAGTTTCAAAGCCATATGATACCAATTATAAAAATTGTGGCATTTTTCATATCTGAACTTTGGGTGCTGAATTGTGGCGTTGAATTAGAATAATTTCAACTATCAAATTTGGGCTTCTAAAAACCAAAATATACCAAAACTTACACTTTTTAATGTCTCTATGTATAAGTTATCACCTATTAAAAGCAACAGATAGCATACTTCATGTTTCAGACTTATAAAAAATGGCCAGAAGTAAATTTCATATGGGCCTGTGCCAAAAAATAGAGGTTTTCAAATGAAGTGAGGCCTTATATGCAATGTAATATTTTTCACTTACCACAATTTTCTGAAGTTGCTAAGTTATAAAAAAACCTTTTACATGTTATAAATGTACTTTTAATGGAAATATAAGTTTCAAATAGCATAACACATGTGAATAAAATGGTCTTCAGCAATGTCAAGCTTAAAAAAACAGGTTGTCAATTTAGGTCGTTCCCCACATTTGCATATTAAAAAGCATATAAATGATATGGGAGATGAAGATATGCTTCTTTTTGCTCAAATCTTTGCTCAGATATGATAAAACATGGAGCCTGGATGTAACAAGACTGTCACTTTCAACTATATATGTAGACAGTATGATCTAATGCAAAGTTATTTACTTTACTTTTTAAAACCGGCATGAAATTTCAGCCTCAAAAGGCCAATATTTTAACCACTAGCTATCAAACAAAAGAAAATAAAGGTAGTCTGTGAAACAGACAAGGTCAAACAACCAGTAATAAGTGCTTTTGATACAGTTTCAGTGAAATCTGCTAAAAGGAATTCAACTTGTATGTGCATAGAACCTCATTTTTCACTTGCTTCATACTGACCGTTAGACTAGGACCATTAAAGCAGCACATTTTGCACTCTTATTCTGATTTTATCTACTTTTTTTGTATGTTTAGTGTTCAAAAATGAGTTAAACATCTACATTAGATACCACAAACACAAGTAGAAAATCAGAAAAACCTGTGAGAGAGAAAGTAAGCATGCTACTTTTGTAAAAATATTGAAACAACTGAAAAAGTTCAATTTTGGGCATGTAGGCTGAAATGTCACTTTTTTACAAAATTTCTATCAAATAAAAGTGGAAATCATTTATTCTCATGTAGTTTGACAAATTAATACCAATAGATCATTCAGGGAAGTTGTCAAAGTACAAATTCAATATTTCCTGAATTTCACCTCTTAGGCCACAGACCACAATTAAATTCTCTATTAGTTCTTTATAACGTTTTGTTTCATTAAAAAAAATGCTCCGGTTCTTTTTGTCAAATATTTTGTGTGTGTAAAGTACAGTACTAGTCCAAACATATATCAAACATTCAGAAATATCGCTCCCCAGCATCTTACAAATTTAGCCAATACACATCCATACCCCTATGGACAAGTCAAGAGATGTTCCGAAAACTGTAAATATCACCTTTTTGCACCTGGCCTAATTACTCTTTCCATATCAAAATCAGTTAAAATACAACATCCAAAAGTTTATTTCACCTCTCTTCTTTCATTTCCATCCAAAAAAATCTAAGAAATGAGTGAGGAAGGGAAAGAAAAAAAATTAAGAAAAAATACACTCTAATTAAAAGGAACTATATTCGTGGACAACGAAAAGCGGGATCATTAATTGTGGTCTTTGGCCATATGGCCTCCAACATCAACCACCATTGTTTTCTTGTGATAACCACTAAAATTGTATTTAACAAAAAATATAGCTGTCCTTAAAAATACTTGCATCATATTAAGCAATAAACTATTACCATTTGTATTTAATTATGTATAAAAAATAGAGAATGGAAATGGGGAATGTGTCAAAGAGACAACAACACGACCAAAGAGCAGAAAACAGCCCAAGGCCACCAATGGGTCTTAAACACAGCGAGAAAATCCCGCAACTGGAGGTGGGCTTCAGCTGGCCCCTAAACAATAATGTATACTAGTTGTATCTTTAGAAGCTATGTATGGGAGTAATTGATTATTTATAATGTTTGTGAAGTTTTCCTGTTGTTCTATTGTTTGACAACTGATATCAATATGGACAATCAACATCAACAGTGACAATATAGTTGGTAGAAAACTTGACAAGGAATGACCCCTTTTTCTATCACTGACTTTAAAGAAACAAGTTAAAACATACCTCTACAATGGAACCCATCACCAGTATAACCATCATCACAAACACATCTAAAACTGCCTGGTACATTTACACAGGTGGCATCTATATCACAGCCACCGTTGTTACGTGTACATTCATTTACATCTATAAAGAAATGAATATCAAATGATTAATAAAATATATTTCATATCAACCATTTTTATTCTTCCTAACTAATTTTTACTTCTTCGAAGATGAAACTATCATTCAGTTTCATAATTAAGCTGAATTTATATACATAAAGATGTATCTTATTACATGAAGGCATATCAGAAAATCAACTCAATTTAATCAAAAGTTTAAAATAAAATACTGGACAAAAAACATAATTATGCACAAGTTTTTTCTTCTTTAATATTTGATATAAAGGATTACCTAGACAAGCATGTGACTACTTACATCTATTAAATCTTACCATACAAGTAATTTCATTTCAATAATAGCCAGGTTTATATATACCTTACCTCTACAAGTGAACTTGTCTCCACAACATAATATTTTTTTTTAGAAACTTTAGATTTGTAAATAAATCTGTAAAAGATAATTGCCAGATTTACTTGAGCCTTACCACTGTAAGAAGATTTTACTCCATTATTGTGATTTCATTAATTTTTTCGTGGGTACCAGTTTTCGTGGATTCCGGAAAAATTGTCTATTCATGGATATTTGATTTTGAAGTTATAACAATGTCTGCGTACAAGCATATAGAAAACTTACACTTCACTGAACACTTAAATTTGTGGTTCACCTTTACCCACGAAATGCAGGAAAATGGTATCCGACGAATATTAATGAATTCACAGTATCGCAAGATAACAAATGTTAGGCTAGAAACCTCTGCTATTAAATGTGTCTCTATTATATGGAAGTACCTATTAAACTTAACTTACTCCCCACAAATAAAGCTATCCCAATACAGCCAGAATTACACAAACCTTACCTCATGACCTAAATTCAACACCACTATAGCAAGGTTAATATGAACCTTACCTCTACAGGTAAATCCATCACCACTATAGCCAGGTCTGCAGTCACACTTAAATGAACCAATGGTATTGATACACACTGCCTGTGGATCACACCTAGCTGAACCTTCAGTGCATTCATCCAGATCTGAAATAAGCGTAAAATGTGTTCGTTATTTCATTAATTTCCTATAAGAGTTTGCTGCAGCCAATAACTTGTGCAAAAACTGTTATAAATTCAATTAAATAATGAGCATCTAAAATGCAATCCTTAAAGATATTATCACACATTGAAATAGGAGTTGATGGAACAAAAGAAATACAGTATCTTTGCTGTATATTTATAGTTCATATAATCCTGTTTTTACATACCTATATATCTTGTATCATTTGTAGAGCATAGAATTTCTACATACCCATATGCTTTAGATCACTTGTAGGTCATAGTATTTCTAAATACCCTTACACCTCGGATCACTTGTTAGTCATAGTATTTCTACTTACCAGTACATTCTGGATCACTCGTAGGTCATAGTATTTGTACATACCATTAAACACTGGATCACTTGTAGGTCATAGTATTTCTATATACCCTTACACCCTGAATCACTTGCAGGTCATAGTATTTCTACATGAATGTACACCCTGAATCACTTGTAGGTCATAGTATTTCTACATGAATGTACACCCTGGATCATTTGTAGGTCATAGTATTTCTACATACCTGTACATCCTGGATCATTTGTACTTTCTTTGACAGAATATCCTGGATCACATACACAGGTAAATGATCCATGTGTATTTCTACATTGTCCATTTCTACAGAAATCCTTTCCTAAGTTGCATTCATCTATGTCTGAAAATGTTTTAAACATTAGTCAATGAATCTATAGGACATTGGATTTGGATTGCTAATAAATAGCTATATCTGATTGATTGATTGTTGATTGTTTTACGCCACATCAGCACAAAAAGGCTATATCCTTGCGAAGCTTTATCTGAAGTTTAACCCTAAAGCTCTATCTACTGATATCTTTGACTACTGTTAAGCTGGACAAAAAATCTGTGCTAGAATGGGAAACAACCAAATTTTTACTTATCTTAATAAATTCCACAAAAAATAAGTAGCACAAAATTTTTACAAACTGCTTTTTTTGCAACTTTTTCAAAATAAAAATTACCGAAAGGATTCACACAGGCATTGGTTCACCAGACGGAGTTTAATTTTTCAAAATAAGTTCCAAAATATTTGATATTTTTGATTGCAAAAAAACTTGCTAATAATTTCAGCATACCTATACAATTTTTGTTATCATCAGTAGGAGCTAGACCACCCAGACAAGTACATCTATATGACCCTTGTAGGTTGGTACATCTACCACTACTACATATGTCTGGGTTCTCCTTACATTCGTCTACATCTGAAACAAAAAGTGTGTCATCAAATTAGGTTAACATATTATATTTATAAATCACAAGAGTGCACATGCTGAAATGTCTCGCCTTCTTTACTAATCATTGATATTATGTTGATAGTCCTAAATATAAAGCTTTACTACAACTATCACATAAACTTAACATGATCCAGGAAAATGAGGTCAAGGTCATATAAACCAAACAAGAAATACATACACCATACAATCATTCAATACACTAAATATAGTTGACCTATTGCTTATAGTTTATAAGAAACAGACTTAACCCTGAAAACTAAACATTGACCAATGAACCATGAAAACGAGGTCAAGGTCAGATGAACCATGCCAGGCAGACATGTACAGCTTACAATTCTTCCATACAACAAACATAGTTGACTTATTGCTTATAGTTTAAGAAAAACAGACCAAAACACAAAAACTTAACACTGAGCAATGAGCCGTGAAAATGAGGTCAAGGTCAAATAAAATCTGTGAGACTGACATGTACATCATAAAATATTGCCATACACCAAATATAGTTGACCTATAGTTGCATGTAGTATTAGAAAAAAAGACTAAAACTCAAAAACTTAACTTTGACCACTGAACCATGAAAATGAGGTCAAGGTCAGATGACACCTGCCACCTAGACACGTACACCTTACAATCATTCCATACACCAAATATAGTAGACTTATTGCATACAGTATAAGAAAAACAAACCAAAACACAAAAACTTAACTATAACAACTGAACCATGAAAATGAGGTCAAGGTCAGATGACACCTGCCAGTTGGACATGTACATCTTACAGTCCTTCCATACACCGAATATACTTTTGCCTATAGTATCTGAGATATGGACTTGACCACCAAAACTTAACCTTGTTCACTGATCCATGAAATGAGGTCGAGGTCAAGTGAAAACTGTCTGACGGGCATGAGGACCTTGCAAGGTATGCACATACCAAATATAGTTATCCTATTACTCATAATAAGAGAGAAATTAACATTACAAAAAATCTTAACTTTTTTTCAAGTAGTCACTGAACCATGAAAATGAGGTCAAGGACAATGAGGTCAAGGACAATGGACAATGGACAGACGGAAACTTCGTAACATGAGGCATCTATATACAAAGTATGAAGCATCCAGGTCTTCCACCTTCTAAAGTATAAAGATTTTAAGAAGTTAGCTAATGCCGCCGCCTCCGGATCACTATCCCTATGTCGAGCTTTCTGCAACAAAAGTTGCAGGCTTGACAAAAAACTAAAAGGCACAAGAAATGTTTTAAAAAAGTATCTCATTGATGTGTAAAATTATTCTGATTCAAATTGAAGTTCTATCCACTTTTTTATTTTTTTTTTTTCTATTTTACCAATAACTGAAATGTACAAAAATTGATTCTTATATTATATCCGAACTTCTTATGCTAATAAGGTGACTAAGGGATCCTTAACAAAATCAATAGAAAGATAAAATATTGCCAAAATGCATTATTCGTTATGCTATTTGAAATCATAATAAAAATTATATGAAACCTACCTTGTTTTTTTATCTGGAGGTTGTGCAAATTCTCTTTTTTATTTTGTAAGGGTAAGAAAGGGGAAAACTATTATACAAAAACAAAGTCTAATAAATTATATAATTTTGAAATATTCAACTTTCATTGAAGCAATATTTTGAACCCCAAAATATTTTTATGAACTTTTAAAGTTTTTCTGTAGGTTTAAATCTTGAAAAAATGCAAAATTTTTAAAGAGTAACTTGGACATCTCTCCATAGCAATGTCATCTCTACATAGCATGTTACAGATTGACTTATTGGTGTCATCATGAACCAGATTAAAATCTAAATTCCATTATTTGTAGGTCTCAAGAATCTTTCAAGGATCACCAAATAATATCTAATTAAACATTTTATAACAATATATCTATCAATGTATACCTTGGCAAGACCTCTGATCTGGTAGTAAGATGAAGCCAGGTTTACATCCACAGGTGAAGGATCCTGGAGTATTTATACAGATAGCTTGACATCCACCATTCCTTACAGCACACTCATCAACATCTGTAAATATAACCTTACTTGACAACATATTCACCTTTGAACTACTTTGTGTATACTGTTTTCCTAGTGCAGTTCCAAAATTTATTGGGTGGGGGATGGACAGTTGATCCTTCATACTTTTGGAAGTGTTACTGTCATTCACATTCATGTGAATCAAGCAAATTACCAAATTAACACTATGTTATATTTTTGAAGGGGTTTATTACCAAGATGCTTATATAGTTCTAAAATTTGACCATTTGCTTGAAATTTTTAAGGTTTAATGATTTTTATTACTTTATGGTTGTGAAATACCATTTTTCACAGAATGAAGTTAGAAAAGATGGTCATTTGTTGCTGTAATCACAAAAACATGTAAACATCAGGAAATAGGAAAATGGCAATTCCTGTTTGAATCCAGATGTATTTCAGTTATGTTTTAAACAGAATCAATTCAATTTATCCTGCAATCAGCCAACTATTGTACAAAAAACAGGTACACAAATAATTTTTAGTTTATTTTGTACTTGTACCAATAGTCTCCTGTTACTCCGCTCCCATGTTGCGCAAACAGTAATGTGAATATTTTTTTGCGTAACAGTACATTTTGGGGTCCTCTTCGCAGTTCACGTTTAAACTATGTTGATTTCTTTGAAAAACCAGAAGCAACTATTTGGATTAAAACAACCAAACCGTACATTGCTGGGTGTAAATTACAGGATAAAAACAATATCTGCACATTGTTGTAAAATATAAAATTTATTTGTACGAGCTTTAGAAACAGGACAAACAGTGAGGCTAGACGACTATAACTTATTGTTTATTTTCCCTATTGGAATTGGGAATTTTTTTTTTTTTTAATTTCTTAAATATACATTTTTAATTCATATTCCCTGAAAGACTATTTTAACTACAGCATATTTTTACCTAAGCATGATGTATGTTGAGCATTAGGCTGATATCATGAAAGACTTTAACTACAGAGTTATTTTTACCTAAGCATGATGTATGTTGAGCATTAGGTTGATATCATGAAAGACTTTTTAACTATAGAGTTATTTTTACCTAAGCATGATGTATGTTGAGCATTAGGCTGATATCATGAAAGACTTTTTAACTACAGAGTTATTTTTACCTAAGCATGATGTATGTTGAGCATTAGGCTGATATCCATCCAGACATCGACACTGATATCCACCCATATAATTCTCACAGATACCGTTAGTACAGATACTGCTGTCTTCTGAACATTCATTCACATCTGTAAATAGAAGTTAAAACATATTGAAAGATTCTGTTAGACATACGGTGGATTCATTTATTTTCGTACGTAGCAATTTTTTTAGGATTGAGGAAAACTTGAATTTTTGTGGATATTTGATTTCATGGATTGAGGAAAACTTGAATTTTTGTGGATATTTGATTTCCTGGTTTTGCCAAAGTCTGCATACAAGCCTATAGAAAATTTGTAATTTGTTGAACATGTAAATTTGTGGTTCAACTGGACACTTGAAATCCAGAAATTTGGTACCCTACTAATTATAAAAAATCCACAGTAAGACAAAAATTGGTTCATTTATGAAACAAAAACTGTAGACAGCAAAAATGATCAGCAAGATAAGATCTACAAATAATAACAAAATGTAGATCTTAAGAAGATGGGGTATGATTGCCAATGAGACAACTCTCTACTACAGACCAAATGACGTGTAATCAACAACTATAGGTCACTGTATGGCCTTCGACAATGACCAAAACCCATAACTCAAATTAAGCTATTAAAGGCCCAGAAATGACAAATGTTAAACAATTCAAACAAGGAAACTAACGGCCTGATTTATGTAAACATTACCTATATTGTCACTTGACTCAAGTTAAAAGGTCTTGAATTTATCAATTTTTAGTATTTATTCTTACAGAAACTAATACTATAACTTTTTAAAATCAAAATTAATTGATTAATAAATGTCTACTATTTTGTAACTGTGTCACTGATGCCTATACAATATCTTCTTACTTTCATACATAAATAATTGTGGTAATACTGCTACATTTTTGAACACTGAGCCACTACACTAAATAAAATCCTAATGATGTTACCTCTACATGATCGTCCATCTGGTGACAGTATATGACCTGGTGGACAATGACAGATATAACTTCCTGGTGAGTTTTCACATGTACCTCCTGTACATATATTTGGCTGGGTCTGACACTCATCAATATCTGAAACATATATTCAAATACTAAAGGTTAGAAGGGTCTTTTTGGTTTTCATTTCTTTTGATTGTTTTCTTACATATATGTATATCCAACATATCATTATATTCATATTAAATATAAGTATTGCTGTAAGAAAGTTATAACTTTATTTACAAACCTGTGTAAAAAGGTAAATTCAGTATGCAAATCAATAAGAGAAATTGATCTGCAGATGGTAAATTAAAAAAAAAAATTCACCTGAATATATAAATAAATTACCAACAGGACGTTTGTGCTTTTTTACCTGTAACACGATAGGACATTTGTGCTTTAAATTTTGATACACCTGTATCAAATTGATTGGACATTTGCACTTTTTACCTATAGTCGTCAACCTGTAATTTTAATGAGTTGTAATCATTACGTAAATAAATTCAACTTATATTTGTGGTTCGTTAGTTCACATTGACACAGTCTTAAACATAGAGTTTAAAGTTATAGACTAGCAAAGGAAAATAATGTATATGTCACGATGAATTTTTATGATCCTGTGATGACCATACGTGTCTTTATTGTCTTTAGAATGTTTACTTTTATCTATATATAACTATATCAATGTGTTATGAAATGACTTATACACCAATTTGCTATGAAATGGCTATCAAACTTTTAACCATAATGAAAATTAGGTCAGACCTACCAGTTCTAAGCCTGGATAAAATAGGAGGGAAGTCATAAAAAGCAAATATTGTAAAAGCGTAAATGTCCTATATAAAAAGTGCAAATGTCCTATAAATTGAAGCGCAAATGTCCATTAAAATAAGTGCAAATGACCTATGAAAAAGCGCAAACGTCCTGCACTGAGTATTTCATTAGTATAGCAGCTGGTATACAACACGCATACGATTACACAATCATAACATACAATGTTTTTCTTCCCTAAATCAAAGTTAAAATTTTTGCTCTTAATATACACGAAACTTACCCATACACATTTGTTCCATCATGACTGGTTCAAATCCTACATTACATTGACACCTGAATCTACCAGGTAGATTGACACAGGTACCATCACCACATACACCAAAGGAAATCTTACATTCGTCTATATCTGTAAAATATACAATATTTCCACTGTGTAATGATATCTTTTACTTATAAATTACAACTTAACTTTAATTATTGTCATCAACCTTAGCATACTGTGGATTCATTTATTTTTTGTGGCTACCAACTTTTGTGGATTGAGGAAAATATGTATTTTTGTGGATATTGATTTCTTGATTCTGCCAAAGTCTGCATGCATACAAGCCTATAGAAAATTTGTGCTTTGTTGAACATTTAACTGATTTGCTTTTTAATGCCTTTATTCCATAGTTATTTTTGTGCTCCTTCCTCTGTCTATTTGTTCAACTATTTTCTGTGTGAAATAAATACTATATGCAAGTGTTTATAAATGCAAAGATTGCAACTGAATAAACATCTCAATAAACTTGCTCTTTACTTTTGAATGGTACCATTCTCTGCATACTTGTCCCTTGCTACAATGATAGATTAATTGAATATGTAACATTTTGATTAGATTGGTTATTTTATGTCCAATGTTTTCCATAATAAACTTTATTAATTCTGCCATCTGGTTTTGTTGTGTTTTTATTATATCCTTATTTTTTGTAGAGGTGTTTGGAATGCTGACTGATCTATCATAGTCTGTTAAATATATTCAAAACTTTTTTTACATTCAGGGAAATTAAGGGGTTGGCATATTGTAAAGCCAAGTTTAGTGTTAAAGACCATACTGAGACCTATAGATTTCTTTTTGTTTTTTGGTGTTGTTGGATTGCTGTCTTATTGATTTATACCCTACATTTCTTTTTTTTTCTAAATATAGTGTTTACCTGTACAATTTACCCCTCGTTGGTCTGTAGCAAAGCCAGGATTACAAATACATTCAAATCCTTCTAATGTATTCTTACATTGTCCATTATAACAAACATCAGGGAACTCTACACATTCATTTATCAAATCTGTCAATAAACAATATGTAATAAAATATAATATTATTCAACTTTTAATGCTTTTACTAAAAATAATTTAGTTAAATATGAAATGTACAAGTATCGGTATTGGTCTTAACTGGAATTATCCTTACAATTTCTAAACTCAGTACTTGTGGTCTTGTGCTTTGTAGATACCAGATTACACAAAGTAAACTACAACATGATTAGCTTAACAACATTCTGTATGTGCCTGTCCCAAGTCTGGAATTGTTTTACATTTGTTATTACAGGACCTTTTATAGCTTTCTATGAGATATGGGTTTTGCTCATGGATGAAGGCTGTACGGATCTAATATTTGCTAACTTCACGTCATTTGCTCTCTGGTGGAGAGTTGTCTCATTGGCAATCAAACCACATCTTCTTACTTTTATACAAATCCAGTTACAATGAAATAATGAACTACAAATAGTGAAATCTCTTACTTAAAAATAATTCATAATTCATCCATAATTTTGAATGAAAGAACAGTTTATACATGTCTATTTTTCATACACACACACTAATGGTATTGATTCATTATTCATAATGTGATCAATATGTATTTAAAAAGGTTTAGCTACATAATAGGCTACGTAAACATCATCCACCTCCCCCCCCCACCAAAAAAAAATTAAAAAATAAAAAAGGGACACTTTCAAAAATTAAAAAAATGGCATACAACTCGTGGAATATGTCATCAGGGAATATTTCTGCCTTTATGACAACCTTTGTTTAATTGGTCTGGCCTGAATTGTACTGAACCATTTGTTAATTGAAAATATTCATTCTTGTAAGTCATTCATCCTTGAACTGTTCAGACAGTAATTTGAATTATTATAATATTGCCATGACCTTTACAACACCAAATTTTCACTGAATTAAGGTAAATAACTTATTCTAAAAATACTTTACCTACTACACTGCCACAAAGAGATGTGTATTCATCTGAAAATAAAAAATATTTATGAAGCTGAAGCATATGTATTTTCAAAATTAAAATTGAAGCGCTTCATAGAATTTTCATATCTAACATAAGAAAGTTGGTATTAACTCAATTGCTTATATCTTAGTCATTTAAACTCTGGTGAATAGTTGTCTCATTGGCAATCATACCAAATCTCCTGATTTTTATATTAATTATCATTTCAAATATTTCAAAAAGTGATTTTTTTTTTATTTATAAATAGCATGTTTTTTTTTTTTTATCTCTCCATGTATTATTATTACTCTTTTTTTTTTATTTAAATACAATGTCGGAATGAAAATTGCCACAACACAACCCATGTGGGCTTGCAATGTGTTGAACTATCATCAATCAATCAATCTAGTCCCTTCTAATATAGTTTAGGTAAAAAAAAATTTGAAACTGTAAATTAAGAAATATTTGCATGCATTTATGATTGGGATTTTTGGAGAATGGATTAAAAGTGAGATCATGCAATTATAGCAATTTCAGTAAATGCTGCATACATATTAAAATTTGAATTGTGAGTTTTAAATTTTGTGAAACATGTTCTGTTTCATCTTTTGCAATAATGAAAACATCGCAAAAATTTCTGAATTTACAGTAACTATGACACTGTACCTGTTCCCTTTCTAGGACATGATTTATAAGGGGATCCCCAAGCCTTTCCTAATGAACAACAACAGGTAGATTTCAGGTAGTTTCCAAAGATAGGACTGGAACATAATCCTCTGCTGTACTCCATAAAACATGATGACTGTCGCGTATCTGTTTCAAATATATATATACATTAAATACTAATTGTAAAGTTTAGTTTGCTTTTAAAATAATATTTTTGAATTGACCATTTTTTTATAGTCTCATTCAAATAGATATTTCTAAGTTCACCTAGCTCTACTATTCATGCAGACTTTCTTACTTGATTTGTCTTTTTTTGGTTATCAGCAACTTTCAAAAACAAAAACTACCCAAACTAACCCCTTCCATTGTTCATTATTTTTTCAATTTTAATAAGTCGTTCATGCACAAAATCTAGTTTGGGGTGACCTAATTTGTTCATGACTTTTCCATTGTATCCAAGTTGTGCATGACAATTTATTATTCCTCTATAAATCAGATATTTATAGCCTCATGCAAAAATTAATAGGACCAACTTAGAAATAAGAAAAAGGCTAAATCAGTAAAAAGACATTTATTAAACTTTGATATAAAATTGAAAAAGAACTAGACATCATTGAGAAGGGAGCCATCTCTGTGGGCCCCGCTGTAAATAACAGTTGTCGACTGAAACCGAAGTTTTTGACCTTGACCTTTGACCTAGGAAGTTGAACAAACATTATGACACACCCTCTGGTGATGGTTAATATAAATGTCAAGTATAAAGTATGAAATTATAGCGGTTCTCTAGATATAGAGCGGACACAATTTGTTACGGATGGACGGACGGAAATATGAAGAGGGGTTTATTTATGCTAATTTTGTAATTAACATGAAATCACGAAAATGTTCCCTCAGGTTAATTTTGTCTTTAAGATTAGAGTCTGTAACTACAAAAACATGAACGAAAACCTAGTCTAACAGATTTTGCATCTGAAATCATGACATTTAATGTTCACAAAAATAAACCATTTTAGAGTATATAGTCACTGTGATACTTAGACTAAGAAATGATCATTCATTTACTCATTTCAAAGTTTCATTCAAGTTTTCTCTATAATTATAAATTATTATAGTGATTTTTAACATGGTGCACATTATAAATAACCTACCTACACATTTACGCCCTGAGGAATCCAGTGAAAGCCCCGGAGGACAGGTGCACCTAAATGATCCTCTGGTATTTGTACAGAATCCACCAACACATATATCAGGAAATAATTCACATTCATTAATGTCTGAAAAAAAGCTCATAAAATCAATACAAAAGTATAGATTATAAGCATGAAAATAACAATAATTTGAATAAACTGTTGTCTTATGTATTTTTGATTGTATAATGCAAATGTTGTCATTTTCAAAATGATTTAATAGTTCAAGTCCTTTTTTAAACTGTCAAATTCATACTATAAATCACGGCATATAAAACTTAAAGCTTGTACCGACGGTTTCACAGCATTTACTTCATGAAATTTCTGTCCTTTTATGGTAAAAAAGTATCAGAACAATTAATGGAATGCAACACTTAAAAATTGAAATGATTTTAATAACTTAAAACTGTAAATTCCTCAGGATTAAACCATTCTACTTTTGATTTTGAGAATACGAAAAAAAAAAAAAAAAGTTTTAAGATAATCTTAAATTACAAATGATTGATCATAAGGAAGCTTTTGTCAAAGTTTGTAAAATTCTATAAAAGTTTGACAAAGTCATTGATGTCTAAAAACCTTTTAACAGACTGAACCTAAATGTTGACAATGCCACTAACAAATGCAGGACTGCTATGTCTCCCTTTGGTGAATTTCATCTGCAGACTTGACAAAAATCAAATACAAACATACCTATGCAAGTTATTCCATCATCAGATTTGAATCCTTTTCTGCATTTCATATCCTCTAAAACAAATAAAACTTGTACTACAGTTTAAGTATAACAATATAAATATAAATCAGGTAAGAGAGGAGGGAAGTTGGAAGACTTTTTTCTCCTGCAATTTTGACCAAATAAGGAAACTGGGATTTCATTCTTCAACAATTCATTCAAAGCCCTCCTCTCCCCAAATTTATCCATCCATAATTTTGAAGGCCTCAAGATTTCCCCATTGTTCTTCTGAAATAATCTAATGTACAATATATCAAAACATCACATTGTATCTATATGTATGTTCACCAAAATGTATGTAAAATTTAATTGGTTTTTTCCTCAGCATAATTTTTCAAACAATTAAAAGAAGGCTTTATTTGCTAGTGCAATATCCTAAAAAAATGTCCATACATGTTGCAATTGCTTCTTATTATTTGTTTTTTTTAATACCATTTCATCTACTGTAAATTCAGAAATTATTGCGTGCATTTATTATTGCGATTTTGTCATTTTAGACTTAAATGCGATTTTAATTTTTACGATTTTGAGAAAATCCTGTTTAATTCATATAAAGTATTTAAAAATGCGAGTTTAAATTATTGTGTTTACAACTCTGTCGCATTTGTCGCAACAATAAAAACCTCGCAATAATTTCTGAATTTACAGTATATGTCTGATGACGGATCAAAATGGTGTTAAAGACTTTTACAACTTTAAAAATTCTAATATCAAAGTGGGAGTGATACTCATGGTCTCATTATTCAGATTTTGTTCAAACCCCTTTTACCCTTTTTTAGTAAAGGACCCTTAGATGTATTTTAGTTTTCCCTATCAACCAGATCTAGACTAATCAGAAATAAAAGTTTTTTCAATCTGCCAAAGTATCAATTAAGCTACATTGCTATTCAACTGAATATTTTGTATACCAGATCTTGGACATTCTTCACAAGGACTTCCCCAAGCTTTTCCTATACTGCCACAACACTCAGCTTTAGTTACAGGTGTCTTTATATCTTTCTCACATCTACCTCCTCTCACCTCCAACCAACAAGAGGCTCTTCTGTCATCTGGAAAAAGACAAATATTAACATCATTAACACTTGTGTATACCAATAAGTGTTATAACCTTGGACGAATTGATTAACATAGATCCTTTTCAGATTGTGTCTTACTCATATGCAAGGGTATCCACTGGATATATACTGTTTTATTTCTGTGTACCAATTTATGTGGATTAAGGAAAAAATGTTTTTTGAATATTTAATTTCATAGTTCTACAAAAGTCTGTATACAAGCCTATAGAAAATGTATACTTCCAAGAACATTTATATTTGTGGTCCACCTATAAGAAAATAATAATAAATCCACCGTACAAGACAAGTTTAGTGAATTCTGTCAGATGGTTACACATGATGAAGACATATGTCTTTCTATGTCGTGATGTTACACTATTGTTTCAGATAAGGGTAAAGGTTTGGTACCATTAAAACGTTTAAACCCGTTGCAATTGTTTGCTCCTGTCCTAAGTCAGGAATCTGATGTTCAGTAGTTGTCGTTTGTTGATGTGGTTCATAAGTGTTTCTCATTTCTTGTTTTTTATATAGATTAGACCGTTAGTTTTCCCACTTGAATGGTTTTACACTAGTAATTTTTGGGGCCCTTTATAACTTGCTGTTCGGTGTGAGCCAAGGCTCCGTGTTGAAGACCGTACTTTGACCTATAATGGTTTACTTTTACTAAATGTGACTAGGATGGAGAGTTGTCTCATTGGCACTCAAACCACATCTTCTTATATCTATTGACTTCACAATTGAATTTGAAACGTCATTTGTATTTTGAACTGGAGATCAAAATGAAAATTTCTATGAGAGTTGCTTGCTATTAAGTTCAATTAAATCTTTAAAAAAAGTAAGCCTATAAGTATTTGCTCACTTTAATACTGAAACGCTTCTTTTATTTATAAATTTCAGCATCATCAAATCAAAATGGCCGTCTTTCCAATGCATCTTGTAGGTTCAAACCACTAAATTAAAATTTTTTTCCTAATAAAACAAAATAATTTTTACATGTCGATCCTGCTCTATGTTCAGGTTCACATGGGTTGGGATTTATTTGTCAACATTTTACAACTCACTATCACTTGGTATAAAGATATTGACAAATATAAAACCTACATATGTTAAAATGAGCATAGACCACATCATGAAAGAATAATTTCTAAAATTTTACCTATACATATTCTGCCAGTGGAGTCTAATCTCATTCCTGGATCAGTACAGTCACATTTAAAACTTCCTGGAGTGTTTGTACAGCGGGCATCAATACATGGTTTACTCTCAACACATTCATTTATATCTGTAACAACATATTAACACAGGTGTTAGTTGAGCTTCCTCTATAATGCTCTATTTTCCTTTTTTATAGAAGTGCTATAGATTTGATTGACATCTTAATGGATCATGACAATTATTGTCACATAAACTGCTGAGAAGAGCCTACTTAAAAAGCTAAGAATAAATCTATGATACCTAAGAAACAAATACTTAGAAAATTATTATCAATTGCATTGTGTTAAATGAATGCAATTTAAAAAAAAAACTTCAATTGTAATCCAAAGATCATATTAATACACTATTGAAAACTCAATCTGAGCTATTGTCAAATTATCTTATAAGGGAATGCCATGTTTTCTCCCCTCCACAACATTTAATATTTCAGCGAGGTCTAGTCCATATCATATTCAGAGATGAATATGGGAATATGATTCCCCGTAAGATTCAATGGAAATCTTCCAGGCATAACTACTGGCATGTATGCCATCCCATTAAAACAAACTGAATTTTTTTTTTATTAAGTCTAAAATCATCACTTATTATATAGATTTGGCCTTTTACTTTCAGAGAAAGAATTAAAAAATTTACTGATTAGAATAAAGCTTTGACTTTGGCTGAATTTTCTCTTTCTTCATATAAAACAAAATGAGACTTTATATGCAGGACTTGTTATAAATCATTCAAAATTCCAACTAAACAGGGGGAACTGGTATGTGTGCTCGACGTCAAAATTGTATTTTAAATGTCTGTTGTATTTTGAAATGCACCAGAGATTAAAATAGCCAAGAATTACTTATATTGGCTAAGTTGTTCCAGATTGGATTTTTCCAAAGGTTTCAATTGGCACAAACGCTGACATCATTGCTCAAATATATGCCACCTGATCAATACTAAAAGAGGAATCTATTATAAAGGGTCTCTTTTGTCAACATTCATGCCTTAAAATAAAACACTTTCCCAATCAAATATCATTTCTGAGTTTTTGCAAGTTCTTTTTTCCTCTCATGCAAATTGCGATACTGTGTTTTTTTCAAATGCTCATACTTTTTTTGTACAACCAATTACATTATGATATCATTTCAAATTCTTTGTTCTGGTACAAGAAATAACAATATATTATGTTAACAACTTCAGTCTAATACCTTGACAAGAAGACCGGTCTGGATTAAATCTATACCCAGTAGGACAAGTGCAATGATAGCTTCCTTCTGTATTCCTACACTGTCCTCCAGTACAAAAATGGGGGTATGTTTGGCATTCATTAATATCTGAAATCATAAGGAAAGATCAAATATTAGTTTTTAGATGACACTTTAAATTTGTTCAACTCAAATTGATATAAAAAAATCATCTGCATCAAAAGTATTTTGCATAAATATAAATATTGCATTCATAATATATTTTTTATAAAATCTTGATGCAGTACACATATGTACAAGTTATATATTTTCAAGAAATACAAAGAAACCATTTAATGTTCTTGTTTGTCCAATTTAAAGTTTATCAAGGGTATTAGCTTTCTTCAAATTTTTATGAACTTAGGTAGTACTTTAATTTAAAATTTATTGTCTTAAATTCCTCACAACCTTTAATAGTCTGTCATGTCAATCAACCTGTGAAACTAACATGATGCTAAAAGTGATTAAGATCTTTTAAAAACTAATTCAATTCATAAAATTCTTAAAATAAAAGTGTGTATACTTAAGTTGGTGATTACAATCAGTGCAAATCTATTTTCATTAAATAGTTTACATTTAAAGAGAAGCAAGTATGTTTAAGATGAAAATCTACAATAAAAATCAATTCTATTTTTGTTACAAAGTTTACATGAAAAGAAAAGCAAGTATGTTTAAGATGAAAATCTATAATAAATATCATTTCTATTTTTATTACAAGTTTACATGAAAAAAAAAGTATGTATGTTTAAGATGAAAATCTAGAATAAATATCAATTCTATTTTTATTATAAAGTTTACATGAAAAGAAAAGCATGTATTTTTAAGATGAAATTCTTCAACAAATACCAATTCTATTTTTATTTTCAAAGTTCAATTTTATTTTGTATATATCTTTGATAGCAATCTTTTTACTTACCTCGGCATCTTTTACCAGACTGGTCTACTTGATAACCAGGGTTACAGATACATCTATAAGACTTGTCTAAGTTTTCACATGCTCCATTCTGGCATATCTCTGGATTCATGGCACATTCGTTCACATCTGTAAATTAAATACTACGCATGTTGCATTTCTGATATAAACACACAAAAATGTAATTAAATTCTGATATGAATAAATTAAATTTCAAACAATGCTTAAACGGTGCTAGCATGATTTTTTTTAACATCCTTTCTTAAATTTTCAATTTATTACTGTAAATTCAGAAATTATTGCGATGTTTTTATTATTGCGAAAAATGCGACAGGGTTATAATCGTAATAATTAAAACTCGCATTTTGAAATTTTTTATATGAATCAAACAGGATTTTTCTGAATATCGCAAAAATTAAAATCGCATTTTAGTCTTAAATGACAAAATCGCAATAATTTCTGAATTTACAGTAATTAAGAAATTATTCAGAAAACGAGGTTCTAACCCCTTCATGCAAAGTTGAACTTAGATGGATTTGGCTAATATTTATAAAAAGTTTTAATGATATAGCTCTTCACATGTTTCAGTTCATATACATCTTTGATTTTCAATTTTTTGGATTAGAGTGTTCCTGAAGAAGATAAGGATGTTCGCTACTCTGTTTCAGAAGCTTTTTAAAAGACTGGTATAAATTGATAGTATATGAATGAAGGAACTAAAATAGCAGAAAAAAAATGAAGGGTCCGTGTGCTTGTTTTCGAGATATAAGCCTTTGAAAATTTGGCGGGAAATGATTCTCTCTAGATTTTTCATACATTAAACATTGGCACCGTTTTTCTTTCAAAAACAATGAAAAAATAATAAGGATTTTATAAGATTTCCAAATATGGCTTTTTAAACTAAATGTAATAAAATTATGAAAAGAAAAGTAGGGGTTAGTAATAAATTATTCCATGGCCAAACATGGATAAAACAATCTGGCAAAAATTCAAAAACAAGAGGAGCGAACATCCTTAATCCAGAAAAGTGCTTTGGACACATACAATTTATAAAGTGTTATTTTCATCTTTAAAATCTGTTTTGTATTATTTAATCTGGATACATCAGTTTGTGCGATTATTTTCTTCAGTCTTTGCCTTTTTCTATATAATAATTTGTAATGCAGATGGGTGATGTTATATCTTTTGGTAGAAAATTCCTTAAAATTAGATTCCTGCCTTAAAGGTAATGGACAGTGTAATATAACTACTTATTCAGGCCATTTAAAAACTAATTAATGAACTGACTAGTTTATCTTACTTTTTGCATAGATTGTCTGCAGTTAAAAACTGTGAAAATAATTCAATAAATAATAATGTCTTACAAGTAATGTATTAATAGTTTCACTTTTTCTAAATAAAAATAAATGTAATGTGTTGTACTTTTCATGTTCAATCTTATTATTTTAGTGATCAATCAGTCATTTAAATGCCATATTTTTACATTAAAATTAATTACTTTCTCTTCAAATTAAAAAAAAAAAAAAATATATATTTATAGATATGAATAAAAAGATTGATATATCCTCCTAAACTCATCAGTTATCCCACAATTTTCAACAAAACATGTAACCTAGAACTGTTCACACATAGACATAAAAATTACTGTCTTTTGATGAGGTAAATATGTGGTTTTATTGACTTTTGAAAAACTGATATACACTGAGATTATGTGATTCTATTCATATTTGGTGGTTTACCTATGTCTGGCAAAGCATCACACAGTTGTTTATACTGTGGGGTTCCTGTCAGAGGACAAATTTCACATGCAGCGCCCCATCTTTTATAAAGAGCTGAACTTATATCTGTGCAGCAACACATGGATCTTGTCATTGGCCGTGGAAGGGGCAAAACACACACGCCTCTCTTCTTGTCTTGGTAACATATATCAGTCTTCACATCTGTAATTTTGTAAATTCAGATTTAAATCATGAACTATACATATGTAGAAATTTTCAAGAAGGGGGTTGCCTCTCCTGACTCACTGCAATAATGAATGATCTATGAATTATCAGAAATATATTATATAGTATTAGATGTATACCTTGTATAGGAAAGCATTTGCAAGTTTAATATGTTGGTTATTCCCTGTATTCTACGGTAATTTTTGCTTATTAAAATCATGTACATTCTTTTCCATTTGTTTTTTTAATTGATGTTTTAAGTTCGAAGAAATAAATATCTAATATGTCAATGCATCATATACATCTGTGTTTCATGTCAGGTATAAACTAAAGCTGTGGAAGGGGCTGTTCCTTTGCTTTGTGTGTGTCTTTTGCTGTGCATGTACTAATTTTGTGTCATGGATGGATACCCCATATCCTTTGTTTTTCTATTAAAGACTTATATGTCATGTAGCCGGTATAAAACTAAAGACTAGGTATATCAAGTAGCAGGTTTAAAGGATCTACTTATTTTCCATATTGCATTGTTTATGCTTTTTATAAATGTTTACTGTGGATTCATTATTAGTTGTGGGATACCAATTTTTGTGGATTTCATGGGTAAAGTTAAACCAAAAATTTAATGTTCAACGAAGTACAAATTTTATGTATACTTTTATGCAGACTTTGGCAAAACCACAAAATCAAATCTCCACAAGACATTTTTCCTCAATCCAAGAAAATGATATCCACAGTACTTATTTTCAATATTGCAATGTTTATTCTTTTTTTAATAGTATATTTATGAAATGAGATCCATTCTTTCCCCCTCCTTCTTCCCAAATAAACATAAATGTAACAGTTTTATATCTATATTCAATATGCGATGTGATACTATACCTAAGCAAGTTCTGCCATCTGTCTGTAGTTGGAAGCTTTCTGGACATTCACATCTAAAACTTCCTTGGTTATTTATACAGATTCCATTAACACATGGATTTCTCTCACATTCATCTACATCTACAATACATTTCATTATTAAATAACACTGTTATTTCATTGTAACTTTATTAACTACTTAGAAATATTTATTTTGTGGTTTTGCAGCTCCTGTTTTCTAGCCTGCTATCTAGTCAATTCAGTGTTTTATAAACATGGATATTTTAAGAACTATGGAATTAATATTGTTATTATATGAACCATAAAACAAATATATGCTTTCTGTTTGGCTTTTATAACTCTGTTAGTGCCAAATATGGCAATATATAAATTTTCATCTTCATACTATCCTCTACCCCATGTTTTCCAAAGTTTTATTTTATAAGAATCTGAAAGTGCATTAATAGAAAATACCCCCAAAAATTGTTTTTTTTTAGGGCTATTCCATTAAAATGTATGTGGGAGGGTAGGAAAGGAAGTTTAATTATTGAATGTGGGTCATGGGTCTACTTTCAGTATGCGTCTTACCATTATGCAAAATTATCTAAACAAGAGTGCACACGCTGAAATGTCTCGCCTTCTTTACTAATCATTGATATTATGTTGATAGTCCTAAATATAAAGCTTTATTACAACTGTCACATAAACTTAACATTAACCAAGTAAACTAAACATTGACCAATGAACCATGAAAATGAGGTCAAGGTCAGATGAACCATGCTAGGCAGGCATGTACAGCTAACAATTCTTCCATACAACAAATAGAGTTGACCTATTGCTTATAGTTTAAGAAAAACAGACCAAAACACAAAAACTTAACACTGAGCAATGAACCTTGAAAATGAGGTCAAGGTCAAATAAAACCTGCGTGACTGCCAAATAGATCATAAAATATTTCCATACACCAAATATAGTTGAACTATTGCATATAGTATAAGAAAAACAGACCAAAACACAAAAACTTAACTATAACCACTGAACCATGAAAATGAGGTCAAGGTCAGATGACACCTGCCAGTTGGACATGTACACCTTACAGTCCTTCCATACACCGGATATACTAGACCTATTGCTTATAGTATCTGAGATATGGACTTGACCACCAAAACTTAACCTTGTTCATTGATCCATGAAATGAGGTCGAGGTCAAGTGAAAACTGTCTGACGGGCATGAGGACCTTGCAAGGTACGCACATACCAAATATGGTTGAACTATTGCACATAGTATTAGAAAAAAAGACCAAAACTCAAAAACTTAACTTTGACCACTGAACCATGAAAATGAGGTCAAGGTCAAATGACACCTGCCCGCTAGACATGTACACCTTACAATCATTCCATACACCAAATATAGTAGACCTATGGCATACAGTATAAGAAAAACAGACCAAAACACAAAAACTTAACTATAACCACTGAACCATGAAAATGAGGTCAAGGTCAGATGACACCTGCCAGTTGGACATGTACACCTTACAGTCCTTCCATACACCGAATATACTAGACCTATTGCTTATAGTATCTGAGATATGGACTTGACCACCAAAACTTAACCTTGTTCACTGATCCATGAAATGAGGTCGAGGTCAAGTGAAAACTGTCTGATGGGCATGAGGACCTTGCAAGGTACGCACATACCAAATATAGTTATCCTATTACTTATAATAAGAGAGAAACAAACATTACAAAAAATCTGAACTTTTTTTTCAAGTAGTCACTGAACCATGAAAATGAGGTCAAGGACATTTGACATGTGACTGACGGAAACTTCGTAACATGAGGCATCCATATACAAAGTATGAAGCATCCAGACCTTCCACCTTCTAAAATATAAAGCTTTTAAGAAGTTAGCTAACGCCGCCGCCGCTGTAGCCGCTGCCGGATCACTATCCCTATGTCGAGCTTTCTGCGACAAAAGTCGCAGGCTCGACAAAAATGGTTCTTGGTTGTAGGGATATTTTGAAAGTCCCTTCCTACCCTCCCACATACATTTTAATGGAATAGCCTTATGTTGGAATCATCTCTGGGCATTTGGAAGACAAGAGTGCACACGCTGAAATATCTCGCCTTTTTTACTGACCATTGATTTTATGTTGATAGTCCTAAATATAAAGCTTTACTAAAAGTATCACATAAACTTAACATGATCCAAAAAAATTAGGTCAAGGTCAGATAAACCAAACCGGAAATACATGTACACCTTACAATCATTCAATACACCAAATATAGTTGACCTATTGCCTATAGTTTCTAAGAAACAGACTTAAACAGGAAAACTTAACATTGACCAATGAACCATGAAAATAAGGTCAAGGTCAGATGAACCATGTCAGACAGACATGTACACCTTACAATCAATCTTTGCATTAAATATAGTTGACCTATTGCTTACAGTATCTAAGAAACAAACTTAACCATGAAAACTTAACATTGACCAATGAACCATGAAAATGAGGTCAAGGTCAGATGATACCTGCCAGACAGATATATGCACCTTACAATCATTCCATACAACAAATATATTTGACCTATTGGTTATAGTTAAAGAAAAACAGACCAAAACACAAAAACTAAACACTTGAGTAATGAACCGTGAAAATGAGGTCAAGGTCAAATAAAACCTGCCAGACTGATAAGTACATTGTAAAATATTTCCACACACCAAATATAATTGACCTATTGCATATAGTATTAGAAAAAAAGACCAAAACACAAAAACTTAACTTTAACCACTGAACCATGAAAATGAGGTCAAGGTCAGATGACACCTGCCAGTTGGACATGTTCACCTTACAATCATTCCAGACACCAAATATAGAAGACCTATTGCTTATAGTATCTAATATATGGACTTGACCAGGAAAACTTAACCTTGTTCACTGATCCATGAAATGAGGTCGAGGTCAGATGAAAACTGTCTGACGGGCATGAGGACCTTGCAAGGTACGCACATATTAAATATAGTTATCCTATTACTCATAATAAGAGAGAAATTAACATTACAAAAAATCTTCCCTTTTTTTTCAAGTAGTCACTGAACCATGAAAATGAGGTCAAGGACAATAGACATATGACAGACGGAAACTTCATAACATAAGGCATCTATATACAAAGTATGAAGCATCCAGGTCTTCCACCTTGGAAAATATAAAGCTTTTAAGAAGTTAGCTAACTCCGCCGCCGCCGGATCACTTTCCTTATATCGAGCTAAGCTCGACAAAAATCAAGGCATTACAAAGAACTAGCGCAATTGATTGTGCAGATTTTTTGTTTTTGTTTCTTATGTATAGATAAACAATTATTTAGAAATTGCCTCACCAACACAGTACTTCTAAAATACACTTTCTGTTAAATCTATTATTATGATAATATACAGTATATACTCAGTTATTTACCAATGCACACTTTTCCATCAGGTGCAGCAACAAATCCTGGATTACAGATACACATGTAACCACCATTCATATTCACACATTTACCATGAGTACACATCCCAGACTTGGCACATTCATTATAATCTATTAAAAAAGTATTTTTTAATTAAAACATGTGAATTATTGATAAAGTTTGAGGTGGACACCAAGATATGCAGATTGTCTTAGTTTAACATAAAATTGAAAGAAAAATCAGAACATACAACCCTTCTTTTTCGAAATAAAAACAAAAATTTAACACACCCTACTTTTACCATACTTTCACAGTGAACTATATACCCCGGTATATGTATACAAATTCTCAAGGCAATAGGATATATAAATCTTCTATGTAATTTATTATATTTTCTTTTTGAGACATTTTTTAAGAAAGAAAACGTAGGTGAAATATAATGTTTACATAATACTGAAATCTGATTGCCATTCTTTTTTACCTGCTTTAACATGTCCACATTAACATGACAAAATAGTAAGACAAAACTATCATGTTAAACTGAATGAATCTGTAAATAATTACATGAATTAAAGAACCTTAGTGAGCGCGCTCACTTACCCCACGTCCCCACATTGTCACTGGAGAAATAAAATAACTGTAAGAAAAAAAAATTGTATAAGAAAAAAAAATTGAATCATAATTTCCTGTCGATATGCACATCTACATAGTATGTCCTTATTATCTACAAAGTTTCATGAAATTCTGTTGTGTGGGTTCAGAGGAGTTGCGATGACAAACTGTTGCAGAGGTATATTGAAGCAAATAAGTTCAAAGGGGCGTAACTCCTAGAAAAAAAATTGAATCGTAATTTCCTGTCGATATGCACATCTACGTAGTATGTCCTTATTATCTGAAAAGTTTTCATGAAATTCTTTTGTGTGGTTTCAGAGGAGTTGCGATGACAAAAGGTTGCAGTAGTATATTGGGCAAATAAGTTCAAAGGGGCGTAACTCCTGGAAAAAAAATTGAATCGTAATTTCCTGTCGATATTCACATCTACGTAGTATGGCCTTATTATCTACAAAGTTTCATGAAATTTTGTTGTGTGCTTTCAGAGGAGTTGAGATGACAAACTGTTGCAGTAGTACATTAAAGTAAATAAGTTCAAAGGGGCGTAACTCCTAGAAAAAAAAATTGAATCATAATTTCCTGTAGATATGCACATCTACCTAGTATGTCCTTATTATCTACAAAGTTTCATGAAATTCTGTTGTGTGGTTTCAGAGGAGTTGCGATGACAAACTGTTGCAGAGGTATATTGAAGCAAATAAGTTCAAAGGGGCGTAACTCCTAGAAAAAAAAATTGAATCGTAATTTCCTGTCGATATGCACATCTACGTAGTATGTCCTTATTATATGAAAAGGTTTCATGAAATTCTATTGTGTGGTTTGAGAGGAGTTGCGATGACAAAAGGTTGCAGTAGTATATTGGGCAAATAAGTTCAAAGGGGCATAACTCCTGGAAAAAAAATTGAATCGTAATTTCCTGTCGATATGCACATCTACGTAGTATGTCCTTATTATCTACAAAGTTTTATGAAATTTTGTTGTGTGGTTTCAGAGGAGTTGAGATGACAAACTGTTGCAGTAGTACATTAAAGTAAATCAGTTCAAAGGGGCGTAACTCCTAGAAAAAAAATTGAATTGTAATTTCCTGTCGATATGCACAACTACATAGTATGTCCTTATTATCTAAAAAGGTTTCGTTAAATTCTGTTGTGTGGTTTGAGAGGAGTTGCGATGACAAGAAACAGGACTGACGGACGGACAGACAGACGGACGGACAGACGGACGGGTCAAAAACATTATACCCTCCGCAACTCGTTGCGTGGGGTATAATTAGTGTCAAAAGTTAATATTCTTAAAACACTTACTGGGTATATCTATAAACTGGTGAGATTTGATACAACATTTTCCATTTGTTATTGCATGCATTCTATACAATGTGCACTTTTTAATAGGGATTTTTTTTCAGAAAATATAAGTTAAAAGAATCATTTCTCAAAATCATACACAAATCAGTGACATTGCCTTTGACAGAGGTAAGTGATTTTCCACCACACTAGTACTACAATACTTACCCAGACAGTATGCACCATCTGGAGAAAGTTGGAAACCTCTATCGCATATACATCTATAGGATCCTACTGTGTTTTCACACTGACCATTTATACATAGTTTACCATTTTCATTACATTCGTCAATATCTGAAAATATAATGGTTCTGATCAAATTTTCAGATTCAATTGAAATAGATGAAACAAGGATAGGATTCTTTTACTAATCGTCTTTGCAAATTTTCATCTTTTCTAAGTAGAAAATTCAGGGGAGCTAGGACTGATTTTTTTTGTTTGAAAACTTTGACCAGGCCTTTCATAACTTGCTATATGGCATGGATTTTGCTAATTACTGAAGGTCATACTGTGACCTCATGACCAGATATTTATATCCTCGAGCCACCCTTAAAAAATTATGTGTTTGATGTTGCCTACCCATGCCACAAAGGGTCAGGTAGGTAGGTAGGGATTTTATTTTTTTTTGCCAACAATATCAGTTACATGTTTTAGACAAGAAAACCTTTTAAAGCAGGAAAAAATCTTAAAAAAAAAATTGAAACGATTTGTGTCATAAAATTTTACTGGAAGGCTGTTTTTTAGGTGGGTAGGTAGGCAACATCAAATAATTCAAATTTTATTTTTGGTCTTGTCCTTAAGTCTTTGGAGGATAGTTGCCTCATTGGTAATCATAAAACACTCCTTTTGCAAATTGAGTACTTGGTGCAATTTGGGTACTGTGACGTTATCAGTATTTCAAATTTAATTAATGGTAAACTATTCAGGCTGCAATTCACATAACTGTTAGTCAGTCATTCGGTAGACTTTAGTCCATCTAAATACAACATTTATTGATTTGTATTCAATCAACTAAATTATTTCCAATATTGAATATAAATTAAAGAAACATTCTTTGATTTCTTGAAACAACTACAGAAAGAAATAACAATGAAATAAATGAACTTGTTCATTCAAATTTCCATGTAAACTAGTGTCTGCAAGAATTTATTAATACACTCAATATGGCATCAACTGAAAAGCATAAAGAAAAAAACTGTCTTCAAAAGAAAAATTTAAATTGAATCCATCTCTATAATTTAAATCTGGTAAGAATTTTGTTCCTGAACATATAACAATTTCCTCAAAATTAAATGCATAAATCTCTCAAAAGGCGACAATTTACATACTGATAAAATCTAGTTTCTCTCTTGATGCTTTTGAATTTAGACTCTTACCATAACAGATCATTTGGTTGAGTGATTGTCTAAAGCCAGGGTTACATTCACATTTGTAACCACCATTCATATTAACACAACGACCATTAGGGCACATCCTTGTTGTTGCACATTCATTCATGTCTAAAATTAAAAAAAATGGAAATATTTGTCAGAGAATACTAGAAATACACAAAAAATGTTTCAGTTAAAAATCCCTCTTGGAGGTTAGATATACATGTAGATGCTGGTGAATATGGGTGATTTACTCTGAAATATCTTCTCCTATTTCAAATATGTAATATAAGACAGGGTTGTAAACCAGTGTTATCACCCCTAAACCATCAACTATCACCAATATTTCACAATAATTACCTCAAAAATTGAAAGGGGCGAATTTTTTACTAAAAAAACCTTTTGTGTGCTGTACATTGAAAAAAGCAGTATCAGTTGTTAGCATCAATTTAAGTTATCAATATTAGTCATATAACAGGTGATACAAATGTTATATTTATAATAAAGGCTTCATTTACAATTCATAACAGATTCCTGAAACAACCATTAATAGATAAGTGTATGATACAGTATAATTATATTATTCCATTCATATAATCAGTGCCTACATCATGTACATAATTATAGAATTTTTGGGAAACCACCATACAATAAACATCCAGACCCTTCATTTTTACCAAGAAATAAAATTCAACTTGTAATTCAAAACCCTAGTCCCCCCATATATTGCTCTACTTCTAGCAGGCTACCCAGAATATTTGAATACCTGTGCAGTAAGTTCCATCCTTTGACAGGACATAACCTGTGTTACAATCACACGTAAACCCTCCAGGTGTATTCCTACATCTCCCATTTCTACACAGTCCTCTTCTTTCTACACATTCATTTATGTCTGTAAAGAGGAGGTTTTTAAACTAAACTTTTTACATCCATTTGCTTTACAAGCCAATTTATTATGCAATATACAATACAGAATTATTAACAATTTGCAATGTTTATATCATGCCTGAAGTTATGACTGATATTACCTACCAACATTGATTGATTAATCGATTGAATGGTGTTTAAAGTCACTTTTAGCACTATTCTGCTATTTCATAGTGGTCACTTTTTATTGGTGGAGAAAGCAGAGTGCCCAGAGAGAACCACCGACCATGGCTTCCAAAACGGTCATATATTCCGGACATTTATAAATTTACCGGACATTTTACATATCCGTCTCTGGTCCATGTTTTACCATTGTCAAGTCAACATCCGGTATTAGGAAAATGTGCTTTTTAAAAACGAAAAAGTTTTTGACAATGTTATTTTGCACAAATAAAGAGTCTAAGGCAGATATTAGTACGCTGATGTTGCACACTTCGAATGATGCACTGTCAATTTAACAGTTTAAGTCAGAACATCGAATTTATATCAAAGTAAAGTTTAATATTGTTTTTTTAATGTCAATCATTGGTTATATGATGACCAACTGATTACCATGGTCCATAATTGCCTTTTGTTATTAAGTCTTAAGGGATTAAAATCGGGATAAGGCATAAAATGTCCAGCTGACTCAAATATTTTTTGGAATATCTGCCACCGACCTTCAGTAGTAAAACTTACCAACATTGCCAAACGGGAGAGGATATTATTTTCAATTTAAGTAATCTATGTTATAGACCCTGCTTCATACCAACAGGTTAAAACAATACCTGGAGACTTTTTGGGAATACTCAGAACATTTTTTTTACAAATGGGATTTGGACACAAATTGTCATCTAATCAGGACTCACACTACTCTAGAATCATAGGGAAAAGTGACTTCTCTTTTTGGAACTGATATGGAGAATTGGTGAGACTTAAAAGAGAAGTGCTTGTTCGCTCACAGCACAATAATGTTTGGTTAATACAATAGTATATATGGCCATATCTGTATGTGTACCGGTAGGTTTGATATTTAAAGTTACATTTATCTCAGAATTCCTTGTCCAGTTAAAATATATGTATCATGTTGATGATAAATATACCTGTACACCTATGTCCTGCTGAATCTGGTCTGTATCCAACATTACAATCACATCTGTACCCATCTGGTGTATCTACACACCGGCCATTGTCACATAAGTTCAATAATATCCTGCATTCATTTAAAGTCTGGTTCCCTCCTAATTGTCTACATAACTCCTGGTATCCAGCTGAAATATTTAAAAGGCATGTAAAATTCTATGAGAAACAGGTCTACATAACTCCTGGTATCCAGAAATATTTAAAAGGCAAATAAAATTCTATCAGAACCAGGTCTACATAACTCCTGGTATCCAGCTGAAATATTTAAAAAAGCAAGTAAATTTCCATGAGTTACGAGTTCCTTGTTGGACATTGCATACACTGTTCTGAATCTCCCCACCCTCTGCCTACTCCACAACAACAGTCAGATAAGGATTACTTACGAGTTCCTTGTTGGACATTGCATGCACTGTTCTGAATCTCCCCACCCTCTGCCTACTCCACCACAACAGTCAGATAAGAACAGTCAGATAAGGATTACTTACGAGTTTCTGATATTGGACATTACCTGCACTGTTCTGAATCTCCCCACCCTCTGCCTACTCCACAACAACAGTCAGATAAGGTTTACTTACGAGTTCCTTATGTTGGACATTACATACACTGTTCTGAATCTCCCCACCCCCTGCCTACTCCACCACAACAGTCAGATAAGGATTACCTTGTTCCGTATGATGGACATTGCCTGCACTGTTCTGAATCTCTCTCCCCCCCCCCTCTCTTCCTACTCCACAACAACAGTCATATAAGGATTACTTACGAGTTCCTGATATTGGACATTGCATACACTGTTCCGAATCTCCCCATCCTCTGCCTACTCCACAACAACAGTCAGATAAGGATAACAATCTGGACATTCTATCAGTGCATCTGGAACCAGATACTCTGCCGAAACAATACTTTCTCAGAATAGCTGTATAAAAAAGGATATACAAAATAATCATTTAGGTCCCTTTTATATAGTGTATTTAGGTCTTGTACATCCTTTGGATGTGAGGGTTCCTGATGAAGGTAATTCCAGAAAAGTTTTGGATGCACAAAATTAACAATGTTATTTATATTTGTAATTTCTATAAAGATAGTGCTTTGAAGATGGTAACAAATAATTTTTAATCATTAAAATGCCAGTAATTAAAATGTGTTATAAACAAAAATTTTGAGATCTTTCAAATTTACTCTCTTAACATGTGGATTCCATAGCAAAACATTTTGCCTAAGGAGCTGAAGCTTCTCTTACAGTACTCTGAATGGAAAGGAATCATTTGTTAGTATTCATTTGTTCCAAACTTGAATCTGTTGACGCTACCATGAATTATTTACTACTTAAAACATGTGTTCAATAAAAATCAATGATAAATAGAAATATTCTATGAACAATGGACAGTGACCCACAGCAAAAGCTTTACCCATCATGAAACTAAAAAAATGAAAACTTAACATTGCTCACTGAAAAGTTACTTATATTATAGGCAACTTTCATGTACATATAATTCAAAATATTCTTTCAAAAAAATCACTGAACCACGACATGGCATATCACAATCATTCAACTGTTTATTTTGTGTTCTATCTTGACATAATCAGAGGTGGTTACATTGTATTGTCAAATTTTCTTCAAACCAAACTTCCTAACCCTGAAACTTAACCAACAAGCATTCTGAAAGTTCTGCTTAGTTAATGCAATGTCCTCTACCAATAGATAGGTTTTGATATGACATAATTTGAGTATGTGTTCTTTCCCTTGGCCACCATTTTGGAGGGGTAGATGGTTGAATTTATTATTTGACTAATCAAAATGAAACATGAGGTACACACAAGTCTGATAAAAGATCTGTACTAAATCATAGTGATGAATCCATTGCTGCCATCCATAATTCTGAATTTTGTGGCATCACATCTTTTTCACATTTAAAACTATCTTAAATCGAAAGATGAACCAACAACAAAAACTGAAGAAAGACAGCCTGATAGCTTGATGCTAGCAACAAGAGATATAAAATATTACAAATATTTCTTTATTTTTCTTACCAAGACACTGAGTTCTATCGGCTGTCAACTCAAACCCAGGATTACATCTACAGAAATAGCTACCCTCTGTATTGATACACTGTCCATTGGTACAAGCATTTGGTACTGATTCACATTCATTTAAATCTAAAATGAATTAAAAAAAAACATACAGTAAACTGGATATGCCATATCATTTTTCATAACTCACATGCATTTTAGTTGCTAGTCTGTGAAATTCAGTATTGAGGCAATGACGTTTTGAAATTGGTTTCAGCTATTCATTTCATATAATCATTGCCTCTGTGTTAGATAGACACATGGTTAATGATAGGTGAATCTGAAAAAATGATATTGACATGTCAAAACAATAACCTAGGATATGATTGTAACCCATCAGTGTGAAAGAAAAATTGAAAGTGATACATGAATTTCTCTGTATGAGAGTGGTATGTATCCTTATATTTTTTTCATAATCAAGTTGTTTGTTTGTGATACGCAAGAATGTTATCAATGAATTAGCAAATGCTTAACTTGAGTTAAGGTTTAGTTTTAAAGTTTAAAATTTATGAGCCGCACAGTGACTTGATTTTAGAATGTGTCACACACTCAGCCCATGATGCCACTGCATAATAAGTTTGGTTATCTGAAGTTTAATGGCACAAAAGTTTTGCAGCGGACATGACTTGGAGAGGGTTTTACTATCATAGTGGTCAAAGGTCAAAGTCAAGGTCAGAGTGACCTGACTTTGGTATATGACAACTTCCCCAGCCCATGATGCAACTGCATACAAGTTTGGTTATCCTAAGTTTTACAGTACAAAAAGTTATGCATCTGACACGAACTGGACAAGGTTTTACTCTGATAGGGGTTCAAGGTTAAAGTCAAGGTCAGAATGACTTGACTTTGGTATATGACACACCCCCAGCTCATAATGCAACTGCATACTAATTTTGGTTATCCTATGTTTGACGGTACAAAAGTTATTCACCTGACACGAATTGGACAAGGTTTTACTATCATAGGGGTCAACTGTCAAAGTCAAGGTGAGAGTGACCTGACTTTGGTATATGACACACACTCAGCCCATGATGCAACTGCATACCAAGTTTGGTTGACCAAAATTTTACAGAACAAAACTTTATGCACCAGGCAAGAAGCAGGACAGATAGATGGACAGACATGGTGATTCCTATATACCCCCCTCCCCAAACTTTATTTGAGGGAGTATAATAACCTTGGGACTGTAAAATTACAACATGAATTTTTATCAAAAAATACTCAGTGACCTTGGGTTCATGTAAAAAGGAGGCCAAATTTTTTATATGATATTCTTGGAAAGAACAATGATTATCACTTAAACAATGTCACATTGTTATTAATGGCTTTATGTGTTGAAAGTCTGGAGTGTATATGACCTTACCTTCACATTTTTTTGTTATTGGATTCTCTCGCTGGCCGTCCCTACACTGACATATGTAAGACCCCATAGTATTGACACACTTTCCTCCAATACACAAACCAGGAATAGCTTTACATTCATCTATATCTGGAGAAAAAAAAAAAATCTTGTATACACAAAATTATATCTTTAAATTAGTAAAATAAAGAGCCGTGATTTCATTGTTATCTCTAGCCATTTTGCATAATGCAGTAAGTTGCAGGATCAATAAGTAATAATCAAGTTTACAAATTGTCAGTACTTTTAAATATCTGAGCAATTTTTTTGCTTCATGCAATAAAAAATGCAGATCTAATGCAGTAAATATCTTATTTTTCTTTACTCTTTCTGACACCTTTTGAACTAATATTTTGACAGACTTATATTCATGTGAAACAGTTGATAAGAATTCTAAATTGCCCAAAGCTGACTGATAATTTAGAAGAAAGTCTTTTTAAATTAGACCAAATGAACATTGTTTTCCCTTTTAAATTGACATGGTAGCTTGTTAAGTTTAACTAGAGGCTTTAAAGAGCCTGTGTCGTTCACCTTCATCTTCAAAAATTACCACTTTTTAGTAAAAATAATCATTAAAGGGGAACAACTCTATTAAGAGTAAATTGACAACTGCTATTTAAAGTTACTATCTATCTTTTATAGTTTTAAGATATTAGGCAAAAACAGAAAAAATTGGTAAACAGTGTCATTAAAGGGCAAAAACTCTAATAAGTAGTTGACAGAAAATTTCCGCTATGTTGACTTATTTGTAGATCCTGTTGTGCTGATCATTTTTGCCTTCAAAGATTCTATCATATCTATTATAGTTTATAAGATATTAAGCAATAACTCAAAAAATGGGTAAACATTGTCATTAAAGGGCAATAACTCTAATAAGGAGTCGTCTGACAATTTTGGTCATGTTGACTTATTTGTAGATCTTGTCTTGCTGATCATTTTTGTCTTTTAAAATTTCTGTCTATTTATTATGATTTTCGAGATAATACATGTAATAAGCAAAAAATTTAAAAAATGGTAAAATTTGTCAATTAAGGGCAATAACTCCTAGAAGACTTCACCTGAGAGCTTTGACTTAAATGGACAATAGGTAGAGCTCAACATTCTGCACATTTCTGATCATGTCAGATTTTCTCTATTTATAGCAGTTTTTGAAATAATAGGCTAAACTTGCATTTTACCCCCTATGTTCTACTTTTAGCCATGATGCCAATCTTGGTTGACAGACGAGGTCATCAGACACATTTTTTTCAAACTAGATACCCTAATAATGATTGTGGCCAAGTTTGGTCAAATTTGGCCCTCTAGTTTCAGAGGAGAAGATTTTTGTAAAAGTTAATGGTTAATGGACGACGACGGACGAAAAGTGATGAGAAATGCTCACTTGGCCTTTTGGCCAGGTGAGCTAAAAATGATAATTAATAAGGGCTTCTGTTGATTCTGAAAAACATTTTTTCAATAATTAAACAGTACCTCTGAATGCTTTAAAAAGATGGTTTAAGTGGAAGTCTCTTCAGCAGGCTGTCAGCCATTTGGGAATTATTTACACAAATTACTTTAACCGTTATGTGGGCAAACTTTATTGGAGTGAATTATGATCTTTCCAGAAAATCAACTACTGTGCGCATTAGCCATTGCTTTTAAGGATCAATTCATGTGGAGCCATGACAATTCTTAAAAGGATTTTTTATGAGATTTTTCATAAAACTGCCAGCCTTAGGGGGCATTGATCACAGAGATAAAATTTATGTAGTACATTTGCCAGCTTTAGAATGATTTCAGTATTCAGGAAATTGTTTTTTTAGGATACACTATTTAAACTAAACAAAGCCATACCTTGGCAAGTTTTAGTCTGATGATTTGGCAGGAATCCCTTTCTACAAATAGTCGGCCCTGTTGGACATTGTTCACAAGGATTGCCCCATGCCTTTCCTACAGTGGCACAACATAACAGTTTTGTACATACAACACCTGTCAGCTGACCCCTGCACATATCATCAGACAACTCGGTAAAACATGGTCCAGTTCTGTAGTCTAAAAATAGAAAATAAAACATGATACATAAGTACTTAGTAGAAAATCCTAGATAGTTTTCATGATACCCAAACAGACAAATATTTACATGTAAATGCTCTGCTGAAGATTATAGAAACATTGGATGTTATATTCAGTAAGTATTTGAAATTGAATACAATTAAAAAGTAGCTGACTTTGTCTTCTTCAACATTGACTCAAAACTTTTGGTTAGATTTGCATATGGTTAATGTTATGTTTTAGGATAGGGATAAGAGTAAAACAAAAATTTTGTCTCTCTGGATTTACCATCATCAGGAATGCTCAAAGCAAAAATTTTGTCTCTCTGGATTTACCTTCAACAGGAATGCTCAAAGCAAACATTTTAAAGCCAAGGATGAGTAAATTCTTGAGGAGCTATATGACAAAAATGGACAAAACCATCGAAAGTCAACTTTGCCTAATGGAGTTAGATAGTGTGTCTTTCTATGTTGTAATGTTACACTACTATTTCAGTGAATGGTGAAGGTTGGCGCCTGTTAAAACGTTTAAACCCACTGCATTTGTTTGCACCTGTCCTAAGTCAGGAACCTGTTGTTCAGTGGTTGTCGTTTGTTGATGTGGTTCATTAGTGTTTCTTGTTTTTTATCTAGATTAGACTGTTGGTTTTCCTGTTTGAATTGTTTTACACTAGTCATTTCGGGGTCCTTTATAGCTTGCTGTTCGATGTGAGCCAAGGCTCCGTGTTGAAGGCTGTACTTTGACCTATAATGGTTTACTTTTTACACATTGTGACTTGGATGGAGAGTTGGTCATTGGCACTCATACCACATCTTCTTATTTCTATTAGAACCTTGTTTTTTTTCTTTTTTACAGAATTATTTTAACCATATAACAATGACCATCTTTTTATTTAAACAAGTTGAACTGTGAGCAATGGCCCACTAATTATACCCCCACCATAAGCTTAAGAATACAGTTAACAGAAAGTAGTTTAGCAATGGATGTGAAAGTGCATCATGCTGTATAGCATACTCACATGAAGCTTTCTTCCAAATTTTAGGAAGCTGCAATTTGTAGCTCTGGAGAAAAATGGGACAGAAATTTAATGGGACAGACTAAAAGACACAGAGAAGGACAGACAAAGGTAAAGCAGTATAACCTCTATTTTGGAGAGGGTTTTATAATAAGATGAACCACTAACCACATATTCCTTACATATATGTATAAGCCCTAATATTAATATACCTTTCAACATGAGGCTGAAAACAGGCTTTTTTAACATGTAGTACTTTTGTTTGGGATAAGGCAATTGAAGGCCATAACTCCAAAAAAGCAAAATTTAAATTGTCAAGACCAATCTTTACTTCCATTATGACAATAGAAACAAGATATTTTTGAATTTCAAAAAGGATTGGATAAAGCATTCTCAAGTTATCACATCGAATCCAGTGGTTCCCAAGGCTTTGAGAAATTAACTGGACATTTGATCAAGTAAACCATTCTTCTTAACTGGACTTTTATTTTACAGGACATTTACACATATGATTTGGACAAAATAAAAAATTTTACTGGTCAAATGGTCCAGTAATGCATATCACTTAACTGGACCAAACCAAATTTTAGTGGACTTTGCCCAATGTCAGGCAACCTTGGGAATGACTGGGAATCCACATAAAGTGTCATTTTCAAATCAACTAAGGACCATAACTCCTAAATCAAAATTGAAAATCGTCACTATCTATCTTGACCTCCATTTTGTCATCAGTAACAATATATTAAAATTTGATAACCATTGGTTGGAGGGTTCTTAAGTTATTCCATGGACATGATGGAAAGAACATAAAAAATTGCAATTTTCAATAATCAAGAACCGTAAGTCCAGGAGGACAAAATTGAAAATTGTCACCAGTAACAACATATCAAAGTCTGAAAGGCATTGGCCAAACTGTTCCACAATTATTGCACAGAAACAGCTGAAGCTGCCACCCCAATACTACCAAAAATTAAAAATAATATTTTCCCTTGAAAAACCAGTTATAAAATGATCTGTTCTATTATAGCCATCAGCATTACAAATCTTTTATCCGATTATTTTCTTTTAATTTTCAATAGAAAAAGAAATCACTCAGTGGTAAAATTTTCTTACATTTTTAACAACCTGTACATCATATGGTACATGTCATATGTCAGGTTCAGGTGAACTATTCAATTAAAGACAAAGTTTGATAACAAATCACCTGGGGTGTGACAGAATACTAATGGCAGTTTTATGAAAATATTTTTTTCCCCAAGGTATCAAAGTCAAAAGAGCATTGCTGTTAGAGCTCAAATTGTATATACTAATAAGAAAATGGTTCCTAGCCCTGAAGCAAATATGGTGTGACTGTTGGGAACAATACCTTAGTATGGTGCACTAGAAAGGTCTTCCATGTTTAACTACAACTAGATATCATTGAGATGGGAGCCATCTCTGTGGGCCCCGCTGTGAATAATGTGTGGTAAAAAATTTGTATCTTTATCATTGGACATGGGGTTGTCAACTGAAACCAAATTTTTTGACCTTGACCTTTGACCTAAGAAGTTGTACATAAATTATGACACACCCTCTGGTGTTGGTTTATATACATATCAAGTATAAACTTTGAAATCATAACGGTTCTCAAGATATAGAGCAGACACGATCTTTACCATAGGACATGGGGTTGTCAACTAAAACCAAAGTTTTTGACCTTTACCTTTGACCTAGGAAGTTGAACAAACATTATGACACACCCTCTGGTGTTGGTTAATATACATGTCAAGTAAAAACTTTGAAATCATAACGGTTCTCTTGATATAGAGCGGACACAATTTGTTAAGGACGGATGGACGGACAGACTGATCACTATAGGGCGTCCGCCATTCAGCGGGGCCCTAATTAAGACTCTATATAGTTTAGGGGTAGTAATCTGAACAGTGTCTGATATATTTATCAATTTATTGCATCATTGGACAGGGAATGACCACTAGGGACAAATCCAAAGTGCATTAGAAAGGTCTGGCCATAATAAGCAAGAATATAAATAGGGTAGACTCAATAAATGTTACAAAAATAACAACTCGTATGACCTTGATGTTAACAGTCAAGGTCTGGTCATCTGGATTATTATGCTACACATCATCTTGATGTAATGTACACAATTTGAAAACATCAAAAGCCTTATTCAAAGGATAAGTTATGATCCTGCTCCAGACAAGACCTCCTTTTTTCCAAAAAGATTACATTGAAATCAAAGGTCAAGGTCAGAGGTCACCTGCATATGGTATGTGACACTTGATCTTGAACATGGCAAATATCAAAATTCAACATCAAAGGAGAAAAAAGTTAATCTGGACAAGAAATGTTCCAAAAGTAACTTATTTGACCTTGAAGTCAAAATCACATGAAGGTCAAGTATACTTGACATACTGTATCATGGTAAAACAACCCTGAAAAGGTTGTATGAGAAAGACTATTCAAATTATTTCTATTTAATTAGAAAATTTAAGTGAATGAAAGAGAGAAATAATTAGTTTCCAAATACACAAACACATCACATCTAAAGACACTGGCAATATCATAATTTTTCTTTTTTCTACCAAATATGTGTTTTTAAAAGATTTTTGTTCCCCAAATACCATTTACACAACTTAAATTCACAAATTTACATTATTTGTATTTGCATTTAAGTTTAAAAGTCACAACCAATATTTTCATCTGTGTTGAATCAATTGCTTACACATTAAACAAGTGGTCATTATTTAAAGCCTATGAATATGAGTTTAGTATGATTCAACATAATTCAATTTGTCTTGAGAAAATATGTTTACTATTTTAAATCCAGAATCAATATCAAATAAACAATAAATAAAGTTCAAACTACAACAATATTATGAAACAGGTTCATTCAAATCTCTACATCTGAAATACAAGTAGTTTGAACACCTGTTGAATTTGTAATGTTAAGAATCTGACTTACTTTAGTTGAATAATGTATTTTTAGGTTATAATTTTGTTGTTTACATACTAAAATATATTTGTAGTATACACGATTTCTATAAAACCTCAATTATGTCACTTATCATACAGACTTACAAATTACAGGTTTTTCATAGCTCACAGCTGTTGGTAAAGTTGACAAAAAGCAACATTTGATTTGAAATTAATCAACAGTTTTAGCAAACACAGTCTGCCACAGAAATTTAATTCAAACTTGTAAGTATTTCCAACATTTTGTCTAGACACATAAGAAAAATGTCGGAATATTGGTCTTCTAACTAGAATTGGAAAATATTTTGGTGCAGGCTGAAAGATTACTAGCATCTGCTACTAGAGGCCCATTAAGAGTCTTTGTTGCTCATCTGGATCTATGTGCATCTTCAAATAAAGCCACTCTCCAACATATTGTAGACTAAAATATAATTCATGAATAATATCTCTTTTTTTTTTCATCATGTCTTGATGATCTATTTTTATTGTTTACATTTTCTTTCTATCTACTCTAGTTTTTGACCAAAATACCCACAAATGGGTAAAAATTGTCATTTAAGGACAATAACTCCTGGAAGGATTTGACTGACAATTTCAGCTATGTTCACATATTTGTAGATCTTGCAATGTTGCTCATTATTGCTGTTTACAGTTTTTTTTTACCTACCAAGGTCTTCTCAAAAAATGCAAAAATTGGTAAAAATCATAATTAAAGGGCAATAACTCCAATAAAGCAATCTTGACCTTATTGTAGATCTTATCCTGTTTTTAAATTGATTAATTGAATGATTAATTGAATGATTGATGTTTCACACTACATTCAGTACTAATGGCTAACTTGAACTGGTCAGGTTTTTTTTGGTGGAGAAAGCAGGAGTGCGTTGAAAGAACCACAACCTTCTGGAGGAAAATTGACAATCCCAGTCAGTTACAATTGGAGTCGAACACACCTGCCACATGCGGGATTCATACACACAACTTCAGTGTTGACAGGCTAGTGATATAGTAGTTGAAATACTTTTAAAACTGCTTGGCCACAAAGGCCCCTCCAATTTAAATTTTTTTTATCTATATCTTTTATAGTTTTCAAGGTAAAAGCAAAAACACAAAATATTGATAAAATTTGTCATTAAAGGGCAATACCTCCAATAAGGAGTCAACTGACAATTGGTCCAAGGACACAGTTATCGTCCTTTGATTTTTGTTGTCTACAAATATAGTCCCTAGTGTGGACAGTGTATAACTTGCAAATTTTGTTCATACACTTTCCAAATTCATTTCTTTATATTTTATGCATGAAATAGGAAACACAACCTTTCTGAACAATAACAGAGGCTTGATAATAAGGTGGTTTTGATAAAGTGAATATGTATTAAATACACCCATGAGGGCATTAGCTCAATTGGGTGTTCCTAATCTAAATCAAGATATTATGGTTATACAAAAGGATATGTTGCAATAATTAAGAAGGGTGTCTTTCAGCAATTTCAAATTTGATCTTATTTTATCGTAAAGCATGACAAATGCAGAATATCCCATTACATTTAATGACATCTTGGTGTAAATATATATATGTTTGTCTCGTATTTAATTAACTATGTATACTTTTACTTTAAGGTAGCAACAAACATCATCTTAATCTGTTTTAACAAGATAAAACACAACATGGTGTCAAAAATGTCAAAATATCTATAAATCAGGGTTAAAAGCAACATTCCTGCCAATAAAATAAACAAATAGTAAGTAAATTTGTTATCTTTGTATCCATCTTTTCAAATAGTTATTTTCTGACACTTCCCTTGTTCATGTTGTTACTGACATTTTTTGTCTGCATAGCATTTTATTGCCAATTCTAATATAAACAGACACTTAATGTGACTCCTACTTATACTTGTAAACACTGATCTCTATGAAAATTTCAACAAAAAAATTAAAGCCTGTTGGCTATGTAGTTGATTTCAATACATTAGTCTGTAATTTCTGCATCAGACATAGATGACCACCAAGAGAGCCACAGAAGTCAATCTGCAAAAGCGTTTTGTAACTGTTTATATATTAGATCTTATATAATACCTAATAAAAGTGGCTCAAGCATGAAATGCAACCTATGGTGAAACAAATAATGCAGCATTATGTTGTACTGCATAAAATTATATTGAGGTAAAAAAAATCACTACATGTATTAACTACTGTACATACCATAATTAAATCATTATAATGCATTTTTAGGATATGCACTTAGACACAATACTTATTCCACAATAAAAATACCAGTCATGGTATGTCATGTATGTTCTGTGAGTTGTGTTTCTTATTATTTATACTAATATGTAAAATGAAGATAAAAATGTCCAATTATTCGTTCATTTGAGATTTGCAATGATCAAGCCTTTGCAAATCTTAATCTTAGAAGGGTGTATAATTTTTCAAACAATTATAAATAAAATACCCATTTTGCATTTGTATACTTAATATTTCAAAATGCACTTGGCTCTATGTAGTTCTATGCAATACAACATACCAACTTCACATCTTTTCCCTGAAAATCCATAAGAACATGCACACCTGTTGTTTCCCAAACATTTTCCTCCATTCAAACATCCAGGACTACAGTTTTCTGAAATGAAACAGTAATGTTCTTATATATGGTAACATTTCACCAACTGGGTACATGTTAATGCAATGAAGAAAGAAATTATAAGTTTTCCTTTCACTTGATGTTTTGAAACACCTTAAAATACCTATGAACTATGGAAAAGTATCATAATTGACATATCAATGATTTAGGGATCATATGGTAGGGTTTCATGTTACTAGATCTGCAGTTTACTGTGTAGTGCTCTGTGGTCTTGTTTGTATTTTCATAATCTTTCCTTTTTTGCCATGGCATTGTCAGTTCCTCTTAAATGTTTCCTTGGTATCTTCCACATCTTTTTAAGTATAAATAAGAAGATGTGGTATGAGTGCCAATGAGACAACTATCGATCCAAGTCACAATGTGTAAAAAGTAAACAATAATATAGGTCAAAGTACGGCCTTCAACATGGAGCATTGGCTCACACCGAACAGCAAGCTATAAAGGGCCCCAAAAAAAACTAGTGTAAAACAATTCAAATAGGAAAACCAACGGTGTAATCTATATAAAAAACGAGAAACGAGAAACACTTATGAACCACATCAACAAACGACAACCACTGAAAAACAGGCTCCTGACTTGGGACAGGTGCATAAAAATGTATCTTCTTCCTCATTTTAACAAATAAATTGTCAATAATCACTATCATAACAATTAAAATGTTCTGAAACCAAGATCTACATGTAATCTGTTACTGATAGTGTAACATGTTGACATGTCTTGTACAAGTAATCCTAAATAAATTGATAATTTTGTCAGCTTTTCACATAGCTACAGAAGATACTGAGCTGGGTTGAACTGTAAACAATTCTGCTTTGATTTTAGGGAGTGACATTTTAGCTATGAAATATAGGTGGGAAATTCATGCTAAGTTTTTGCATTGAGTGATAACATAAATTCAAGGCTTTCTGTTACACTAAGAGCAATGAGTCAATAAAAGTGAAACGTAGACGAAGATCTTCATTACTTTCTTTCATCGGGAGCCCCTCTGATATTGTGCATGCTCGAAGTCTAGAAAGCCTAATGATTAAAATAAATAGAAGCTACATGACCAAAGGAAGCTTAAAAGATCCAACACAAGGCCACATTATTGTTGTGTATACTATTGGCAGATCTCATCAGTGATGTAATATTTTGTAGTAATTAGCAATTAATCAACTGACTGTAAAACAGTTTAGTAATTACACAAGTCAATATCAGAGGAAGCAGAAAGTAGGTAAAAGAAAAACAATCAACATTGCACTTTTATAATTGATCATATTTATAAAGTAATATAAGTTTCAATTTTTGTTGCACAGCAGGGGCGTAGCTACCTTCTTAATAAAGTGGAATCACAAACTAAAGGGCGAGGGGTCTGGGGGCCGCCTAATGCCCCCAGTAGGTCCATGGCAAAGCCCTGGTAGGGGGGGCGAGGGGGGCAAAGCCCCCCGAAAGCTCCGCATATACAGCGTTTCAAAACAATCACAACCGAAATAAAACTTAAAAATTTTTGTTGTAATTTTTTGGTCAACTATTTGTTTAACTTAGAGTCGAATGAAGACTTAACATTATCGCTTGCGTTTTTTGTAAGTGAAAGCTTTTAAAATCACAGAGATTTGTTCCATATGCTAGTATTTGTATTGAGCAAAGTAGATTTAAAAAAACAAACAATAAACATAAACACAATACTATATGTGGAGTTTCTGTTAGCATAAACATAATGGATACCCAATACTTGTTGGACACATTCTCATATATATTTTGCTTAACATATGTATTCAGATGTTTAAAAATTTTATGGGTAAACTCTACAAGAGAGAGATGGGAATTTCGAATTTTACGTAGTTAGGAATATTCGAAGTTGAAATTAATGAACTTTTTCAGAGTTAATGGTAATTTGATCACGATCTGCGTTTTTAATTAGCCAGCTAATTAACAAATGCATATGCATTCGACCAGTTGTATGGCAATATCTAGATGATAACAGTGAAGATACGTGTAATAAAAGTTTGGTGTATCTTTCGAACAAGAATCAGCAGTTTAGAGGGGCCTGATGGGTTATTTTCGTTCTTCGTGATCGGCGCATTTTCACTATGGTGATCCGTTTTTCTACAGATTTTTTTTTTTTATATAATTTCGTGATCTGTGATCATGGAAATTTATTTTCTGTGAATCGTGATTGACAAAAAAATCAACTCGTGAATCGTGATGAGACCCCCCCATCAGGCCCCTCAGTTTAGTGTCCTACTCGGACAGACAGTTCTTTTTAAAATTGAATGACCTAATAGTCCAGTAAAACGAGCTAGAATTAACAATTTATTTAAATGTTTTACAATCAACCATTCGTATAGCCGGCCCATATAGAAACGACTTCGAATTATCGAATCTATATAAAAGAATTTTTTTGTAAAATAAATTAAAACATAAAACATGTACTGGAAAATGTGTACTTTTTTTTTATAACAACAGCAGTTCCAACTTCTCATCTACTAGTATACGGAAACTATTGATTGATTGAATTGTTATAAATGTCTGATAGCAAATATTACATGCACACAGGACGAGATACGTTGGCGTGATGTGAAAATGAACTATTCGTGTTGTCAAGACCTACATACTTAGTCAATATTGAACTAGTTCACAAGGTAACAGTCATTATTCCCGGATCGATACTAGTTGAAGAGTCTTCATTCTAGTAAGATGTGTGCTTTAGGGCGAAGCGGAAAATAATAATTTTCAAGTTTTTTTGTTAACCCTAAAGGGATTATGTTTTTTTTTTGCACTCAAAGCGAGTATACTGTATGGTTGTGGTACCAACAACTATGTAGCTGGTATTTTCTAAACAATGCCCGTAATATAAAAAGTTCCTCTAAGTTTACACCAGTTGTATGTATTTATTGTACACATACATGTCTTACAGGATTAAAAATTCCGCTGCATGTGTATTCCTCTTGCTTTTATTCTTTGTGTAGTTTTTAAAATGCATACATAGAAAGACCAATTCCTATATGTTAACTTTGTTCCTCAACCTCTCTCCCTCTCTCTCTCTTTTTTTTTTTTTGTGAAAACGACGTTGATGCACGTGCTACCGTGCCTCCGGGTAGCTACGCCCCTGCACAGTTGGTCCAGGAAACACAGATATCAACCGTCAATATGTTGTCCACTAAACATAACTGTGTTCTCATTCCCAAGTGGCATAACCAACTACACCTAAAAATGGACTTTGTGACCCCCTGATGAGCACAATTTGACTCAAAGTTGTAATTTAAAGATATTTCATTGTTAATTTATTGAAAATAAAACCAAAACAATTTTTAAATTGCAAAATAAAACTTGTTTTTGCCTTCCATCATCGTCTATTTTGAATGTTTTTAAAGTTAACACTTTTGAGGCAAATCTGCAACAGGGTCAGGGGTTCATGATTTTGCTTTTTAGGGGCAAATTCCTACTCATACAAATATAAAAAAAATCTTTAAAGCTTAATGGAGGAAATTTTTCAAAAATATTCAGAAAAATTGGAAGAAAATTCAGTCCCTGGCCAAAATGGACCGTCTGATTTGGACAGGGACTTGTACACTCAATGGCAAATACATGTATGGGGTGATAAATTACTTCCCAATGCCAGTGGGTGGAAACAAATGCATGCGCATTCATGATTAGCTATCTGAATTTTTAATTACTTATTTTGATGTCTCACATCTGTGCTGCAAAATGAAATGCATCGATGTTGATTATCTGGTGTTATCTTGTGCCACACAAATTCAACAACAGTAGAAAACATGCATGTGGTCATTGCCTTGGGCACCCAGCCCCTTTGCCACCTTGCGTGGAGGACTTAAAGATGGCAAACAGTAATATTGGTATTATTTATCTTTTTAAAGACCTATTTACTTATTTATTTTTAATTATTCTATTGACAAATGATTGATGTAGACAACAATTTAAGACTTCTTTATGAAAGATTTGGGTGGTCCTTAACAGGACCTTTGCCTTTGGATTAAACATGTATTCTATGCTGCTGGCTGGTTTTTATTTACAGTGCTGGTGGAAATTTTCTATTGCAGCATATACTGTGGCATAGAAATGCAGGCACTTAAGGTCCCTGTCTTCACGATAAAGTTTAAAATCTACAGGCCCGAAGCTGAATTTTACGATTCTATTGGCTTGTAGAGATGATTTTTTCAGACCCGACAGCATTTTTACAAGCCTGGTTTGGTGGGCCTGTGGTTGAGCGTGAAGACTGCATGGGGTCCAAATGTTGCAATTATAATATTTATTTTCTGGTGTTGTCTTTAAGGCAAGTGCAAAACCTCGCGTAGCATTCAGTCGTGTTTTTTTTTTCTCGACTGGACTGGTTATTGTCCGACTGTTGATCTTGCTAAAAAAAATCCAGATGCAATCGGGACGGGAATCACTGAATGATGTGAATCTTGTGAATACCTTGATTATGTCCTTTTAGTTTATCAATGTATTGTTATCGGTGTTCACATGTTTTAAACATCAGCAGAAAGGCGTTCAAATTTCATTTTTAGTCAATATTTGATAACACTCTTTTAAATTAAGTGATTTAATTTAAATGAAGATGAATCACGGCGACCAAATTATTATTGAAAAAGTTTTCCAAAATATCATCTGGTATGGCTACCAATCAGATACATTATCAAATCGCGAAAATTACACAAATATGAAATATTACGAACAGATTTAGCAAGTTGTTGACAATTCTTCCCGCCAAAATTAATATGCTTTAGAATCCATCCGGAACGATTGTGTACAAAATCCGTATATGTAATCGCATTTGAAGGCGTTCTTTGTTGCTTTATCATGAATACACATTCATTTTATATATATATGTATATGCTCGGAAATGGGCCCTTTATTTGGATTCAATAAATATTCTTATTCTTTTTCATTTAAAAAATTTAAATGAACTCAAATGACTTCATTAATCCCACAGTGATTCTGGTTGTATTATTTTCTTTTTAAAGGAGATGTGAAAGATAACAAAGAGATATTCAATCTCAAGTTGGTCGAAAACAAAGTGACCGTCAATGCCACGGCACAAAAAGAAGAAAACGACGAAAAGACAAGTAGTACACAAAACATAACATATAAAACTAAAGACTATCAAACAGCTAGAATTGTTAACTGCGGCAGACTCAGTAATATAGCAACTGACATGATTTCTTTTACCTAGCTGCTCTGGGAATATATAATACTAACAATGAGTATGTCTCAGTATTACACAATATTCAAAATTACAAAGTAAGAATGGGGAACATTATATCGGGGAGAGATTTTTTTATCCGTGATTAAATAATCATATAAAACTATCAGAAGCTACCATTCATTATTTTATTGAGAAAATCACACAAGGTTCAACGAACTAACCTGATGATGAAGTAGAGGGGAAATCTTATATGAATAGACTGGCATTGGTTATATATAAATTAGTATAGTTGGATTCCAAAAGGAAACTACTATCACGGTATAAAAGTATAAATAATTCGCCTTGCAAATATTTTGAAGAAGACCGTGCATTTTTCTTCATTGAAGAAATTCTATACACATTTATAAACAAACTATATACATTATAACTTTGATGATGTAAAATCGTGTCTTCTGTGCTGTTTACTGAACGATTTATATTTTATTTTTAGCTGATAGATTGTCGTTTAAGCTGTATGGATGGAATCTGAGACTACTATAACACATAGAATTGAGACCACTATAACACTATGTGTTATAGTAGTTTCAGATGGAATCTACTCCAATGTACAGCCGTCAATATTACAGTATGAGCGACATAAATTCGTTATTAGCAGGTTGATCAATTTCCGTTACTTGTAGTAACTGCGACCATTCGTTGATACGGTATTACTCCGTATTTAGTATTCACTTGTCTTACAGTACAGTACATGGGATTTTGTTGTCTCGATTATGCCGTTGTTATGCTGCATAAATGTCCTAAGTCAGGAGCTTGTAATTCATTGGTTGTCGGCATTGATTTCTATCTATCAAATAAATAATCATATACATACGTGTTAGAGGACAGTTTTGAGACATCTGTCCATTTTGACAGTAACATCGATTAGGTTGTACACATCTACCACCATTGCAACTTTGTATACACGTAGCTAAATATAAGAGAAAAGAAAAATATGTTTTACAACACAAACTTTAGATGTATGAAACTTCTAGATAATAGGCAAAGATCGGACACTCTTACGAGAGCGTCGGATCGTTATGAAGGGAAAAACGATACTACCAGTATATGAAAAACGATACTATGCGCAATAAATGAATGTAAGCCAGACCTAAGGTTTCCTCTCAGTCGACATTTAAGATCCCCTGACCACTCAATCGACTGACTATTACCATTATCATTAAAGATTATCATTGACCGCAACATGTTTTAATGCCATCTTTTATATATCTTTTGTTATTCCATTGATCTAGATTTTAAAAAGTGAGGCTGAGATCTGACAAAATAGTTTGACCACGCTAAACATTCATACGCCTGTCTCAAATCAGAAACCTTGTCATTGGTTGCCTTTTCTCGTTTCCTGATGATTTTGTTACTTTGGGAATTTTGTGTCGATGGCTTCTGTTCAATTTATTCACAACTTAATAATATAAACTTGGGACGATTTAGAGCTTTTAACACATTGCATAGACACCTGTCAAATGTCGATGTCTATTGACAGTATATATCATATATATATGTTATTTTCTGCCGTAGGATTGCTGTCTCATTGACGTATACCCAATGCATCCTTTTATGCATGCATAGTACTTGCGATATATAACTATTTCTTTTGCTTTATCTTTGACCGTCTTAAAAAAAAATTCTCACTCGTTATTACAATTCCTTGGATGCGTCACATACATGTATTACAGACCTTATATATGGTTTGTTCTGTTTTCATTCGTTCAACCCAAAAACGAAAATTTAACTTCTAAAACGACACATTTCCAGTTGTTCTAAGACCTTGCAAGTATTGTTTTGATATTTGATTGTGTAATGAGTAGACAAATCATCATTGAATGTTTCAGCATTCGTTACATATAATATGAAGACTAAATGATGTTTTATCCTATTCAAATTATGGGGGTTTACAATACTACATGTATATATGCATGCATGAAGAAATGATCTTATGATATGCTCCCAATAAATATATACATATATATACATATCCTTATTAAATTCCAATCAATTTCACATTTTCCAGCACTACTGCATTATATTGATTGCTCGCCTTTAATTCGCTTTTAGTATAAAAATAAATAAATTTAATCATCTGAACACAATCTTTACTCGATTCACCTATACCACAAGTGTCAACAAAACAAATTATAACAAACTGATCTTAAATAGTAGTAAGCCAATACTAGTTAAATAAATCTTATAATAAAATACAACAAGATACTTTTATAAGCATAAGGTTACCTTTGTATCAAGTTTTATACATTGAAAGTTAACACTGACGTTTTAATTTATGCACTTCAAACACATTTTGATCCCACTTAAGCAGGTTGACACATACCATAGCTATTTCTGATCATGATATACATCCTAACATTGCTAAATTTGGGGACATAGGAAGCAGGCTCGATATAGACTGGATAATTGACTAGATTTAATCCATTGCACGGACCGTCTCAGGCTGATTATTTGAAAAGATATAAAACGTCATGGATTCTTCAAGTCAGTTTACCCCTGTTACTGAATTTTTATGACAATTATCCATTACGCAAGTTTTGCTCAGCCCAAAACCGATTTAGGCGTACAGTTAAAGTACTTTTAGTGATAATTACTGGGTTAAATTTGTTGCATAGATGTTACACAATCCCTGCGGTTGTTAAAAGTCATAAAACTAAGTAGATTCTTCTTAAAGATTGACCAATTTCACTAAAATTATTATTTTTATGAGCACTTACATCAGAAAAAATGAATTAATATTGCACTGATTTTGACATTTTTAATTAAAGTCCAAAAGCAACGAAGGTCCATTGACTGCCATTGGTTAATATATGTCAAAGCTGTTTTTCGTTTACCGTATTGTTTTTGTATAAATCAGGCCGTTGGCTTCTTTTGAATTGTTTCTCATTTTGTATTGCTGAGCAGTTTAAAGCTAGCTATCGGGTTTGAGTTTTGATATTTTGTTGAAGGCCGTATGATAACCCGTACTTGTTAACACCCTTATTTCCATATTAAGACGTATATTCGTTCCTCCTCAGTTGTACGAGATACTTATATAATATGAATGTTGCTTAAATTTAAATATTGTATGTTTGTAAACATTGTCATTTAGATTTTACACCAATAAAATGATTTGATTGGATTTGATTTTGCTGTCAACGTATATTTTTTCCTCTCCAGTTGTCAACGTATATTTGTTCCTCCTCAGTTGACAACGTATATTTGTTCCTCCTCAGTGGTCAACATATATTTGTTTCTCCTCCTCAGTTGTTAACTTATTATTTGTTCCTCCTGACAGAAGTTCCCTATGGCAAAAATATTTCATCCTGTTGGAACAATTTTTCTATACAATATACCCTTTATTCCGTTTGGAGCAAATGCTGTAATAATTCGTCCAGTGGAAATAATATTCCAGAATATTTACTTTATTTAAACATTATAAAGGAATTTCTATTCCATGTCACAGTGGGGGATTTTTTTTTATCTTTATGGATACATGTTTCATAAAATGAATCTTTGTATAAACAAACCCCAAAAGATTTAGGTTTAAATTTTAGTACTAGTAAATGACGTGCATCGACCCAACGGTTTAAAAACTCTGAATCGGAGTAAATATCTGACACCCAGTGTGTCTGTTTTAAAGATTTTTCAAGGTAATAATGGTACTCTGGATTAATTTATTATCGAGAATATCAATTTTCGTGGCTTTAGAAAAACTTGCATTTTCGTAGATATTTTATTTCGTGGTTTTGGCAAAATACTGCATATAAGCATATAGAAAAAAAAAATTGTACATTTAAATTCGTGGTTCAGCTGTGCACACAAAATCCACGGAAATTGTTATCCCACGAATAAAAATGAATACACAGTATTTGAATTAGATTATGCAGCACCACGAATTTCCAAAAATTATTAAGAAATTCAAAAGAATGTAAGAAACAAGCATGGATGGAGAGTTGTCTCATTGGCAGTCATACCACATTATCTTATTTCTATGGATTAGAGAAAATAAAAAAAAATGCATTTCATGACAGTATCAATGAAAGAAAATATATTGAAATGAACACACTGTTAAAAAATCCAACAGAAATACAAAAATTGAGAAAGTTGTATGGAAAGAATCTATACACTTGCATGAAATTAAACCCAGAGAACAAAAACATCATAGTGCGTATAATAGTTGAATTTTCAACCTTTCTTGCTATCAGTTCGTGGATGAAATATGTCTAAGAAAATACTGGCAACTGTACGAATTCCACAATGGGGAATGACCCATTTCGTAAGGTAAGTAAAACTTAATAGGCAAACATTAGGAAGTCAAAATAATCTACAACGGCATTATTAAAGTCCATAACATAAATCTAAACACAAATGTAACACAACGACAAGCAAACCACTGAATTGTAGGCTTTTTGTTTGAAAAAAGCACACTGAGAATATTGTAGGATCGTTTTGAAGGCACGTAAAGTTAGCCGCGCATCTGGCGTACAAAATTTTCCTAGTATCAATGAGGATATAAAAATAAGATGTGGTTTTTCTGGTATCTATGAGGATATAAAAATAAGAAGATGTGATATAATTGCCAATGAGACATACACTCCACCAGAGACCAAATGGCATAGCAGTTAACAACTATAGGTCACCGTACGGCCTTCAACTATGAGCAAAACCCATATCTTATAGTCAGTTATAAAAGTCCCCGAAATGACAAATATAAAACAATTCAAACGAGAAAACTAGCAGCCTGATTTATTAAAAAAACAATGATCGAATTTACAAATATGATATACAGCAACAAACGACAAACACTGAATGACAGGCTCCTGACTTAGGACAGGCACATACAGAATGTGGCGGGGTTTAACATGTTAGCGGGCACCCAATCCTCCCCTAACATGGGACAGTGTTGTAACAATACAGCATATGATCAAACTATAAAAATCAGTTGAAAATTAAGGTCTTAACTCATCAGATCGATACAAAGCAGAAAAACAAGTAACAAAAACAGACCGGACGTGGCAGGGTATTTATACATCCCTTTTTATGGAGGTTATTTAGATGTCAGTGCTGTCAAATATATCTCTTAAATGAATATTCATGTACTATATTTTGCGGTCTGTATTTTCTTTCTCTTAGATCATTACAGTGTCACTGCTTTTTATCATAGATTTATTCTTGTATTCCTCCATGTAGAACGCCACATGCGGTGGTGTTAGCTGTGTTTGACACGGGGTGGCGGTTTTGAAGCGGAGAAAAAGCGATTAAGGTAAGTAAAAGTATCAAAATTTCTGTTTTGAGAATTGTGAGTACCAAATAATGTATTGCACGGAAGGAACCGAACCATAATCTATTTCCATCAAGCAGAAGCAGAAGTTTCCAGTGCTCCGTTTTCTCAAACACCTCTCCCTAGTTTTCCGTGTTGCAGATTTTGAGACTTCATATGCATGTTGCACAATAAAAAACTACTTTGGCGATTTTTCAAGTATGATTTATATAGAAATTAATTCCTATCATAGAATTTAACCAAATGCCAGCTTCTTAGTCAACATTCGTTGGTTTCAAAGTTAATTGTTCATCGAAATTTAATGTTTGGCTCGGAGTGTCATATTTTGCGTCTCAAGGGGGTGAGACATTTATTAAAACAAGGATAGATTTGCCTATAATTTGGTCTTTATCTGATATTGTTGAAGGCCGTACGGTTGCCTATAATTGCTTACATCCACTTCATTTTAACTTTGGTGGATTGATGTCTCACTGGCAATCATACCACATCTCCTTATTTTTATATTGTACTGCAATTATTATTATCAAATATAAAAATAAGGAGATGAGATATGATTGCTTTATTTGTACTTGATATTGCGTAAAAACAATGCATAGAAAAAGAAACGGAAAGCTTGATGGACCTCTTAATTGCATGGTTGTAGCATACAGAAGTAATTATAAGAATCTCTAAAGTACAATATATATACAATATATGTACATTGCCGGAAAATATAAAATTTATATGTACGAGCTTTAGAAACAGGACGAAAAACGAGACTCGTCGATCTTTTCTCCTATTTCGTAGCGAATACAAATACATTTATATTTCCGACAATGTACATATATTGTTTTTATCCTGCAATCCATACCCGGAACTTAAAGGTTTAGTTGATAAAATTCAAACAGTTGTCTCTGTTTTTTCAAAGAAATCGACATAGTTTAAGTTACAAGTACAAATAAAGCAAACATTAATTTGTGAACCTGTTATTTGTACAATTGTTGGCTGATTGCAGGATATATTAATCTACAATGTAACATCACAAACGCAAATTATGAAAAGCCAAAAGGTATTGCTTAACTGAAGTGTTGATGGTCAAAATTTAATTTTTTGTGTCAATTTTGAAAAATCTGTTTTATTGCATTGAACTTAGAACAATAGTATGTCATTCTTTAGACAATAAATGTTGCCAGATGACATTATTGTATGATGGAATATCTATACTTACGAATTATGCAGCTATAACTACCGGGAGTTCTAGTCCAACCACGACAACAATATCGTCTAGTTAATGGTCCACAAACCTTTCTGCAAAGGAAAGTGATCCGTATGAATTCAAACAAATAAATACCACGAAAAGAAAGAATTAATAATGTACACAAAATAAGTTTCTGATATGCATATTAAATTTCCCGACATTGATACTCACAATTCTTTTTTAATCGTGGAAATACGAAAACAGTAAGCATAATCAACCAAAATTATAAACAAACCAAAAACGTCGCTAAATTCAGTTAAAACAAAATTGTACATTGGGAGTAAAACTTTATATATCTAACTATTTTTACATTTGTTGATATCTATTAAAACAAAATTGAAGAAAATGGGAATGGAATATGGAGAAGAAACCTAACGATGGAAAAGAGAGAGGGCTAATAAAGGCCATTTCTTTGAGTTGCAATTTGGAAAAACATCACACTACTCCGTATAACTGGCTATCATTACGGTAAATACAATTAGGATCTGTGAACAGCAGACTTTTTGTTCCGATTGACATTGCAATTGCAAACAGCTATGTAATTTTGCAATCGAGTACTGCAATACAGATAGCTAGTTATAGGCCTAGGGTGTACACAAATTATTCTTCAAGAAAGAATTGCTGTCATGAAATGTTCAGGGTTCCAGATCATGCTGAATCAATGATTCTGCCAATGCGATGTAGAATAATTAGGTTGGCAACTGTAACGTAACTTATCACCTTGAAAAACTGATTTTCAAAAAATTAAATTATAACAAAATAAAAACAAAATAACGGAAACCATTATTCCACAGTCTTGGTATACAAAAAACCAGCGAGTTATTGATTATAAGAAGACTTGAACCTTGAAACAGTGATATACTAAAAGTTCAAAATTTGGAGATCAAAGACACAACAAGGTGCGGCTGAACTTGCCAAACGTATACAGTTTTATTAATCCTGTCAAACTTGGAACACCTAATTATTAGCAAACAGTAGCCCCTTTTAAATCTTATGTACAGATACAATTCAGATTAAGTATACAAAATACATTAATGAGTTTGATTACTGCATGCTGATTTTCAAGGTCAAATGTCAAGTAGAGGTTTGTTTCTTGTCAACATCATCAAACCCGTTATACAACTTAGTAATATGTTGCTTATAGAAAATATTAAATCTTAGACTTGCCGAATTATAAACAAGAATTTGGCTTTCACCTAGAAATACAATTAATTCTCACAATTAATTCCAAATTACTTAATTTACTGTATTATTTACAGAGAACGATTCTGTCTTATTTTTACGATTATAGGTGAAATGTCAAGCAGCAATTTAGTTTTAATGACACATGCGTGACAGTCTAGCAGATTAACGAGCAGATATTTGGCTCACTGCAACAAATAAAACTGTCAGCAGTCATTCTCTGTTCATGCAATTTAGGTAATAAAAATTATATATATACTTTTTTACTCACCACTACACGTGCGGATTTTGCAATTAAGGTAATAAAAATTATATATATACTATTTTACTCACCACTACACGTGCGAATTTTTATTGTTATCGTATGAGATAAAATGAGTGAACTCACAAATGGAACCACAAAAAGCCATGCAAATTACGTATTACCCCTTAACATGACCGGCATAATATTCCTTTATGCACATCATGATGAAGTGTAAGTTTCCATGTAGTCCGTTTGGAAGAATTGCGCTTACAAGGAATATATGGAGAGTCAGGCAGACAGACGAACTAACAGGCAGACAGTGTGACTCCTATATGATATAAATGATATAAAGCGACACAAATCATTGACAGCTCATTTTTTTTTCACTCTGAAATAAAACTGTCCTCTTGGAGATATTCCATGTAGAGATAATTTTTAGCGTAGTTTAACACGACATTATTATATTGAGCCACACCAACTTATAATAAAATTTTCGCCATAAAAATAAGAATACGAAAGAACAATATCCCTGGAATCTCATAAGTTTCAATCAATGTCTTAGAGTGTTGGTGAAAAAATCGTGATACCGAAAGTGATATAGACTAATTTGGAAAGAAATGTGCGTTATTTCCTTTCACGAGCTACAACTACAGGAAACATTATCTCGGAGAATGAGACAATATTACAAATATACATTATGACAAGGTCTTCAATGATAATAACAAAGTGGGCTTAATAATAATTGTTAGTTGCATAATGGCCCGTTAATTCAAGTGAACTAATGAGGATATTCTGTACATATGTTCAATGAAATAATTGTCCAGTCGATATAATGACTTTTCTGTTCTTAAAAGTTTAAATCAATTGTGTAATCTATTTTTTCTTTCTAAAGTTCCATACCAGAAATAGCTCACCATCTACCGGTAAGTATCATTCAACGTGAATTTAATATTTGATGTGGATCAAAATTCACCCTACAACCACCTGTATTAAACTGATATGCTGATATTTAGACCACCAATACAGACTAATAGAGTTAAAGTTGATGACCCGATAAGGACATCTTAATTTCTTAAGATAAATTGCCGAAGAAAGAGGCGGACATACATACAACGAGACTGGGGCGGAAAAATTTGACAGGTCACATACAAACGGTAATAGATAGTGAACGTTCGGTAGCCTTAACTGGTTATCTAAAAAGTGATGAATAAGCTAAACTGCTGAGATATCAATAGGAAAGAGATCGAGTACTATTTAATAACGAAATACTAAAGTAGTTATAATTAAAAATAAATATTTAAAAATGCAGAATATTGAAATACCTGTTCATTGAAGATGTATAATGATTAAATAGCAGGGTCTAATATAATAAAAGCGTCTTTAACTAGCGATTTAAATATGTGACATGTAAATGGTAAACTAATATCAGTTCATTATATTTTTTTCAACTGACTATTAGATTTGACACCCCTTTATCTATTAAAATTGTACGGTTACACATATTTGAATGATTGGGGTCTACCCCCATCTATTTCAATATTGTATATGAACTATAGTACTACGGGAATGATTAATGTCCTTGACTACATATGAACAACTGAATTATATATGTAATACTAAATAATAATATATGATCGGTTGATTGGTTGATTATTGCCTGAAACGACTATATTGCGACAATGATTTGTAACGGATATAACAATAGAAAGAACCTTGAATAATGATGATGATAATACTATTTATAGTAAGAACAAGGATGTGATGTTAAAGGAATTGTTCCTTATCGGTCTGAAAGCATAAACTTACAGAAGCTCTTTAAACTTCTAATTATAACAATCACATCTAGGCATCACACACTAGAACACAAAAGGCCATGTGAAAGAGTTGTTGTAAGTGTTCTTAACGTGCACAGAGCGTGGCACTCTCTCTGCACGAAGCTTCGGATGTACAACGTTCCCATCCTAACTGTGTATTTATACATATGGCACAACTAAACAGACGCCCCATTTCGGCAAGGATTCTACTGCCGGTCGGAAGAAGACGAAAGTGACCATACTTCTAATCACCAGTCACCCATGGGTTGTAAAGGCAAAACGCAGCGATGCTTTGATATTTTGTGAAACTGCATTATTACCCCTTAGGAGAAAATAATGACTGCAGTTTTAATATCCATCAAAAACATTGAGTGGCATTCATTTGCAAGGAGACCTGTCAATACCATCACGCTAACAATAACATCAGTTTCGTGTTAAGATAGCAAGACCTGTCTCATGCAAGTCACCATGAAAAGAAGGTGAGGGTGTACATGGACGAGATAACGCATAAAGACACCCTCTATAAAAACAATTGATGAAAGTTTATAAAAAAAATCAAAATCAAACAAAACACATTAAATCAAAAGATATCTAGCAACCCATAGTTGAATAAATCTACGCCATTTTGTATCTGGTGGATAATTGTCTCATTGGCAATCATACCTCATCTATTTTTATATAGAGGTAAACATATGGGCCCCAACAAAAGACAAGTGATGAAACAATATATCAAGCTCTAAATCAACCAGAGCCTAGAAAAGCCGAGAAAAGGTTTAAAAGAGAATTTTAAAGATCTGACACCAATACTAAAATTAACTAAAGAGCTATATTAAAATACATTACGACATGACTAAAGAAAACGACTTCCGCGGTTGATGACTTTGGACAGACACACATTCACACTTTCGAGGCACATGTGTTAAGCTGGTTTTTGCTGGTCCACTTTTAATGTTTTGTGGGGTTAATTGCCCTTTAACGTTTGACACTTTCAACTTTCTGTCAGATTTGTTTTCAAGCACCACCTACAGTATTTCTTTTTCTCTCGAAAAGTTTCGATTTTGGTAACTTGTTATTCTATATGGAGGTATACATTGTAAGTACGTACGATAAAATTACAAAATGTGTACATCATTTATATCAAATCTAATGCTATTCCTATTTTTGGAGTTGACAGCTTTTGATATCGCCGAATGCTCGTGTAAATGAATCTAATAAAAATATAAAATACAAAAAAAAATCATCACACTTTTATCTTTATATATCAATGTTTTGACAATGTTGATATATCATATTTAAGCAGCCTCTCTCTAAACTCGGTAGCCTTGTCAGTGGTTGTTTAACATCACATCTTTATTATATTTGATGTTACTGGCATGTCTTTGATAGTTTATGTTTAATTTGCTCACATTTTGGCTCTGAATGGTTTTCAATACTACATATATTACATAGACACCTTTACAAGACTGTGTTGATAAAATTGAGAATGGAAATGGGGAATGTGTCAAAGAGACAACAACCCGACCAAAGTTCAGAAAACAGCCCAAAGCCATCAATGGGTCTCCAACACAGCGCGAGAAAATCCAGCACCCGGAGGCGGGCTTCAGCTTGCCACTAAACAAAAATGTGTACTAGTTCAGTGAAAATGGACGTCACACTAAACTCCGAAACATCTAAATGAACTAAAATTAAAAATAAACATACAAAACTAACAAAGGCCAGAAGCTCCTGGCTTGGGAAAGGCGCATGTCTGTTTGTTATGTATGTCATTATACGTTGCTGTCTCCTTTGGCGTGTACCTCATCTCCTTTTA